CACGAGAGATGGTGATTTGCTCCGGATCCAAACGTCCCGGTCTAGTGTTAGAAAGCTTGATGGGGCTATCCAAAGGTTGCCTTGGGGATGGAGCTGCAGTGTCTTTGTCATTGGTCAACGAGGGGAGAGGTCGAGAAGGCACTGGCGACGAAGGGCTGCTAGTTTGAGGAGAAAGTGAGTTATCTCGATTGACCGCTATCGAAGCAGTAACATCGGTGGGGGCGGGTTCAACAGTGACGCTAGGTAAAGTTGTCGCTTCTTCAGCCGAGGGAGACCGTAGTTGACCGAAGACCTCAATCATAGATTCCGGGGTAGTTGAGACTGTCGATGTTTTGTTCCCATGCGGCTCTACTGTTTCTTCCGGTTTGGGCGAGTTTACTACACCCTTGGGTCTCTGTATTATGACACTCCCAGTCTCTGCTTGCGAGCTTGGACTAGTTGGGGAACTATCTGCTTCAGGAGAGGTGGCATTCCTGGGAAAGTCTCCTGCCTGGGGTGGCGGTGCTGAGCGTTCCATTTCCTCATGTTGTGCAATGAAAGGATCTTCTATCGCTTTTTGGAGTTCACACGTAGGCTCCGTCTTTCTCGGCAAATTGTCTTCGGGCAACGTTACTGCTTCCCGGTTAAGATCAGAGGAAGGTACGTCCTTAGCTGCGTCCGTGCACACAGATTCTAATGAGGTTTTCTGGGCGTGGACCAGGTGCGCATTTGCATTTTCTTTCTCGCTAGAAGGCGATGCGTCGAATACCACAGTGTTCGTAGTACTTCTCTCCGGGGTCGCGGTCGGTTCAATTACAGTATTGGCCTCTTGCAGGGTTCGGCTGGCTTCAGAGCTATCGCTGGCCACTTCCGTGCCATCAAGAGAAGACGATGTATCAGAACCATGAGTGGGAGCTTGTTCGATTCTTTGAGAGGCAATGACGGGTTGTTCAAGCATATTCTCAAAGGATTTCTGGTCCTCAGTAGGGCTTCTGGGTTCCTCGGCGATAGTTTCCATCAAAGGTGGACGTGCAGCTTGGGGGAAAGGTTCGGGGGTGTGGGTGGTAAGGTCTTCGGGAGTTCTATGTTCATCCGATACAGGGGCTGGCTGATTTGGTACTTGTGGATGGTCTCTGCTTTGCAATTTATTGGCCATCATGCGCCGCCATTCATTCTCAACTGTCTGTTTCTCGGCATCCATAACCCAGTTGCCAAAACCAGATTCGATGGCTTCTAAATCATCAATCCAGTTTTCCGGCAACGAGTCTTCCCGGCCCTCTAGCGCATCAAGCATACGATCCATTCGTCGCCCCGCCGAAAGAACCGTCACCTCCAGCGCAGCGCGTTTGGCATGATAATTTGATCTGGAATACAAGGCATCCTGTTCGCTGGGGGGCACGGAGGACTTCAACAAGTTCAAGGCCGAATTCAATTCAGACCGGGCTAGACGTAGGCTCCACAATAAGCCCGGTACCTGACGGAGGACTACTAGCCGAACATCCCACGTGGAAAGCAGGCTGTTCAGGCGGGAGAGAAGTGGGAGAGCGCGCAAAATTGTGGCGGTGATAACAGCGGTGAAATCACTTAATTGCACATAGGTGAACGAAGGGGGTCCGGAAAGATTGCTATTGGATGACGATGGCCGAGACCGCGAAGGAATATGAGCGTTCAGAACGTGTTCTTTCAATTCGTCGACACCTAGACTTTCCATGCCATCTCGAATCTCCTCAATGCGTTTCTCGTGTTCAGCCACAACTTCTGCAGGAAGGCTGCCCAAATATTCTGGCTCTGAAGTATTGGATGTCGTGGTAGAAGGCGGCATGAATCCTTGGCCCAGTTGGGCATCCGTGCGTTTCGGCCATTCCCACGTTTGCACCTCTTTATACCATAGGCTTAGATTCTGTGCCGCAACAGCCGCGCGGATTCCGAGAGCTCTCTCCGCCTCAGAGACTTGGGATATGCTCTTGGAGAGGATATCGTATGCGGGTTCGTTCTTCGGCACTGCGTCTGTTGAGGTAAGCGCTTCGAGAGTAGATTCCGGGGACAGGTTTGCGAGTAACGGGTCAAGAGACTGGTAGCTGGGGATTGTTGATCGACTAGGCGATGGAGTCGGTGGCACGGCATGAGAAGCGACGTTCGCTGCCGGGAGGGAGATGGGTGGAGGTATAGGATTGCTGCGGCTGGTGGCCATGTCGGGAGGAGAACGGCCACCGGAACAGCTCACAGATGTTGGTCGGATAAGGACGGAATCAAGAAATGCGACTTGGGAGACGGCGGTGGAATAGCTGATTTGGATAGATGAAAGAGTGTGTACCGCTGATAAGCAAGCATGCTGAGATGCGAACTTGCAGAACCCCAAAGCGACAGCGGAGGTGAGGTTGTTTAGGGGTGTTCCGGAGATACCGAGCTGAGATCAAGGTTGGGTACTCGGTAGGCGACGGTGGGCGTTGTCGTATGGGGAATTAGTGGAAATAAGTGTGTCGGTAATTAAGACGAGTAAATTCAGATGCAGGCAGGATCAAGTGCGAAGAGAGGGAAAAGAAAGACCAGATGTGGGAGGAAGAGAGGCAGATAAAGACGGAGGATTTACAAGGTAAGCTCGGGGATTGATAGATCACAATCGGAAGGCTGGGGGTGGGAAGGGAAAACGATCGGAGAAGCGCAGTTGGGAAGCCCAAAAGAAGAAAAAAAAAAGAAAGAAATGAATGTGGGATGATAACTGCAGAGCTGAGACCGGGGGTGGTGGTGGGAAGAGAAGGAGCGAGACCTGGACCAGCTGTCTCTCAAGCTAAGGGAATGACGATGATTCGAAGAAAGTGGCTGCAGGCGTGAGTTGGAATGAGGAGAAAGTTGTTCCTCAGCTGGAACGGGACAAAAAGTGGAGCCCTTCCGCTTGCCAAAAGGGGCACCATGATTACTACTAGTACTATTTATATGGAGTCAAACCACTCGCTTGCCACTATTGATTTTCGGTCTTATTCTGAATCTTAGCTTCATCTTCCTCTGGGGAATCCTTCCTTCTCATAATTGCTCTTCTTAAGTTTAATAAAATGTCATTCTCCATGACTCGGGAAACCTAAAATCTTCTCAAGTTCCCATTCCCGAGCTGGAAGAAGATGCAGACGAACTCTCCTGTATCACATCCCGTCGGACGTTATATATCGGTATGTATGTATGTATGTATGTCTCGAGCTACATGACACAAAATCCCCCTAGCTCGGTGGAGTCTCACAGTACATCAATTCCCCTGTGGGTGGCTGGGGCGAAAGGAAGCACAGTGTTCCATAGACTTTCAAATTCCAATTCATGAATGAACTGGGTGCAGTCTATCCTGTCAAGGGTGGTCAATTCATAGAAACCATGTTGATGCACGGACTTTTCCCTTGCATTTCTTTGCAGGGAATCAGGGCTCTCAATGTGGTTATCTCCCATGTTAGACCATGAAAAGCTCCGAAGTACCCATAATAACATATGTAGTCATCACACGCATCTTTAGCTAAACTTCGTTCTCCATAAAAGACGCGCCGCGGTCACGCTCGAGGATCACCATCAAGGCGCGTCCACACGAAAGAGGCGAGGTATTAGGTAGTAGACCAAAGCCCAAAACAACAATAGATCTGTGATCGACACCCCTTGCGTATTGCAGCAGTAGATCACTGACACTACCTTTTTTTCTCTGCTACCCGACGCACCCGTCATTAGAGCATTGACAAGATATTCCTTAGGACCACCATCCTACAACGCTTGTCGTCTTAGTGGCCATCCAAGACGGCGGTGGCGAGACTGGATGAGTCCTCGGTGGGACTGACCATGAATTGTCAATCCAAGTCATGAGTCCATCAATCGAAATGGAAAATAGCTTTGTGAGTGTGGCGGGTGGTGACCAAAGAGGATGATAAAATTAGAAATCCTGCATTAGCTGAAACCGATCGAGGATTCTGACCAAGGGCTCCCATCATCGAAGGGGATGGCATCTGCACAACAACTCCCTTGTTGTACATACCATCCAGCCTTCGACAACTGATCCGAAACCTAAGACAGCTAGCGGACACAGGCAAGGAGCCAGGACTGTACTTGACCCTTAATCTGCGAAATATTCAACCTTCTTGCCAAGGTTGGTGCGGAGTAAGATAAGTGTAATTTCCAACGGAGAGACCAAAGGGGGGGGGGGGGGGGGGGGCCAACGGTCTCGAAACAACATGGAGCACTCAAGGGCTTAGTATGTACTTTGTACTGTGTGCTTTGTAGATGGTAGGGTGTTGTCATGAACCACGTGGGGATCAAACCTCCCCCGAGCTCAGCATTCCGTTGCTCTAATTAATACCCGAAACATCTCCAATGGCATTTGCCTGCTCTGTCCCACTCATCAAGCGTCTAGAAGCAGCTTCCAGAAAAGGGGCCAGATGATGGTACAGTATAGAGTATGGAATGAGGAATTTTGTGGTCTTGAAGCGGTTTCTGAGGTAGGATCCACAGATCTCGTCACATCACCCAATAGTCCAACCCTAAGCTGTCATTTCGGTGTCGGCACAGGCCATCGAAGGTGATCTGGGGCTGTATTATTCAAGCTATCTAGCACAAAACAGTGGCACCTTACAGCTAGAGAGAATAGCAAAGAGGTTGAAAAGGCTAAGGTATCGAGACAGTAGCTCGAAGCCACAAGGTATGCATATACAAGAGTTGTAGATACACCCTAATTCCGAAAGATATATATATATACAGGTCGGCGGGCATCGTGTGAAATGCAGTTAATACCAAAAAATACTTGTTGATCCCTCAACTACTAAATCAAATCATCATAAACAAGGATGGAAACGTGATAAGTAATTTCAGAGAGAGAATAGAACTGAAAATCGAAAAAGAAAAAAGAAGAAAAAAAAAAAAAGAAAAGCTCACCGATCTGGGACATGTTTCGTGTTTTCCGCGTCAGGGTTAAATTTATCGCTGATAAGGGAACATCGATGATAAGATCGAATCAACTCTCGATCCCTATGTGATGCCATAACATACCTTGATTGAAGATGCGATTTCGCACTCAACTCGTTAACGCTGCAACTTTTTCGAGTAAGTGTTGTCTGCACTTTTTCTTAGCCGCCTTGGATTCCCCTTTCTCCCTGTAAACCAATGTTGCCTGTTGGTGCTCCCGCCAAGTCTCAATGGAAGCTTCAACCCAATGCGCGGCTCTCCACTAAGCACTAACACCTATCTATAGAGTTGACGGCATCCCTCTCATCGCTGGGTAAGGTATGCTGGATGCGACTGGAAGATGGAATCGTTCGATTTACCATCATCCCTGATCAAGGTACCCAAGTCTGGGCGCAGTTACCCGTGGTATGTACCCCTTGTCATCCGAGCGAAGAAGGTCTGATCTAAACAAATCGTACCAGGACGCCATCTTCGATGAAACCAGTTATGTTGTGGAATCCAACTCCGGGGTTATCAACCTTGAAGTTCCCGTCGGTGCTCTCCACCGTGCCCTTCGCTCCGCCGTAGCAGCGACGTCAGCCCAACTGCGTCTGACCAAAAAAGGCAACGTCCCTCTCTTGGCTCTTACGATCCACGCATCATCCTGGACCACCGGGTCCAACGCACTAGGGATCGCTGAATCTGACCATGCAGCCATGACCGGCCCGGCTCTCGGAGGGGAAGATGCTGGTCGCGCAGGTCAGGCAACCGGTGCGTCCAGACCAGCAGCCGTTTCTGGACCCCGAGAACGCGAGACGGTTATTACGCAGGAAATTCCTGTAAAGGTCCTCCATGAATCTGCCATCGAGGGGCTCCATGAACCGCGATGTCGTGACCCCGATGTGCACATCATCTTGCCTAGTTTGTTCCAGTTGAAGAGTATCTCCGAGCGGTTTACTAAGTTGGCGGCCGATTCCAAGGGTTCTTCGGGTTCTGCGGTTGTGTCTGCTATTGCGCCTAAACTGGAACTATCAGCGAACATGCATGGATCGCTGAAGTTGGCGCTCGCCACGGACGCCTTGCGTATTTCAAGCGTTTGGACGGATCTGGTGAACCCGTCGCTGGACCCGGGGCAGCTCACTCAGACGGAAATTGAGCAGCTGCCGAGTGAGCGGATGAGAGCGCTAAACAATGATGATGAGCCGGTTGGGCGAAAGTGAGAATTGACGGGAAGGATTGGGGAAGGGTGCTGAGTGTCGGGCGATTGAGTCCTAAGGTCGTTGCATGTAAGTTGGGGACGTCGCTTACACCGGTGACTGGAGTACCTTGCTGATTCTGTTGACTTGCGCACAGGTTTTATCCATGAGACGGCCTTGATACTCTACGTTTACTTGCCGGGGAGCTGGAATGGAGAAGACTCTTGTTTGACGGTGAGTTTTTCAAGCCGACGTAGTTAGGTTCAGACTGACAGGGACAGTATTACATCAATTCTTACGCGGCCTGAGTAGAATTACTGGGTTCAGATTGTGGATGTAATCCAGTCTCTGTATGCAAAAGGTACGCGCAATACAAACGCACATAACACCGAGCGTCCGAAGGTCGAAATTATTATAATACTATTAAAATGTTCAAATAATAAACGTTCATGTTCCGTGAAACTCGAGGCAGCAGAAAGCCTTCGGTTCAAGCCCTCATGCCAAGATCCCAAATGGACAGAGGTGTAAGCAAAGCAATCATCAAGGGGAATAAGGGAAGCAATAAGCACTGCATAAGGTGCATATGCAAATATTTATTGTACACGGGAATATATCGGTCATGCAATGGGGTCGAGAAGAAGAATGTGCTCCTCATCGAGGCAACGCACTATGCAAGACTTTTGTGCAGGCGGGTAGAAGAATTCTATAGCACACGCAAGCCGTATGCGCTTCACGATGTGCAAAAAGTAGCGTGGGGCCGGGAATTAGGAAAATCGTAAGACATGATCACACAAAAGAAAAAAAATAAAGACCCTGCATCTAGTAGGCTGGCCAACCTACTTCGCCATCACATCGACATATCGGCCTTTCTTTCGTCCTTTAGCAGGAGCGCCCTTGCGCGCCTGTGGTGCTCCAAGAAGGTCATCTATGGAGCTGGCATTGCTCAATGATGTTGCAGGGCGAGGAGGGGGCAAAGAGGAGCCCATTGGTGGCGTGGGCATGGCTGCACCAGTAGAGGCTGACCGAGCAGTGCCTAGCATAGGTGGGGGGGCAGCAAGCGAGGGGGGTGCTGGGCTGCTGGATAGTAACGGGGGAGCAGCACCTGCAGACGATGGGGGCCTACTATCAAGCCCCAAACCCATGCTTGCTGCAGGAGGTGCAGTGCTGCCACTGGCACTTCTGCTAGGAGGACCTGGCGCTTTGGGTGGCGGTGGTGTGCCACGTGATACAATGGCGCTGTTCGGGTCTTTCTTGTTGACCCATTTCTTCAACTCCTTGTCATAATAAAAAGAGTTTTCCTCGCCGAGTTTGGCACGGATAGGGCCCCCCGAGTTGTTGTTGTTGTTGTTGTTCTCGTTCTCTTTCTTTGCTCCAAACCAACCACCAAACCATGATTTCTTCGCTGCGGCGGGGGGTCTCTTGGCTGTAACAGACAAATCAGTAACATGCCCAAGTATTAACATCTAAGGACAGAACTTACCATCAGCTTCTGCAGCTTTTCTGAACGCCTCATCGGCTTCGCGGTCTTTGCGTGCCTTCTCAGCCTTCTGAATAGCGGCTGCACGCGCCGCAAGGTCATCGTCATCATCATCGTCCATGAAGGACTTCTTCTTTTTTAGGACATCCTGATGCGTGGGCTCTTCCGCAGTGTCCAATGTAGGAACTGCGCTAATTTCGACGGAAGGCGGTTCATAACCACTACCGGCTCCGGGCGGAACGTAGCCGGCTACGCTAGGTGCAGGCACTGCCGCCAAAGTTTGATCAAGAGGTTCACCAAAGGACTCATTAACAGGGGGTTGATAGGGTGATATATTCACCGGAGATCCTTGCATTGGGGCAGGTTCGACAGGGTAGGGCTGAGAAATTGAATCTTCCACAACAGGCGCCAGAGGCATATATGACGCTTGAGGGGGGTAGATTGATAGCCTGCGGCAGATGGAGACCCGTAAAGTGGGCCACCTTGATACACGCCGCTTTCAACAGGTGTCGATGGTTCTTGGGAACCTCGTCGTTGCCCAAACGGGAACCCGAACGACGATGATCTCTGGGAATCAAGAGATGATCTTCCACGATATTGTTCAGGGGAAGAATTGGGGATGTATTGGTTGCCCGGTTGATATCGGGAAGGACCGCTGCCTGGCACCGACTGGGCTGCAGGCAAAGAGTAGGGCCCAAAGTCCGACACGGATGGCGACCGACTGACGGTTGGAGTGCCGGAAAACTTAGCAAACGGCCCAATATCTCCATCTCCAGCTTTTCCGGAACCCGTTGAGGCGGCATCACTATCTTCACCAGCAACGAAACTGTTGAACTTGGCCCACATCGAGCCAGAAACCTTCTCCATGCTTGGTCTGGAGATCCAAGAAGACCCACTGTCGCTGGTCGTTTGTCTCAAGCGCGCCGAGAGCTCGTCTACTCCGAAAAGCAGGTGTTGGTTGTGATAGCCAGATGGCTTTGTAGTTGCCTTTAGAGCTGCTGTAATGGCATCGGCGTACTGCAAAGCTTCAGATTTGCGACCATTCTCTGCAAGGGAGCAAGCACGAATGAGTTTGAACGCCAACAGATGTGGTAATGTAGATGTAGGAGATCCTGCCAAGACTGAAACTGCATATTCATATGCTTCGGTAAGCAAGATCGCATCATCATCCTGCAACACGTTCAAGGGTAGATGTTGGTGGTCGGCTCCCAATAGAACTATACTCGTTTGTGGGTCATCAGCACCGCCAAATACCGCGGCTCGTGAAAACATAAAACAAATATGAGCAGCTTCCGTCCGGCCGTATGATAACAGCAGTCGACCGAGGGCCAACAGGGCCTTGTGGTCTTCGGGACTGCGGTTGCTCAAAACTAGCCCTAACGTATCCCTCCAGCTATCCAGACCTTCAAGGGCATTTTTAGACGGCCCTTGTCCACCAGCTTTACTGACCATCTGGAATCCCGCTCTTGCCGACGGGGGAACAAGCTCATCAACGCTTTCATCGACATTTCCAGCGAAGATTTCATAGAGTGCTGCAAGGGATTCTGAGTTACCAGTCGTAGATTTGACTTCACGTCTGACAAATTCTTGAACGACCTGCTTCCAAACAGACCTATCGAGGGTTGAGGCGATTATCATAGCATGTCCCCATAGACGATTGTCCACCGCATCCCATACAGCTTTCTCCCGGTTACCCACAAGAAGGCTATTGCGAATGCTCTCTATTGACTGGCTGTCAGTAGCATCTGATTGGGAGGGGGCGTTCAGTGGCGGCAAAGCATTGAAGGCTGGGAGGTTGACTCCGGAAGTCGGCTCCGACTCTGAACTTTGCAGGTGAGGGAATATAATGTAGCGTAACGACTTTTCTATCTCAGCTGATCCTTCCAAGGCACCATCGTGTTCAACCAACGCTCGAACAATCTTCCACAGCAATATTTTCTCGTCATGTCGTTTCGAAGACTCAGGGTGTAATTGAGCTGCTTCAGAGATGCCCTCATTTTCGAATGCCGCAATTTTACTCGAAAGCCAGGCAATTAGGTCCTTCTTCTTGGACTTGTGTTTCAGTGGGCCGGGATGTTGTACAATGCCTTCAGTGATAGGCACCCAATCGTTGACTGGAAATATTTTCACTTCCCCTGGGGTAGACTTGATTTTTGGCGCGGCTTGACCAGCAGCATATCGAGGTACATGCTTTGGGAAACATGACGTTATAGAGCCACCAAATCCAAACTTGACAATTGGGGCGCCTTTCCATCGCTCAAGTGGATCCAATTCCTGTCCATCATTCGGTGGGATGAACTCAAGCTGTTGCGACGGAACACGGTGATGGAGAGAAACCTGAGACGGCGCGTAGGGGTTGGCGGACTTCGTTGGGGAAGCGGGAGCATGAACCGAAGCAGGCCGCTGTAAAGGATCCGAGGGCACAGATAAACCTAGAGCCGATGCCTGTTGGCTAGGGGATTGAGTTTGTGACCTGCGAGGCGGAACAAATTGAGCGTCACCAGTAGGAGGCACAACCGCCGGTGGAGGACTAGCCATAGGAGCAACACGCTTTGAAAACTCATTTATATACGATGGAGGAGCATATGAAGTCCTCGGAGGTGAGGTGGGCTGAAGAGCTGCCGACACATTTTCAGGAACCGCCGTCGCAGCAGCTGAACCTACAGCACCAACGGGGGCTGTGATAGAGTTAGAAACTTCCTGCTCATCCGGATGCGGCTGCATACCGATGGGAGCATAGCTAGATGCTGGTTCTTGAGCGGATCTGATAGCAAGGCCCTCTGGCGGTTGGTATGAGACTTTTTCATGATGAGCCAACGGACTTGAGGTACGTGGTTGGAACGGCAAAACAGTCCCCTGACTAGAGACACTAGATGGCTGAGAAGCATAGCGGGTACGAGGTGGTGCTGGGGAATACCTGGGTGCCGATGGAGGTTTGGTCCCAGGTTGTATAGTAGGTGGTTTAGGTGAGTAACGCGACGCTGCACTAGGCGCTGCCGGGGCGCCAGGAGCACTTGGGCCCAATAGATTTGCATACGGATCTAAGCGTTCTGGCTGTTGCAACTGAGATTCAGAACCAGCACTACCACTGCCTGCGGAGGAGGAGAGAGACTAGCATATGGGTTCGCCGGGGGCGGCGGCTGCGAGTAGGATGGCGGGGACGTCACTATATTAGCAGTAGGCGTATAGCGTCCCGAGCTCGCGGGACGGGATTTTGGCCGAGGGGGCGGCAAAGGTAGTTCTTCATAGAAGTTCTTAGGTGTTGTGACAGGTGGCGCTGGAACTGACGTTGCCGCCGGAGGTGGAGTAGGTACTCCTGGGACATTGGGAGGAGGCCCTGGGATACTGCTACTCCGAGGTGGTGGTGGTGGCATGCTACCAGGATGCGCGACAGCCGGTTTGTGGGCAACTACGGGTTTGCGAGGACGAGTAAGATCATCTGGCAGGTCGTAGGGTGACTTGTAGCCTTCTTTAGAGCGTTCTGCAAAGCTCTCTGCTCTCTTTGCGGTCGGCCGCGGCTGGGGCGGGGTTGCAAAATAGTCTTGCATTGGAGCGACACTTGATTGAGGACCAATGCCTGGTATCCCTTGTAGTAAATCCGATGTGGATGGCTGATGTGGCGTGTAACTGGTGGGTTGCGCCTGAGGTCGCGCTGAGCTCTGCGGAGTACCGAAGGGACTGCTCAGGGTTGCTTGGGTCGTCTCGTGGACACTCCCATTTAGATTCTGAGAAAGCGACTCTTGACGATTGTTCGAGCCCTCGCCAATCTCGTCCTCCAGAAGCAAATCGTCATCGTCATCAAGCGCTGCTTGCCACCTAGCAGCCAAGTCATCTTCTGAACCCTTCTCAGGTTGGTCATTAGACAGCTCAGCCTGCCACTTTGCAGCCAAATCATCGTCAGAAAGATCTTCCTTGGTCTGGTTCTCTGATGCAGCCGCCGCCAAGATATTGTCAAATTCCTGAGCTGTTGGGGATGCGGCGCTGACCGGAGAGTCGGGGTAAGCGTCAAGCGAGCCGATGACTTGTGTGGTACTCTTGCGAGTAATATGGGGGGAAGGTTCTGCTTCCTCTTCTGGTACAGATCCTTGAACCTCATTGAAGAATGCTCCACCTTCATCGTCACCGTCATTCTCGAACAGTTCATCGATCTGACTCTCTTCCTTCACATAAGGCTGGGCTGGTGACTCCAAAGTATTATCTAGCAACGGAACACCCTCCTCATATCTAGATTCTGTTTCTGGTGGGATATAAATTGGTTTGGTTTGGGTTTTCAGCTGGCTGAAAAAGTCGTCCCCGGCATCACCATTTGTAGGGCTTCCCCAAAAGTCTTGGTTATCGTCATTCACAAATTCGTTGGTAGTCAGACGGTCACCTTTATCAACTTGTTCATTGAACCAAGAAGCTGCGTCATTATCCTCACGACGCTCTGTAGTGTTATGTTCTGCTGGAAAGGATTCGTCCATCACATTATCAGGAGTCGTGGTATCGGGAGACCCATTCGCGTCGCCCCCAAACACAGGCGCGCTTTCCTCAGAAGTCTCGATAGCACGAGGCTCATCGGACATTGTTTGCGGTAACCCCTCCTGATGGCCTGGGATATCTTCCTGCGCAGAATTCTCTGCATTGTTCTCTCGGGCAATCTCTTCAGTCAAGACTTGCTCAGCATGCGGCGGAGTATCTAAGTCCATTACGGCCGGGACGGCTGTAGGCTGCACGTCAACAGAAGCATCGGTATTTGGGGATGCAGAGCTGCTATGAAAATCGTTCTCTTGGATAAATGCCTGGGGGGAGTTGAGCTCGGTGGCAGATTCTGTTGTTGAATCTTTCGAGTCCTGTGTTAGGTCGTCCGAGATAGGCGCATTCGAGGATACGCCATCCTCCGATCTGAGAGCCGGATGCCAGGCGGCCGATACCTCATTATGAGCCATGTTTGCTGGATATAAGATCTAACTCGGCGGTAAAATATTAGCTTAAAATAGATCGCATGACACGTTTCCAAAACTCACCCTGGCAGGACCGACGAGGCAAAATGGCAACGGCGTAGAATTATTTTATTAGTAAAACATGAAATAAGAAATGTACACGGCTTGCGTTGAACTAGTTCATCACAAAAAATCAAAAGAAACAAGGACTCATGGCCGCATATCCAGGAAGAACAATAACCACGACTTTGGGAATCCAACAGCTGATTCCGTGACGGACTTCCGGATTCTCTCTTATGATACTACTACTAGTTAACTATTATTGACCTATCGGGCCCTTGGGACGCGCCCGTCACCCGGGGCGGGGGATTAATGTTCCAGGCGGAAGGGCCACCTATTCCGTTTACATGGTCACGTGTCTGCATGGCAGTGCAGCACTGTGAAGCAGAAAAGCGGGACCGCCCTACTGTCAACCGAACTTTTGACAATGTAAATATTCTGTGAAACCGATGCAACCAAATTGTTGTTCCTAATGGCTCAAAAGAAAAGACTAAAGCGATATTTATTCTTGTTACAAACCAACTAGCTAGTGAGGCCTAGGGAAAATGAAAGGGAAAACAGGGGAAAGTGGTTGGGCGGTACCCGGGGCGGTAGAAATATTTCTGCCAGACAGTATCATCCCAATTGTCAACCTGATTAGTTATAGCCCATAATTACAGTGGATAACCAGTAACTACTAGTACGTAGTACTAATTGAATTGATGCGCCATTAACTTAACTCCCAAGAAATGTAATTTTTATGCACCGTAAGCACCTATGGAGTACTAGCCACAATTACAATTCCCCAGGAATACCTACTATGCCCTTTTGAAAATCAACCAATGCAAGACCGTGGTCCTGGATATAATCTTAACCATTTAATTACACTTATGACATCGCTGTTTCACAACGCACCCTATTTATTGATGCGCCACAATTAGTACACGTCTCCTGCGACCATCCAATCATGTGATTGGACACCTCCACTACTGCCCTTCCTGACTAAGGTATTAACATCTCCATACTCTAGGCCACCATCACTCGAGATTACGAACGCCCTTGCTCTTCACAATAATAGACCCAAATATATCTCCTGTACCTCTTCATTTCGTTTCTGCGCCCCATCCGATAACCACACCGCCGATATCTTGCGCGACCAAACCCCGAATATCTCCCTACCACATCAACAATGCTCATGCTGAAAAGTCTTGGATGCAACTCGACGTGACATGATATCATTTGCTAGTGCAGGAGCTTGAGGACTGCTCCCCTGGATGTGGGGACTTACACCGCATTTGTCTGTGATCTGTTCATCATGCCTTCATCATCCGATTACTTAAACCCCACGCCCGAGCCAGCATTGCTGGTGATTCTGGTTCGGACGACGACCTTGACTTGGAGGAGCTTGATCCAACCACGGCAACAATTCACTCCCCACGCTCAACAGACGAACCGACGAGACTAAGAGACCATGGACCAGGGATTGCGCTGAGGAATTTGCGCCTGGGCGTAAGAGATCGAGTGTGGGGCCGGAGTCACTCCGGGACGTACAGGGGATCGGAGGACATGGATCGTTTGCTCGAAGATCGAGATGACGACGACCTGCGAAGGTCCCACACGAGCTCTCGCAATTATACTGATGACAATGCGCCCCTACTGGAGGAAGGTCGACATGAGTCCAGTTCCTCGTTTCCGGATACCGAGCGGGTGCCGCATAGGGGTCGTCGATTCCGATTTCCGGGTGCGAAAATAGCAAGTTTGTTCTTTGGCTCTTCGGCATCAACTGAGAGTGAAACTGCGATAGCGAAGCCTCCCCGCGATGTTTTTGTAGGACAGGCACAAAGGTCCAAATACCCGCCTAATATCGTTTCGAATGCAAAATATACTCCGTGGAGTTTCTTGCCCCGTACATTGTACAACGAATTCTCGTTCTTTTTCAACATCTATTTCCTCCTTGTCGCGCTTTCACAGATTATTCCTGTGCTTCGGATAGGCTACATGTCCTCTTACATTGCGCCATTGGCGTTTGTCGTTTCCATATCTCTTGGGAAAGAGGCTTTGGATGATATCGGTCGACGGCGAAGGGACGCAGAGGCGAATGCAGAGGAGTTTTCTGTTCTAGCATTTGATAAGCCTCTTGAGAGGCAGGCGGTTTCTGCGTCCGGCAATGTTAACTCCGAGATTGCAAATTCCTTGCAAGTTACTAAGAAATCTCGGGACCTGAAAGTTGGTGATGTCTTGAAAATCCGAAAGAACCAACGCCTTCCTGCCGATGTTGTGATCTTAAAAAGTGTCTCGAATGACACGACTCACCAGGACACCGTGGCAGAGGCATCCACAGATCTTATACAGGCGGACCAAAGTTCAGCACCGCCTGCGGCGGAGCCTAGCTCGAGTACTGCAGCAGAAACTACGAACGCATCGTCGGCTAGCGATACGTTCATACGTACAGATCAGCTGGACGGTGAAACCGACTGGAAACTACGTCTGCCATCAGTACTATCGCAAACCCTTCCACTTACGGACCTCTCCCGGTTGAAAGTGACTGCAAGCGCACCGGATAAAAGTGTAAATGAATTTGTTGGCACTATTGAGTTAGGGCCTCCTGTCGGATTTTACGATCCCCATGTTGATAAGGCAGATGATGATTCTGGTAACGAAGGAGTTCAATCCAAATCTGCTCCGCTAACGATCGATAACACGGCCTGGGCCAATACGGTCCTTGCCTCAAATACGATAACATATGCCGTCATTATCTATACTGGTTCACAGACACGAGCGGCACTTTCAACATCCCCATCTCGCTCCAAAGTAGGGCTGTTAGAGTATGAAATCAACAACTTGACCAAAATTCTATGCGCTTTGACTCTCACCCTGTCGATTATCTTGGTTGCCTTGGAAGGGTTTCAGCCAACTAACGATAAAGAGTGGTATGTTGCGATCATGATTTATCTCATCCTCTTCTCTACGATTATCCCCATGAGCTTGCGTGTCAACTTGGATATGGCCAAATCGGTGTACGGCCGTTTCATTGAGCGGGACAAGGATATACCTGGTACTGTTGTAAGAACCAGCACTATACCTGAGGATCTTGGTAGAATCGAGTACCTGTTGTCGGACAAGACGGGAACCTTGACCCAGAACGGTGAGTCTCTCTCCCTTCTTTGGATAAAGTGTTAGTCAACTGACTTTGGCAGAAATGGAGTTGAAGAAAATCCATGTTGGAACCGTGTCATATGCAAACGACGCCATGGATGAGGTGGCCTCATATGTAAAACAAAGCTTTTCTGGTAGCTCATTGACTACTCCTTCAACACCGTTTGGAACTCAAACAGGAGTTGGAACAGCCCCTCGCACACGGAGAGAAATCGGTTCGCGTGTCAGGGATGTTATACTCGCTCTTGCTTTGTGCCACAATGTTACACCGACAACAGATGAAGAAGATGGTGTGAAAGTAACAAACTACCAAGCCTCTTCGCCGGATGAAATTGCAATTGTCCGGTACACCGAGGATGTTGGGCTCAAACTGGCCTATCGTGACCGCCAGACGATTGTTCTCGAATCTACACACACCCGAAGCGTCGTTGTACGTGTTCGCATACTTGAGATATTTCCTTTCACTTCGGATAGCAAACGTATGGGAATTATCGTGCAATTTGAGACAGATGGTGGAATATTAGAATCTCCCAAACAAGGACCCGAGATCTGGTTTTATCAAAAGGGCGCAGACACGGTTATGACCTCGATCGTTGCAGCAAACGATTGGCTTGATGAGGAAACTGCAAACATGGCTCGGGAGGGCCTGCGCACTCTGGTTGTGGGAAGGAAACGGCTTTCCTTGCAGCAATATCAGGAATTCGATGCGAAGTTTAAGCAAGCGTCGCTTGCTCTCCAAGGACGGGACGTCGGTATGGCCAAGGTCATCAGCGAGTATCTTGAACGAGACCTGGAACTCCTCGGAGTGACTGGAGTCGAAGACCGTTTGCAAAGAGATGTTAAGCCGTCACTAGAACTTCTCCGCAACGCTGGAATCAAAATCTGGATGTTGACAGGGGACAAGGTGGAGACAGCACGTTGTGTGGCTATTTCTGCGAAATTAGTTGCCAGAGGACAGTACATCCATACTGTCACCAAAGTCAAAGACAAATCGGCTGCCCAGGAAGCTTTGGATTTTCTGCGTAACAAAACTGACTGTTGCTTGCTTATTGATGGCGAATCGCTCTCTCTCATGCTTGGTCAATTCCGGTCAGCGTTCATATCAGTTGCAGTCTTGTTGCCCGCTGTTGTTGCGTGTCGATGTTCCCCAACCCAGAAAGCTGAGGTTGCAGACTTGATCCGTCAGCATACCAAAAAGCGAGTCTGTTGCATAGGAGATGGTGGCAACGATGTGTCCATGATTCAGTCGGCTGATGTGGGAATTGGCATCGTCGGTAAAGAAGGACGCCAGGCTTCCCTTGCAGCAGATTTCAGCATTACGCAGTTCCACCATCTCACCAAGCTCCTGGTCTGGCACGGACGCAATTCCTACAAACGGTCTGCCAAACTAGCACAGTTTATCATGCATCGCGGTCTTATCATCAGCGCCTGCCAGACCATGTACAGCATTGCCAGTCACTTTGATCCCAAGGGTCTCTTTATCAACTGGCTCATGGTCGGTTATGCTACCGTTTACACCAACGCCCCCGTTTTCTCCCTGGTCCTTGATCGTGACGTGGATGAACACCTCGCCAACCTCTACCCCGAACTGTACAAAGAACTCAAATCCGGCCGCAGTCTAAGTTATCGCTCTTTCTTCACCTGGGTCCTGATCTCCGTATACCAGGGGGCCGTAATCCAAGGCCTCTCCCAGATCCTCCTAGACACAATCGCAGGACCCCGACTCATCAGCGTATCATTCACCGCCCTGGTTATCAACGAACTTCTAATGGTCGCTATCGCCATCACTACCTGGCACCCTGTAATGATCTTCTGCCTCCTAGGCACAGCCCTCCTGTACGCTGCCAGCGTCCCCTTCCTCGGCGAATACTTCGACCTGCAGTTCGTGATCACTGTGGATTGGGTCTGGCGTGTCGTCGCCGTTGTCGCCGTGGCCATCATCCCCGTCTGGGCTGGAAAGTTGATTCAACGATCCTGGCATCCTCCAAGCTACCGGAAAGTGAGGGGCTAACTTAATCATCTTAGCCTCTTATCTCCCTTCCTCACTTGATTCTGCTCCCTACTTACCACCACCGCCCGCTACTGCTCTTCTCGCATGTGATAAGAATATTTCATCGGTTAAAAGGTGTTTGGAGCGAGCGCTTTTTCACTTCTGATATTTACTGTATACCTGTAGCAACTGTACCTTTTGATACTGCCACTGAGGCACTGTCATGGTTGATATATAACATAGAATTCAACTGATTTACCTTTTTTTTTTTTCCTTCTGAAAGCCCGCAGGCTCTTCCCTTGATGCTGTATCGTATAATAGAAAGTGGCATCGGCCCCGAGCATTCAAACAGCACACTATTCTTTGCAGTATGAAAAGAATGAGGACGGCTGGACGATGGATGTAATTAAGTCTTATTATCTATTGCTAAGATTTACTACCACGTCTACATCGTGGCCCTACATCAAAATCACATGGCTAGTCTACCTGTTCTAGCAACTCCTGAAAAGGTTGAAGAGCGGCGCAGTGTAGAGGCTAGACCAGTTTAATAGGGGTTAAAAGAATATCTAAATACAATACTCTGTAAGCTATGTAGGGTATAGGGTGTATTTACCCTAAACGCCACCTAAAAGTTAAAACTCGCACCGTTTGTATACTACGTGAGTTTGGAAAGGCATCATCACAAGAAAGGTTTCATGGTACCTGGGGTGCTCCATTTGAGGGAAGGGTTGATTTAGTACATATATATTAATAACCAGAAAGGCTAATGTCTACTGCAGATAGTAACTCCCCAGACATGCAAACATAAGCATGATGCATACAGATCATGACACAGCATTGCTCATCACCTCTGCTTCTGAATCGTTGAAGAAGAGAGATATCCCTGGCGGCGTATATCACAGCCCCAAGCAGATTGAGATAAGAACGGGGCTCCTGTTGAGACTAAGGACTGAACACTTTCTTGAACCGGAAATGGGAGAGATCCCGGATGACCTGCGCAGTACTCTTCATGTTCTCCTTGACGATGTATGACGTGGGTTTAGAGAACAACTCGTCGATCTCTTCCAAAGACTTGTTCTTTGTTTCCGGCATGAAGATGACCTGGTAGACCCAGCCGATTGCGGCGATACCACCGTAGAAGCCAGAGTGAGACCGATACGGGTCATAGATTTCATCATGGCGGTGAAGTTGTATGTGACGATGAACGAGCAGAGGAACAGGTTGGCGTCAGCAGTAGTCATGCCATAACTACGAAGGTAGGTGGGGAACACCTCAGATGGGATAACCCAGGTCAGACAAGCGTACGAGCCAAAGAAACCCATGTAGAGGATGATGCCGGTGAGGTAGACACCCTGGGCGGCCACTGGGTTCCGATCGGGATTGATTTGATAACCCACACCAACCAAAACAAGACCGATAAAGAAACACGGCAGCATGGTATTGGCCCAGTAACGCCGACCGAATTTCTCCATGTACATGACCGCGGGGATCGTGCCGATCAGCAAAGAACCACCACCCACTAGCGACATGAAGACACTGTTACGTTTATCGAAACCAATGTTTTCCATAAGAGTACCCATGTAGTACATTACGGCGTTCACACCCGTTAACTGGCCGAGGACAATCATGATGTTGGCGTAGACCATGGCGCGGCGAGCTCGAGGGTTAGTAAAGAAGTCCATCCAGGCGTACTTCTTGGTGTTCTGCTGCTCCTCGTTCTCCGATTCCACCGACTGGCGCATGCTGAGGAACTCGCTCTTGGCATCTATATCCTCGAAGCCACGAATCTTTTTCCAAACGCCATATGCTTCCACTGGTCTGTTCTTGTGCATCAAGAAACGAGGACTTTCGGGCAAGAAAAGCATCCCGACGAAAAGAATGGTTGAGAAGACCAGGGACGAGCCAAGAATATAGCGCCAGTTGCCCTTGACGTCGAGGAAGATGGCAGCAACCGCATAACCAAGGACCTCGCCCAAGGCAATGTTTAGCTGATACAGCGAGACCAGGTTACCACGGATCCGTGATGGGACTGTAATCGTTAGCGGATGGAGCCCGACTGCAGTGAGAACAGGGCAGATGTTTGGTTACATACCACATTCAGCAACATAAACCGGAACGGTACCACCCTCCAGACCGACACCCATACCCAGAATGAAACGGCCCGCAAACATCATGCCAAAGTTGACGGCACCGGCCTCCAAGGCAGCACCAATGGTGTAGAGGATGCACGATACAATAATCGCCATACGACGGCCCAAGTACTCGTTGGCTGGAGAAAGGATTAGCGCACCTCCCACGGCACCCAGCGGCATACCGGCATTAACCAAGCTGGCGTCCGAGTCAGACAAGTGCAGGTCATCAGGCATGTAGAGGTTGGCACCACTGATCAAGGACTGGTCCAGGCCGGAGAGCAAACCTCCCATGGAGGCAAATGCGACTAAGATATAAGTGAAGTAGGCCGGGTTGGACAGGGAGACCTCGAAGCGCGACGTCTTCAATTCCTGCAACTGGTTCTCCAGTTGTTGGAGCTCCATGTCCATGGCAGCCTCGTCAAAGGCAGCAGTGCCCTTGGGGTCCTGGAGGATATCATCCATCTCCACGGCCGTGGCATCCTTGTGGTCATCATGGGAGGCCTCAACATCCTTTAGAGACCCCATGATGGGAGGCTGAATATCGTTGGAAATACCTGGGGAGGTTATGAGTATATAATACAAGGGGGGTGTTGATGTTATAAACAAGCGATAGACCAACGAGAGTCCCTCGAGTACTAGGGGAGATGGAAAGTAATCATTTAGCAACTACGGAAGAAAAGAAGAAAGGAAAGGAAAAGGAAAAGCGAGAAGAAGGTCGGGCAGCCGAGACAGCACGGGACTTATAAGGCCATTGTCAGGCACGTCACCCCATTCAAGAACTCTACAAGCTTTTGTCATACTGGATGGCACCTGACTGTGGGGGCAGCAGAATCTATTCAAAATCTTGGGGTAGATTACTACTCAAGGACTAGATGACTCGATTATGAGATTGGTAGCCAACGAGGCAGTGGAGACGTAATGATCCTGAGTTAAAAAGAAAAAAAAAAATTTTTTCCTTTTTTTTTTTCTTTCTCGAGTTGAATAAGGAATGTGTGCCGTCAAGACAAGAGGGCCCCGTGAGTAAGGAGACCTGGAGATGGAATGTTGTTGGGTGAGAACTCCGGAATCACTCCGCATGGAGACCATCGGGAAGGAGGAAAATAAAAAAGAGGAGAGCGCCGATCCCCACACGGCAAATAAACCTTCCCCGTGGAGGGCAAAACCTACGACAATCCAGGAAGCCGAGTCCGGCAACGGTACAATTTCGGGGAGTCTCCGGGTTTTTTCATATAAAATGTCGAACATGCGTCCAATGGAAGAGGGACAATTGCGGGATTTATGGAGCGTCATCGGAGAGAAAATCAGAGGGAGAAAACGCCCAGCACGAAGAAACCTTCTACCTGCCCACCCGAGCCTCTCATTCGCCCGTTCCCCAGTTAAGATTCCGCCAGGAAAGGCTTAGTTTCATCGAACCATTCGTCCTAACCCTGGAAAACGTGGGGGGTCTCCATTTCTCGTGAGGTAATCTGCCCCTCCTGTGTCTAACAAGTGTGGTAGCTACTTTGCTCTGCTCCGAATATGGTCGTACCGTCGTGGTCAAAATTTTATTATCCACCTGTTGTCGGTCTTTTACCATACACAGTACTAGTAGTTACATTGGTGGCTGTTCGTTCTTCCGCCCTATACTCCGTACAATCACATGATATCAATCACATTAGCTAAAAAGTTCATGATATGTATTCTCTAACCTGTCTCTAGTACTCCACACTGTACATGTATCAGTAGCACACCAAATTACATTAATTAGTTGAGAAGCAACGAACAGAAAAATAATAAAGAAGAAAACAGTCACGTCCTCCGGAGACACAGACACTAACCAGCAGTACCTGCCTTCTTGGTGGGATATCCATCCTCTGCGTCAGATCACTTCTTCCTAGTTTCCCCGGTAAAGCCAACTTCTAGAGAACCGCTAGGGAAAAACTTTTTTTTCGGAGGGCTCCAATTTTTTTTGTCTAGTTTTTCCAAATTTTTTTTTTTTTTTTCATCGCATCCTTCCCCCAACCGGTTTTCGAGCGGTAGGATCCGATCCGCCATAGTATGGTGAAACCGGCCGACTATTCGGGTTCTGTCCGGGACTAGGCGACCGACCTCCATGTAATCTAGCCCGAAGCCTTTCTTGCGCCGAAGCTGCCCGCTCCAGAGGTTGAGTGCCGGATAGCGATTGATATGATCCAGCTCGCTGGCTGGGCAATGGTCGCGCTCCGCCCGGGTGCAGCGACGGCGGGGTAGGCGAGTGACTGGGTGGTGTTGCTAAAGACCCCGGGGGCGCACTGCTCGTGGCCGCCAACGGCGCACCCATGCTACCAGCAGCCCGTCCTCGCCGCAAGCTAGCCGTTTGAGAGGTGGGAGGTTGTGCCGAGCCCGAATCACCCCACAGATCACCTAATCCACCACCACTACCACGACCATACATCGAGGTTGCAGGAGCCGAACCATGAGCGCCGGACTGGATTTGAGTCGTCGCAATGGTCCGGGCCGGCGCAGGCGTTGGAGCTTTGGGGTTAGGGGGCAGCCAACCGGGAAACGGGCGGCCTTTCTCGCTATAATAGGCGCGTAGAACGTTGGAGATGTGAGAGCAGTCCTCGTGGTCCGGGTCGTCCGCCTCGTCGCCCAGAGTGATCGCCCGGCGAAGGGACGTCAGGCGGGTGCCGAGATTCGAGATCGCCGATGAGGACGTGAGGGAAGAGAAATAGGAAGACATCGTGTTGTGCGTCGTTGTTCAGGAGTGACACCGAATGTTCGTATAGTGGCGGGGTGTTCGATGGCGGCAAGGACGATGCGGTGTGGACGGAACTGAATACGACAACACCGGAATGCTCAACGGAAGATTCGAAGCTGGCGGTTACGGCAATGCGGGTCACAGTGACAATGGATACGATATCTCAACTAACAGCCGCCCAAGGAGGAGACAGAAAGTGTCTGCCACACTCTTTGCCAGGAGGTTAATTTGGCTTCATTAAGTCATTACACTTGGCGCTCCACTCGCTTGTTTCACCCCCTGCACGTGACGTCTGTCTTCCAGGAGTACAGGAGTATATCTACCATGGGTCACGATCACTTACCACCACTTTATCCCAAGGGGCTTGAGAGTCTGTTTTTTTTAAAAAAAATAAACAAATAATAATAAGAGTAACAATCATATTAAATCCGCAGGACCAGGAAGGTGTTTGTAAACTATGCAGAGACTGGGTATGACGCCCGATCGTAGCAGATGTGACTTCAGAGACAACAACCAGACAACGCCGTGCAAAATACAACAGACCAGAGTGCTTTTATGCTTTTTGACTTGGTATGTTCCAATATTCAAGAAAGGCCCCCGTCTTACGCGAAGAGATTCTCCTTGCCAACACCCTCGGTTTCGTACTCGATCTCGATCCGGGGACCCTTCTTCCGGGGTTTAGCCTGGGGAGCAGGACGCTTCCTCTTAAAGCCAGGCGCGGGCTTCTTCTTCTCATCCTCGCTGTGCTCGCTAGCATCCTCTTCATCGCTCTCATCATCACTGTCCTCGTCCTCGTCATCCTCGTCATCGTAATCATCACTAGAGTCTCCCGACTCCGCACCCAGCCAATCTTCAATATCTTCCAGATCCTCCTCCTCATCAAGGTCGCTAACGTACTCAACCTCACCAACGCCTTCCTCCTCCTCGTCTTCCAACTCTCCATCATCAAGATCCTCATCACGCTCACCCTCACCCGCGCGCTCCAGGCCGCGAAGAACCTTCTTCCAAATGCCCTCCTCCACATTCAGCGGCGCTTCACCGTAAGCACCACTGCGCAATCTCTCAATAAGCTCTCTCTCAATCGCCCGCTCGACCTTAGCCGCCGATTCAGCCTTGCGCTCACGGGTCTCCTCTCTCCGCCGAATCTTAGGCGCCATCTTCGGTACAATCTTCTCCCCCAGTCTCTCCTCCTCTTTAGCCAGCTTCTTCATGCGAATAGCCACCTGTGTCAGCCTCGTAAGACGCTGCTTGCACTTGTGCACCAGGAACTTGGGCCAGTAGATTAGTCGCTCGTCAAGTTGCTCCAGCGCCTTTGCGTAGTTCGACGACAGCCTTATCCGTTCCCACCATTTGCTGGGCATGTGCGCGCGTTCCACGGTCTTCATGTAGAGGTACATCACGCCAGTTTCGGGGTCCGACCGCACTGTGGCATAGCGGGAGTTGGCCAGTGGGCAAGACTGACGGTTGCAGAGACCGCTGACATTGTATTCGTTTCGGCAGAAATTTTGGCCTTTGGTTGTTCTAGAGGTGGAAATGTTAGTTAAATGATGTATCTGTTTTTTTTTCTATTTAAAAATTCCTTTATCATATAGTTCCTCCTTCGCATTGGCTTGTTGTGTCTCTTTGCTCTTTGCTCTTTTCTCTTTTCTTTTCTTTTTTTTTTTGGCGGGAGATATGCAAGTATTTTCATCAGTAACTTACTTCAGTTTATAGGAACAGAATTGCTGGTTTATAACCTGCCAGACAATCTCATCCGACGACATCTTGACTAGGGCCGGTCAGGAACCTCGAAATAATGGCCTAAACCGCTGTAGTTGGGAGAAAAAGTATCTTTGCTATGCGGCTAGACTTTGCGAGAACGATTGATTCTGCCGCAAAAAAAGTTGCCGCAGCGGTCATCACGTGATAATTTCTTATCGATAAGGCTCGGCAGTAATGGCAGCCGATTGCAAACACATCAACTACAACTGGTTAATATCGCTACTATCAGTAGATTGTGCTTGGTGCGATATAACTGAGAGCCACATGATCATTTCTATCGGGGTATATGTATTTCACTCATAATTGTCATTATACTCTAAGATGATAAAGAAACATATTCTCTTGACGTAAAAAATCGCCTCACCACCCCTCCATTTGCAATGGGCCTCCGTCCCATTCAGTTCCTTCTGGCAGTTGTCCACCAGCAGCAGCCATCTCAGCTTCCTCGCTAGCACCATTGAGCATTTCTTCGCCTGAAAGTCCCCAGCCCATTGCTTCGAGCTCTCGCACAAAGAAATCGCGCTCCTCTTCCATGAGTGATGCACCATCCTCACCGCCCATTACGTCTTTATACCGCCGCAGGTGCCACCAGTGTGTCAGGCCGCGGAGCGCTTGTTCGAGAGGCAAGGCTTCTTCCACTTCCGCATCGATGTCTGATCCTGCCAGCCAGTCATCTCGCAGCTCCGGACGGCAGTAGAGGTAGATGGCGGTAATTACACGCATGTTGCTTTGGCGCCATTTGCGGCCACAGTAAGGGACCTGTGATTTGAAGAGCTTGAGGGTGTAGAACCGTAGATACGGATCCGGTATTTTTAGCCCTTTCCGAAGGATAGTACTAGACTTGTATTGCACCAGCAACAGACATCTGTGGGCTTTGTCACGGGTAATCTTCTGCATGATATGCAAATAATTGATAGCAGAAAAGAAATTGCGGAATGAAAACACCTTGATTGGCTCTTTAGGTGGAGGTGCGGTAGGGTATCCCAGCTCATCCACCTCAGGACGAGGAAGATCGGGTTCGTTTAGGAACTCTTCAAAATCATCCTCCGGGGATTGTATTTGTACGGAAGAGTTTCCTGGATCGACGTCTGGTCGATGCCGAGCAATTGGGGGAGGAGCCGCCTCATCCCCGCTTGATTCATCGTCCGAATGCAATGGTACTGGGGATTGATCCGACTGAAGAAGGCAGAAATGGAAGAAGCTTATTCTTGTTAGCAATTGTGGTGGGAGGATAAAAATTGGAAGGGTGCGTACCCCAGCTCCTTGCGGTCAAACTTCTGTGCCACGGCGTGATCAATATCTTGGTGGGCAAACATCTTCAATATCAACGGCAGGTAATTGGAATCGAGCAACAACTGCGTCATATATTCAAATTTCAATATGTCTAGACTCGGTCAGCAACGATGTCATTTGATCTGCACTAGGGTCGTTAGCTTACGAGATCTTTTGAACCACTTTATCAGAAGCAACAGAGATCCTGAAATGGCTTTTCCAGTAATCTCCCGAAGCCGAATGTTGTCAAGTTCCTCAATAGCAGCCTCGGAGTTCAAATCCTCGGAGATAGATATTGGCCCGGGCCCGGTTCCATTAACGCCGTAACCGTCACTAAGAACATGTTAACGTAATGCTCAGTACGAAGACCAGAGCTAGGGCCCATACTTCATTCCTTGGCCACCTTGAGTCTGGCTCACCATAGCACTGACATTCGTCAGGATTATCTTCAAGAATACGATGGTGATGGACTGCAAATGCACGAGTGCTTGTGTCTAGAAAACTTGTCAGGCCATGTACTTTTTCAAATACGGAGAAAACCCACATAGAAAGACTCCACGGCATCCAAGCGCCGTTGGATATCTTCGTCACTGGTTTCCTTGCTGGGCGACCGCCCTGGAGTGTTCTCCTTTCCTTGCTTCAAATCTAAGTCTTGAAAGTTCTCTAGAAGTTCGTCGGGAATATTCATATCAGACGCGGTCCCGCTATCATCTAGGTACCAGCCGCGATCATATTTCATGAACCGTTCACGTTCTTCCCAAAGTTGTCGCATCGCTCTAGTCATTTTGACGTGTGTCGAGAAAAGTTTGCCAGCCTCAATGATTGAAGCTGGTACGTCACTTCCCTCCCATCTCTTGCCTACGAGCACGTCTTGGAGCTCGGTTGTGCCTCTGCCACCAATGTCGTTGCTAGAAACATCTAGAGGTGGGTACATGAAAGGAAAGTTTTGGTTCGTCTGATAGTTTTGTTTCTTTCCCGCTTTACCCCCTGGGCCAATTGGTGATGGAGGAGGGGAAGGCGCAGGTGTTGCTATGTGGACTGACTGGTGAAGGATTGAACCGTTACCACCTGCAACAGATGGGCCGACCCCAGAGAAGAGGCCGTTAGATGAAGCTCCTCTGCTGGGATGCTGGGGAAGAGGAGGGAGAATAGAATTGTTCTCTAGTTCCAGAGGAACTACAGGTTGTGGCGGGTTGTAGGCCGGGTATTTAGAAGTAATTTCTTGCCGAAATATGTGATAATCGAGAGGCGATGCAGTCAGAAAAGGCGTCCTCCGAGACGTATCATCCTCCCTTTCTTTAAATGTTGGTTCCAATTCTTCCTTGGCCCTTTTCAACTCGTCACTGCCGCCAAAGAAGAGGAGCAAAGACTTCCAAAACAAGAGTATTATTCTCGTAAGTGGAATGTTAGCAGAGTCATCCCACCGTAAGCGTGCGATAACTTCAACCAGGAATACCAATAGATTGGGTTTCAAGCCAATCAGGGCATCCCTTAACGGTGTGTGCTGTGGATCTCGGGCCTCTTGCTTCCTACCGACCTCCACGATCAAGTAAAAAGTCGTAAGGACCAAATTTGCCTCACGCTCCATGGCAGCGAGAGATACTGGATTCGTACTCTCGGCTCCAGTGCCAGCAGATTCACTACTATAAGAGGCACGATTTCTTTCAAAAACGCGGCATAGACAATCGAGCAACGGCGCCAGGCCTGAGCTTTCAAGAACCATGTTGGCACTATTCTCGATCCAGCTGATTTGTAATGACTTAAATTTCGGGGCCTCTGCGGCTTCCTTGGGAGGCGGATCTTCAGGATAATCATCTACAGCTCTCCCAGCAGTGGTGCCCCATACGCCAGTCACAATATAACAAACGACTTCTAGGGCTTCAAGGCGCACCGAGACCTCGCGCTCTCGTATGCCATTTACTACCTGAGCCATGAATGCCATTCGCTGATCATCAGTAGTATCTATCCAAGATATCTGCGAGGACTCGGCATTCTGGGCCTCGAGGAAAGAAGTCCACTGTTTCTCGAACGATGATTTCATGCCCATTAGCATAGCTCTGTCAAACTCGCTGTACTGGAACCATTCTTCGATCTCTTCCGCAAATGGCTGAGAATCAGCATACTCAAATGCATAAGCAGGCTGCTCGACCCTCGGCATCTCCTGCACGAATTGCCTGAGTTGTGCAAGACTGAGTGAGTCCGTGGGCCTTTCTAAGTTCTGTTGCACTGGAGCCGGCGGTGGAGGCTGTAGAGGCGGCGGAGGAGCTGCAGCATCACGACGCAAATCCGGTCGCCGGTGAGGTTTTCCAGTCTCACCTGGGGCAGATGGCGTGTTTCCTGAGACTCGCTCCTGCCGTAGGCCCTCGGCGACTTCTTCCATCAGCTGATCGTCTGGGACAGGGGAGATATCTGTCCCTGTTTGGTCGACCTCATCCGCTTTGACAATGTGGTGTTCTGGCATGGCCGTATCGGCAGACTCTGCTGTATCATCCATCTTTTGGGCTCTGAGAGCTTATCTCCTGCCTCTTTTAACAACTAAATGTAAAATGTGCAAGAGTATCAGGGGTATCCTATCTTGGCATAACAGAGAGAAAAGAGAGGTTAAATACGTGTTAAGGTTATGATGTCCTAATAGTAGACCTGGGCGCAGACTGGCATGCTAATCAGTGAAGTTAATGAGACATGATGGAGTCTCTTGGCGGCTTTGGCGAAGCGCAGTTCCGCAGCATGCTTGATAGACGATGGCCAACGCGACGGAAATCCGACACAATTGCCTATCTGCGGGCGAGACCGATCACGTGCGAGGCACCGCGGCAGAGGTATATCAAGGTACCGGAATCAATGGTTTTGAGGTGCAACGGTCTATTGTCATTTGTTATCTCTCTATAACGTACCCTTAATTGACTTTACGAAACGTCTTTTGTCATGCGCGTAGCAGTAATGTGCTCCCATTCAATAGAATACAACTGGGCTCTCACCGCCATTTAGCATATATTTAATTAGTACGGATCTTGTAGCTTCTAAAGATGCACATCCTAAACCCGAAATATCTGTTATCATGTGTGTAAGTATCATAGGAACTTTGCGATAGAGTCACAAAAGACCTTGCGACTTTCACATGTATGCGGTCTATACTTATATTGACCAGAATGCTAAAAGAAGTGAATCCAAGGGTATCACGACCAACACGTTGTAAGCCCTCTCTTTCAAAATCTAAGAAACGAAGTATACGTAGCTCAAGTACCTGTACGGTTCAATCTGTCTTCGGGGACCGGTGATCACTACTAATATGTCCCCGACGCTTTAACTTCCGCTTTGCTTCCCATCTTTGCCATCCGGCCTCGGCTAGATCTTCACTTACCACTAAATCCCGTAGTCTCAAATGCGTCGATATGGTCAAGTCTAATATCCAGTCAAGCCAACCATGTGTCCGGAGGAATGCAGTAACGAGAAACCAAGCAAATGCACACCCAATACCAGCACCACAGCCTGCCAAAACCTGTTTGGGTGTATGGTAGTTCAGATATATACGACTGATGGCCACGGCGCCGGCGCCAACGCTCAATCCCATGGCAAGTACTATCCGTATGAGAATATGGAATGATGACTCGGGGTGTGTGGGGTTATGCCGGAAGGTAAGGAACAGCCCCAGATACACGGCGAAATATGCGACGAATTGTGCATGGGATGATGGCATGCCGTAGCCTTTACCAAGCATTTCTGTGTCAAAGGGTCCAGTCAGCGATTGAATACAACTCGGTCTGATGGATCACCGATCGACGTACGCTTTGGCCTTTCCTCTTGAATGATCCGCTTTAACACAAAGTTCAATGCTTCACAACCCATTTGGCCCGCGAACATCAATAGCACCTCCACTTCCCTTGTCGCCCAAATAAGAGTGACATAGGTCACGCATAGTGCCTGGGGAACTAGGGCAAGCCAGGCTGACAAAAAGGAGAGCGGATCGTTTGGATTCTACCATAGATGCACATGCCTCATCAGTTCCTTGACCACTCTAAAACATGCGCGGAAATTCGAAGTAACTTACATAATGGACATGTGTCAAAGACAAAGATGCCAGTGGCGTGTCAGTCATGTTGATGGATCGAAAGCGCCAACCAAAACTGTTCCTATTTTGTAATAATTTATGGTCTTTTTTCCTCCTTTTTTCCCTTTCCACTTCTTCAATCTTTCTCCGGTTCTCCGTTTGAGAATAACAATAAAATAAGAACGGACTGATAACAAGATGGGAGTATTGTAGGAGCAAACGATAGATTCAACTTATATGGGAAGAGATGAATAACCAAGCAGGTATCATTGACCGACAAACATTATGGATGTAGAACTATCAAAGGAATCCTCAACCCCAGGACAGGGCTAAGTTTTAAGAACTTGATCGCGTATAATATTAAGTATGAATGCCAGCCGTGGTTACGACAGCCCAGAACTTTTAAAGATGTCACATGCTCCCCAAGCGGGAGTCCGTGTCCCTCGCCGCTTTTGTCTCCAGCTAATGGGGGAAAGACCGGAGTTGGACATGGTCAAAGCGGCAACGTAAAATGAGGGGGAGGGGAAAGGAGTGCCTCAGGCTGCAGAAACATCATTGTCAAATGAAATGATGAGAGCAAAAGAAAAGCAAATAATAATTATGATGAATAATTACTTAGCTTAAAAAAAAGTCAGTAAAAATTAAAAGCCTCTTACCTCGAACAAAATACAAGAAACAAATAAACAAAAAATGACTCGGGCAGCAAATCATGCCTGAAGTTCTTCCAACCACATGCTTTTCTGTCGGTCTATGAGTTGTTTTCAATTCCTTTTCTCTTTCTCTCTTCTTCTCTGAAGTCACTACACTTCATGATCTGCAACCGAGAAATCAAAAATTCATTGACAACTCCATCTTTACTATCTTTTTCTTTTTCTTTTTCTTTTCTTTTCTGACCTTTAGTCAAAACATGACGCACTTCTCCTCACACGTTCAATCCGATATCTGGTTCTGTCTTTCTGTCTCGACCAAGATACTCCTATCGCAGACCATTCATTCTGACCTTCACCACTGCCAGAATTTCCACCGTCTGACAGCTCCATTTCCTCCCTAAATACGCTGTCTGTCACAATCTATCGCAGTACCTGAAAAGTAAGAAAGGATTATGGATCCCTCTCGCTCGGTTCTTCCGTATTTCGCCGTTGCCACAAGAATGACATCCAGCCTTCTTGCAGCTTATCACTGTTAATCTATAACTGGTGATTTACTAATCGACGGTTTAGCTGCATACTCGTCTTCTTAGCCTTTTCCTGGACTCAAAATCCTCCCTAAAGAATCATCGGCGCCTTTTCCTTTCGCAGACACCCTCACCCAGAGATTCTCGAAGGCATGATATTTTTAAGCGGTACATATACCATGGTTGTGTCAGGAATATTCCATTAAAGAATCTGCCTCGCCACCTTTCATCAGCCACCCACCCTAAATAGAGACCCGACCTGCACATCCCCTTCTCCCATCTTTTGTGGCGGCCTTAACCTAATATGACTGATACCGAGTTGCTTGATGACGAACGCTCTGTCGAGCTGTCGTCTATCGCGGCCATCTATCCGGAAATCAAGCTCGACCCTTCGTTCCCTTTTAAGGCAACTCTAGATATACCCGTCAATCCTTCACCACCATTACGGATCTGTTTCGAGCAATATTCGGAGACCGAACTTCCAACTGTCCTGACTCCGCCCACATCTCTTGATGTTAGTGAAATTAGCTTGGGCTTCGCAACCAAAACAGTTGACGGAGGCGCCACGGCAAGCTCCGATGAAGATGTGCATGTCCTATCACACCTGCCCCCGCTTTGTCTGGAAATCGAATTGCCCGGTGGCTACCCATCAGTGCAATCCCCCATCATTAAGCTTAGCACAGATCCTGCGTGGCTGCCCTCTTCGATCATCTCCAAGCTATTAGATGACGGGAAACGCCTCTGGGAAGAATGCGGGAGGGATCTCGTTGTATATACCTATATCGACCATCTTCAACAATTAGCCGAGGCAGCTTTTGGTATTGATGACATACCCGACGGTGAAGTCAGGCTTCCTCGAGAGCTTAAAATCGCACTCTTGGATTACAACAACAAAGCTGAGAGAGAAGCCTTTGAGCAGGAGACTTTCGAGTGCGGAGTTTGTCTTGAGCCGAAAAAAGGGGTAAACTGCCATCGGCTCTTACTTTGTTCGCATGTTTTCTGTGTGCCCTGTCTTCAGGACTTTTACAATACATGTATCACGGAAGGTGATGTGGAGAGTGTTAAATGTCTGGCTCCAGATTGCGGCAAGGAAGGCAAGTCTGTACGAAGCCAGGAAGGGCAACCCAACAGACGCAAGAAAAACGACCGGAGTCTGAGCCCTAGTGAGTTACTGCAAATTCCTCTGGAGCAGGAAACCGTACAGCGTTATGTTTTTTTGAAACGGAAGAAGAAACTTGAAGCCGATAAGTCTACTATATACTGCCCACGTCAGTGGTGCCAAGGTGCAGCTCGCTCGAAGAGGCATCCCAAGCCAATTGACCCCATGTCGGATGATCTAGATCCCTCCGATGATGAGGATGTAGGACTTGTGTTCGACCCGAATGGGGATGAGGCTCAGCTGCCTCCTATGGCGGATCGAGTGGCTGTTTGCGAAGACTGCAACTATGCCTTCTGCTGTGTTTGTAAGAAAGGTTGGCATGGTGAGCTTGTACGGTGCTTCCCCCGCCGAGAAGCAGAATTATCCGCAGAGGAAAAGGCGACAGAGGAGTATCTAAGGCTGTACACATCAGCCTGCCCAACATGCGATGCACCTTGTCAGAAACGTATGGGCTGCAATCATATGATCTGCTTCAAATGCGACACCCACTTTTGCTATCTCTGCTCCAGCTGGCTTTCAGAGGATAATCCTTATCGCCATTTTAACGATGGCAACAGTTCATGTTACAACAAACTTTGGGATCTAGAGGGTGGTGATGGAATTGACCCTGATGGGGCCGAAGCTCTCCATCAGATCCCAAATGAATTGCTAGATTTCGACAGCAGTGATGATGAGGACCAGCCTGCCTGGGATTTTGACGATGGCGATAATCACTTTAGGCGCCAAGGTCACCCTCCGCCTCCTGCTCCAGCACCACCTCGTGTCAACCAGAGAGCTGGTGGTCCTGGGCGCCGCGAAGGTGGACGTAACTTGAATGGTTTAGATGCAGCAGGCAGGGCTGCAGCGGCTGAGCGACAAGCACAGGCACGGGCAATGGCTGAGGTACGAGGCCGACCTGATCCTGAAGCAATTAGAAGACCTGGACTTCAAAGATTTTTGGAACTGGTCCAGAACGATAGAGAAGATGAATGGGATAGTGACGAACTAGATGATGATTTTTGATGCATGATCTGCATATTCGAAAAAGGCGTCCCATCGGGACATCTGTATTTATGTGTCAACGCCCAACTTATGTATGATGATTACGAGGTTTTTGCATCTACATCAGCGCATTAGTTTATTTTCTTTGAAGCGGTTTTGTGTTATAAATGTGTCATAGTTATATATTTGACAACTTGGATCCCTATTGATGTACATGATCGGTATGCTATTTGGAAAAACCTAACTACCAACAGCCTCGAAATCTGGCAAACCATTTATTTGAATACAATACTGACGTAGTGGACCACCCTCCTAGCCATTTTGGTGAATGCATTTAGACAACAAGGTATCCATCTTCGTCACTTTCATCGTCCGCTGTACCCGTCGGGGACCAGTTGTACCAGAATTCGTAACTCAAAACGGTATGGTCTGCAAAGAGAAGTAGCAAGCGATAACGCCGAGATGGGTTCCAACCACGCCAAAACTCCTCCGGTTGATAGGCACGGGTAGCCCTGGCATGGCACTCTGGCAGAGTTGGAAAGGTCCGCTGCTCTTGTTCTGGGATGGTATCAACCTTACAGCTGGCTGTGGGAGTAGATTCTCTGGAGACTTTAGTACCACCCACTTCATAGGGGGGCCGTAGGTCTTCGCTCGAAATATCAGATGATCTGGAGCTGTTTTGCAAACATGCGTCAAGTTCGTCATAAGTAGATGGCTTATAATGGAATTTCAGGCCATCTCCGTTGGCATTGTGCGGAATGTTAGGCACGTCAGGAGGCATCTCAAACCCTTGCATTGGACCGACGCTCATGCCTAAGAGAGGGATAAGAGGTCGGTCACCGTACTTTTCCTGGCTCTCGAAAGGAACGATCCAGTCGACTCTGAAAGATAGGCCATTGGCTTCCGACTCAGTTAGGGTGATCACTGCGGCGCGACCTTTTTGCGAGGCGGCCACTACGATTCCGTGTTCGGGGATATATTTGACCATGTTGAAGCGGTCGCATGCGTCTCGAAGCGATCCAACAATGTGGGTGAATTGTTGCCGAAGGGGTGTGCCACAGAAAACAGTTGCGCGAGGGGCAAGCGGATTAGGGATCAGACGGATGTCTGTTTGGGAGAAGTGGAGGATTGGAAAGTTCGCATGTGTTGGGGCTGGAGTCGATGAAAAATCTATTAGTGACTACCTTTGTCCATAGATACTGGGATCACTGGGGAAGGCACCGCGTGACATACGGTTAAAGACTTGGTAAGCAACTGCTTCTGAAGTTGATGTATCATCGCTCTCCGAGATATCATCATCTGCGCCATCCATTTCTATGTCCTCGAAAGGGCTGACCTCTTCTATCGAGTAGTCGTCAAAGTATTCTTCGGCCCCGGGGATATCGCCACCTAGAGCTTCGAGAAGTGCCACTTGAAGAAATTCAGGCGTTGTCAAAGGGCCATGAAAGGGGGTATTATCGGTATATTCTGTATCATCCACCCGACGGAAGGCTCCATTATCACCCTGGGTTTCGCCCTCTTGGCTAGAATTTTGCTGGGGACCCGTATATGACTCCCCGTCAGAACTTGCATTAGGGCTCGGGTTATATTCGAGCATAGAACCGTCAATAGCACTGTGACTGAATGCATCAGCAGAGTCTGAAGGCGGAAGGTTTCTGACATCCTGGGTGTCGCTGGGTTCTGGAGCCTCATCTGCGCGTCGATATTCCGCAGATAAACCGCCATGCACCGCACAACTGGTAGACTGGCGGGTATTGATGTCTTTGTTAATGCGGCAATCCGGTCCAAATATGTCAGGTAAGATTGGTTGTTCTGGTTCAGCTTTAACGGCAGGAGGAAAATAATTGTAGAGCCGAGACGCGTTAGGCACTCGGCTGCTTAACTTTGTCAGGTCCAGGACCGGTCGACCATTCTCTACACGACATTGAGGGTGACCACCGCACGCGTCCTTTGTCGATTTGAGTAGATGGAAAGTACGTGGGTCAAGGGCTATGACAGACCAACCACGCTCTTTACTACCTCGTCCGTCAGTGCAAAACCTACCATAGACAATGTGTTAAGACAGGTCTTACTCATGATTGAATGTTTCTGGGTATCTGAAAGAAGCATCACCGAAGTGGTATACGTTAAATGGGCCTGGGCCCTCCCAGGTTTTCCAAACAAAAACCTGATTTTCGATATCTGTACTGACCATCCATGTTCCATTCGGGTCAAGATCACAATTAAGAAAGGAGACGGATGGTATGTTGGTAAAGTGACCAGTATACGTCAAGCGTATGTTCTGTTTTCGGTGCTTCGCAGGCATCAACTGCCGTAGCTGTTTGAACTGCTCATCACTCTTGATTTCCAACCAGGTCTGGCCATAATCAGGGAATTCTTCCTCCTCCCCTAGTACCTGGCCTGTGTCGTTGCCTTTGCCAGAAGCAGGGTTCACAAGCGCAAATGCGAAAACAGTGACAAGGCCCGTGTTTGCGGTCACTGCAATCAGGCGGGAGAACTTGTGTATGGCTAGCCCCCAGGCGCTGGCTTCAACATATTCGACAAAAAAAGGGATTACCTGGGAGCCATCAAAAGGGCGGTTCTCCTTGCGCTCTGCAGCCCGCTTCAAAGCCGAGAAGATAGCCTCAACACGATAGCCGCAGACATTGCCCGAATCAGTGACCAGCAGAAGGACTTCATCGCGCCCAAGATCATCTACAAGGATATTGTTGATGGCGTGAGGCATATGTGGTGATATATACCCGCTGCTATAAGGGTCCTTCATGACGGGCGTTATAATCATTTCAGGCTTTGATCCAAGAGTCTGAAACGACCCAGCTGGCTCCCAGACATAGATTTGATGGGTATAGGCCACAAACAGAAGATTACGACGTTGAGAAAGAGCAGCCTGCAAGCACATCAGTGAAATTCATCATATAGAAGTGATGCTGCAGCTTACCAGATTATTCCGCCATGCTGCACCTTGCGGAGGGAACGAGTCTGGTGCTCTGCTGCTCCGCGCAACGCCTCAGTCAGTACTGCTCCATGACTGCCGGAAGAATGATAGAATACTTACGAAGAGAACTAATCGAATTGTCAGCTGAAGCATGTCCAAGAGGAAGCAATCCTGGTGACTCGTGATTCAACATACTCTTTTTGCCCCTTTCTCGACGTTCAAAGGTCTAAGATGTAGGCCTTCTCTGGCTCGGGTTTTCCGGCCTGAGGACCCATCGTCAATATTAAATTCCATTCCTACTATCGCTTCCACCTGAGAAGGTGGTATGGAGAATGACCAGTCCAAATCAACTATCAGTAGTGTAATAGGCTATGATTCACAGCTGAAAACATAAAGTGAGGGTGGTGAAGGCGGAAGAATATGCTCATTAGAAAAACAGGAGGGGTATATTTAATGTATCAGATTCAGGTGTGACATCACATGGAATCTGAGGTCTATCACTTTGCAGACCATTTGGCATGATTGTGCTGAGTTCCCATAGTGACGAAGAGACAAGACGTGATCATAATCTTCTTGGTCTATTGGGTACTCTATGAGAACATGAATCTTATGGTTCGATGAAGTCAGCCAACCCTGTTGATCTGCCTCAGGCTGTAGCGCGCACGTGCCACATCGATGGTGAAACTCTCTTATCAGACATCTTAAGAACAATCTATCGCAACACCCTTTCTGGTTTCGTATGAACAAGAACTGCTCCTCAAGGAATTCGCGATGGATCTTGTCGCAAGTATCCGCAAAGAAGGTAGCCGGTAAGCTGCACATGCCTACAGCATCCGTGCTTCTGTTCACTAACCTTACTCTTGCTATAGCGGCGGTCGCGGCGACTTTAAATGGTCCGATGTCAAGGACTCTTCCCACCGTGAGAACTATCTTGGCCATTCCCTGATGGCACCTGTTGGCCGCTGGCAACAGGGCCGCGACTTGATGTGGTACACAAGGACAGATGATAGCGAGGAGGACAGGATTAGAAAAGAACGCGAAGAAAAACGACGTGTCAAGGAAGCCGAAGAAGAAGCCATGGCCCGAGCGTTGGGTCTGCCTGTTCCGGAGAAGCACGCTGGTTCTAACGCCAATCTTACGCCCCTGGGCGAAAAAGATGTCCAGAAAGTAGTCCGGGATACGGCCGCGGTAGAAGACCTAGAGATCGACGAAGCGGGCAAGGGAGTCGGCTACGGTTCATTTCGTGACGGGGTTGCTTCTGTATCTGGCACTGGCGATGGTGATAAACTTGCGCCTGTCGGACTGGATTCCCACTCTTCAGGAAAGCGGAAGCGGGGCAGTGAGCGTAACAGGAGCCGAGCGAGGGACAAGCATCGAGATCGTTTGAGTGATAGAAACAAAGACAGGGATAGGGAACACAGGCACCGTAGGCATCGCGATGAACGCGAACATCGTCACAGGAGTCACCGGCACAGGTCTAGGTCTCGATCGCGAGATCGCCGAAGGAGGCGATCGCGCTCACGGTCAAGGAGCAGAGACAGAAGAGGTAACGACGAAGGCAGGAGTCGCCGAGACGACCGTCATCATACCCGGGATAGAGATTCAGACTACCATCGTCGGCGTTGAGTTTAGTCTTCGATAATTAGTTCTGTCTACATACGGCGTTGGGGCGTTTGTGGAGAAACGGATAGTGTACAAGTAGCATTCCCTAACCTAAACCATGCTCGCTCTACACAGCAACAGTTGCTGTTCTATAGCTCATCATGCCCCTTGCTCTCCGTCACAGGAAGATCGGGCATCGACATCATTTTTACCACCATACTAGTCCACCCTGTGAAATGCTGTGTCCGCTGTCCCTTACCTGTTTCAGGGTTATACTGTTCCCAGGCAAACCCGGTCTTCGTCCATTCCTTGAAAACATTCTCAACTACGTTCTTCCGCAGCTTGGAGTATATTTCACGGGCCTGTTCTTGGTGTGGACCAGGAGTGGTCGCGATGTCCTAGGGTGAAATCGTTAGTCCCAATGTGTAGTTCGTAGAGCTTTGGGTAGGTGGGTTACTTACATAAAGGTTCTTAAACACCAGATAATTGATGTTGATCCATACAGGACTCCTCCAATAATTCTCAGCAGTCCCGTAGAACTCATCCTTTTTGCTTAGACTGCGAATACCGAAATCGCTCCAGAGCTCTTCTGGATCGCTGATCAAGTCCAAGATGGCTTTTAGCCGTGGGCTATCGGGGCCCACCATGCCAGTGAGGAAGGGGAAGATGGAAATGTATCCCTTATGGCAGACATGAACACTTTCCTCATACTCATCAATAGTCGCATCGCAGTATGTCTGCGCCTGTTCGTCCCAATGAAGGTCGTCGACATTCCGTTCAATTGCAGTTTCATAGTACTTGAATTCTTCAGCATCTTCAGCCTCCCCCAACCTTTCAGCAATTCGTCGGAGAGAGCGAGTCATCATCCCCATCCAACTGATCAAATCCACGTGTAGCTCACCGGGGTGTGGGGGCTGTGCTCGAGGATAATCGTCCAACCCGGATGTTAGGATGTGCTGGACAGACCGGCCCCGCCAGCGGTACGCCTCCTTGGTGGAAAAGGCCTCTCGGTCGTAGGACTTAATGTCACCTCTCTGAGTGTTTCTATACCAGAAATAATGTTTCTTTAGTAGTGGGTAAATTGAACGAATATAAGCTTCACCCAACTCCGGTTGTTGCACATAGGCAGAACGGAGACGTTCTGCGATATCTTCAGAAGATTGTTGGACCGAGATATTTTTGTTGGCATCTAACTTATCGAGGAACGCTTCCAGAATAATGAAAAGGGTTGGGGGATTGGCGTAGTGAGGGTACTGGACGGTAAACTCAGGTGGAACTTTGCTGCGCGCCTCAGCGCCCAGGATTTGCTCCCGAGCAATCCACCCATCTTCGTCCATTAAGCTTAACCAACTCTTCACGATTTCAAGCCTGGAACATGTTAGTATTTCAATGACGATAGGGTTACCGGCTAACAAACGCAAGATCTGTATCCCATTCAACGACCGGAATCAGGTGGAAACCCTCGTCCCAGAGAAATCCTCTAGGGAAGAAAGGCCGAGAGGGGACACAGGTAAAGAGATCCTTTGGGCCTTCAAGGACAGGTTGAGCCCTTGCCCTTGCCTCCGCTGTTTCTTCCCAGAAGCCTTCATTCTCCTCATCGTACTCTGGCGCGGCCGAGCGGTCAACAATGTCGGTACCGTGGAAGTAGCCTATGCCACCAACGAGATTGGAAAGCATTGACTTGGAGAATTCGGTATATTTATCGGAATCAAAGGGAGACTGCGGGGGAAGTATCTTGTCGAAGCGCTCAGCAAAAGCTACCGAAGCACTTGTGATTTCTTGGGTAAGAAGGTCGGCTGTAACGTATATCGTCAGTAGCAATCCCACAACAATAATTGGAGTGAAAAGCACCATACATGTCACAGGTTCGGGCGAGGACCCAGACGAGAATAGGATATCAAACTGTGATCTGTAAGCAGACTATTTGCATATTAAATGGTTCCCCAGTTACCTCAAAAGCCCCTTTAAAAACCTTCTGCACAAGCTGAACATTACCATCACCTGGCGCGTTCTTGATGGTGAAGACTTGCGATGGGGGAGGAGGGTTTTCCGCTCCATACTTCTCGATGGTTTCGCTTACACCTTCCTTCATCTGCGAGAACAGGATCACTTGAAGAGGGATCAGCTCTAGATCGGACAGAGTATATGCCTGTACAAGTCTAAGAAAACATACCTTTCGTCTGCCAGGCGTGCTCCGGGGGTATAGTCAAACTGGACACCAAGGTACGGTCCAGTGGCTTGTCCTCATAGCTTGGGTGTTCATGTTCCGGGTACTCGTTGGTCTTAGGGCCCTCAGTCACATCAATTGCAAAGTCACCAAGATCAGAGGTATAACCAGCCAGCTTCACATCCCCCTCAAAACCACGCGAGTCATCAGACTTAGTGTGAAGTCCCAGGTTACCGAGCCCCTCCAGAGAACTGTAAAAGACAACTGTTGTAGGCTGATCCGGGGGTGCATCATCCCGAGGGACACCTTTTACTCGGGCAGCCCAGCTGCCCCCATGCTGTCCGCCAGGGACCTTGATAAAGTCAATTGTCAGATCCAAGGAGTTTCCAGCGTCGTGAATTGTTTGGCGCCCGCCCTTCCGGATATCGTACTCGTCCCATCCATAACCTGCCATCCCTTCATTCTGTTCGCAGGTGTGTCTGAAGTCTTGAAGAGGGTTAGGGTAAGTAGAGCTATCAAGAGACGGCAATGGATGTTGCTAATGGTGAATGGAGGACAACTGTTTGGGACACGTACTGGACTGAGCCGTGGCGTAATCATCTACTTTCGCCCACATCAACCCCGCGGACAGACTATTTGGAATCCGAGGGCGAACCCCAAAATAGAGGTTAGGCTTATAGGGACCCCATAATAGCGACTGATTGTTGGCTCGCGCAGCCTCCTTAGCTAGAACCGATACGTCATTATCTATGGATGCCGCAACCACATAGAATAACGATGTTGAAAGAGTGAATAGTTTGGAAAGATGCATTGTCTAGACAGAAAGCGTGAACAATTAAACGAAAGTCCACGCAACTGGAGGCGTGCACATAGACAGAATGGCTCTGTCACGGCGGAGGTTGATGTTACTATCTATTATCTGGCATTTCACGAGCGGAGAGCTGCTGTCATTTATTTACCCGCCCGGTATTTTTAGCTCCGCTCCACACCTTACGCGGCCAAACATATCAACTTTAAAGACCACACACACTAGAGACCAACCTGAGGAAATGTGTATACGTCACAGACAAAATCCTCACAAGGGAATGATTTGATTGAGATCTTCTATACAATCCTTCAGTCTAGAGATAGTTCCTCGGATCAAGCGACCCGATCTTCGCGCTCTTGGCTGCGCCATCGAACACAAACTCGCTGATAAGCTTTCCTGTGCCTGGTGCATTCTGGATGCCCCAGCAAGTGTGCCCGGCCGCAAGGTATAGTCCCTTGGTTCCAGCATGGCCTACCAGTGGCCCACCACGTGCAGCAGTTACATTAGGCAGGTAGCAGGCTTGACGCGCACAGACTTGTCCATCACGTAGCTCATCGGAGACGCTGCCCACCTGGTTGATGATATCCTGGCACCGCTCTTGGTCTACCTCGACGTCTGCAGTTGTCTTCGGAAGGGGAACAGTATGATCACCCTCTCCACAACAATAGACTGTGTCGTCAGGGCGAGCATAGATTTCTGGCGAGGCGACCGTCGGGCGTGAGGACTTTGACGGGTCGAAATTGGCCGGTATCTCTATATTCGTGAAAAGGGTATACCCACTGACTGGCCTCGTAGGCCGGATCACGACGCTATGAGCACGTGTTGCTGATATCGGGGCATCCGGCAGGACCGATCTCGTCCACGGACCGGCAGCGATGACAACATCAGTTGCAGGGATTGTCTGTGATTCGCCGTTTTCCTTCCTCGTGTATGTGACTGAGTTGACAGAACCCCCAGAGTAATCGATGCTTGTGACGGACCCAAGCGTAATCTTTGCGCCTTTCTCCTCAGCGAGCCTTGCGATGGACGTAGTGAAGAGATAAGGATGAACTTGAGCGGTCTCCCTCGGATCACTCATACTTTCGTAGCCTCTGACACCCTCTGGCTCAAGCCAGTCAAGATCACCGGGTACCCTTGCTGTTTTCAATTTACTCAGTGCAGCTGCACTCCGCTTTTGTAAGGACACTGAGCTTCCCCCCTCTCCTTCGCCCGCCTTTCTCTTCTCGCTGAGTGGGCGACCTCTGGCGATAAGCTGGCCACAGTTCACCTCTCTATATCCCCATTTTTCCTTTCCATTGTGCTCCTTAGCAAGCTCCGCGTGCAATTTATAGCTCAATGGTACAATGTTGCTTGGGTATGCCCATAATGCTAAAAGACCGCCTGCTTTGCCTGAAGCCCCTCCTGCAATCTCTGTTGCTTCTATGAGGGTCACTGAGTGTCGGGAAGGATCAAAAGAAGGATGTCTTGTCAAATAATACGCTGAGCAACATCCGATGATACCACCACCTTGGACGAAGTTGTTAGTCTCTGGTATGTATCGGCCGTGCGGGGTAAGTCTCAGTAAGTTCAAGTCGATTCATACCAACGATTACAATTTCCCGACATTCGTTGGGGGCTGCCATTTTGCAATACGGCGCGATCCTAGACCCTAAAGCCCTTAAAGGAGCAACTGTTGTTGGGGGCTTGGGGGAAGAAGATGTTGACGGGCTTTACAGGTTGTGGGATATCAAGCCATACTTTTTTATTTATACAAGCGCATACGTCACTACAAGTCATGTGCCCGGCCAGGCTAATACCGAACATTAGCATACATAGTTAATAGCTGTATCATCTCGTTGGCACTATCTCTTTGGTTTGTGCAAGGACAAGAAAAACATCTAAAACCTGCCCAAAACCTTGCGCGAGTGAAAAGTGCAGAGAAAGTAAACCTTACTCCAACAATGCATATGGCTGTAGTCAAACCCCAGCTAAAATTGGTCCCGCCTTAACAGATACGAAAGAAGAGCAGAAATAAGAAAAATGAGAAAGGGGTCGAATAGTAACGAATAGAGGTAATTGATCCATCCATCATCTTGAAGGACTGAGTGGTCGGTTGAATCCTCCTATACGGTTCATATACTGTCTGTATTCCGTCTTCTTTTCCATCCGCACCCCATAGACGTCGTTCCCGGGTACCTTGGTATTCTTTGTGCTCCTGAATTTGGTGAATCCCATGCTTCGACGCATCATTTCTTCAACATCGTCTTCCCCGGCATCATCGATGTCCATATCCATCTCGTCTTTGTACCGATTTGGAGTCCTCAAGTCAGCGGCACCATTCGGCTGTGTTCTGTGGTCTTTACGATCATTCCTGCGGTCTCCCCTGGGTCCCCGAAGAGGTGGTGTCCTAGATCTATCCCTGTTCCCGTTTCGAAGGGGGGAGCGAGAACGGTCACGGTATCTGTCCCCTTTTGAAGGATACCCTACAAGATTCAAATATTAGCGCTTATCCAAATAGAAAATCATACCACGTAACATACCTCGCTTTTCATAGTATCTATCGCGGCTAACGCTTCTCTCTCGGTCTCTCCTGTCGCGATCCCGATCGCGGTCCCGGCGATCCCTAGACCTACTCCTATCTCGCCGCCTGTCCATTCTATCTCTTGAGCGGGAACGGTATCTTCGATCATCGCGCGGTCCATCTCGTCGCCCATCATCCTTTACGTTTGCTTCACGTCTAGGACTCCTATTATATTCCGAGCCTGGTTCGGGTGAACGCGTCGGCCGGTCATCCATATCCCACATTGTCGAGCTATCGACTCGTCGGGCTCGCTTTGCAGGTGGTTCGGCCATCCTTGTATGTGAGGAACAAGGTGTTATCTAGTTGAAAGTCTGAAGATGCGATCGTTCGAGAATAAGTTAGAGTAGTAGAGTCGCTGACTCTGTAAAACACCAGCCGAGAGGTTGACTGGGAAAAATCGAAATGAACGTGACACTGTGCGATAATATGTTAATTATTTCATCATTATTTGCTTAGAATGGGTATCAAATGCTTAGAAGTCGATAGTGCTGAAGGTTGGTGTTGCACCCGGATTGAAATTGAGACCGTGAAGATATTACGGTTGCCGAGGAATGCCAGTTGCGCGGTCAGCCTTAATTAAGTAAAGTTTAATTTCCAACAATCCTGAAACACAACCATATCAAAGAGGAGTCCAACAAAGATCACCATATGCCAGTCTTCATGCATACCACCGCATTTCTATCAGCCTTGAGCTGTGTATATTATAGCATGGCCATTATTCTCATACCATTGGTTCTTCTAATTTAATACCATACCCGCCTTGATTACTGAGCAGTGAGAACGTAGGCTCATTTTTGTAATGCGAGCAAATTCGAGTACTTACCAATAAACCAAATGTTAATAGTTAGCCCACCAAAGAGTGGTATGAGGCTATCGATCGCCATTCAATCTACAGTGTCTTTATTCTAGCAGTGTAAGTGATACAACAGTCTGACACAATCTCTCTCCCAGAGTACGTTTTATAATTTCAGACACGTCCCAAACGTTCCTCTGGCATTTCTACAAGGGTATAGGAGGAAATATTGATTACTTTCCAGTACAAAGACAGACAGGCTTGGCCAAAGGAGAAAAGCCAAGGAGAGCATGATAGATTACTGCGCCCCAAGCAGGAACATAGTTGTGGCATATCGTCTTTTTTATCTTCGTCCTTCGCTTCACATAGTCCGCAACTATTACCCCACGCTCATGCGCGACGGGAACATTGTCGAAAAACTTCTAATACTCCGAACTAAATATTTGTCAGATTGTAGGTTGTTACGATTTTCCGAAGCTAGAATAGTAATCCTGAATTGTGACGGAAAAGTCACTGTATTTGAGGCTCCTCTAGCCTGATGTAAGGCTTTTAGGTACGCAGTAGCTTATTTCCGTGCTCGCGTTTAAATAGCCTGGCGCCTGCAAATCAATGCCTCACGGATGCATGCTGCACTTGCCAGTTGGATTGCAGGCTGGCACAGTCTGTCGACGGCCCGTCCCGCCGAGCCTCAGACTAAGTCGTCAACGGCAAAGATCACCCCATTCTTGGGAAATCTTTTATGCCCGATGTCTCCGACCCCTCATACACACGAAAATAACCCCGCCATTCCCTAGACCTACCAACGCAACTGCCTAACATAGTTTATAGCTTCCTTTGCCCACAGCGATGGCACCTGCAAATCTTTCTCACAGGCAAACGCATAATTTACTCTTGATCTCAAAGCTTCTAAGTCTGAGAGATACAGCGTCTCCGCTGACCCTGCTGTTGGATTCACTCGAACAACCAGCTACCCCATTGGTTAAAGAGTATATTAGGCGCGCAAAGGTACGTATTATCTTTTACTGTATTATTTATTCTCTATTTGCTCAATCTTTGTATCAGACCCGGGCTGGTTCGTGTCTACTCTATTTGCTGAGCTCAAGGGATTGGATACGTCATCAGGCCTTTAATCGGGCGAGATGAACATTTGTGTCGTAGGCAGGATAAAGCTAAGAACTCGTACAGATCTCCAAAGTTCACGTCACACTTATTGCTTTTGAGACATTAAAGCCATTAGATGGCGTTGATGCGTTCGTTTCCGCCCGAAGGAAAAGCCCCTCACAGATAGTTAAAGAAGTTGGCGCGGCTTACCAGGCTATTGCAGCCAAAAACCCTTCTCCTCGTACGTCGAGCGCTGACTAGTCTGAGTATTAGAGTCATTGGTAACCTTGACTAATAAATAACAGGACGTCTCATTCTTATAGATTCCATTAACCCGCTTCTACTCTCAAAAACGAACGATGCACACTCCCAACTATCGACGTTCCTTAGTTCATTCCTAATTAACTCGAGTCCTTCAGTACCTAAGGTCGATGTTTCGCTCGTCGTGACTTTCCATCAGGATGTTCCAGTCTTACCGGCCCAATCCCCCTATTCGCCATCACCTCTTTCAATGCTGACCTACCTCGCAACGACAATCATAAGGCTACATTCGTTCTCACACATACTGGCCCAGAAGGCTGCTCGAGATCGTAGTCTAGCTGCTCCAGTTTTTGGACTCGAAGAGGAACAGGATGGAGTACTCCTAGGAAGATTGGATAAGCCGATTGGTAAGGATTCGGCCGAGGGCATCGTTCTGGAGATGGAACACAGGCGCAGGAGTGGACGTGGTGTTTTAGAGTGGTATATATTACCTCCGGCATCACGGTACTCGCCTCAACATTTGAAAGAGGTTGTAACGCTGCTTGACGACCATCCCTTGTATCGTCCACCGGAGGAGCCAGTGGCAGGAGCAGGCGAAGATGAGCCCGAGTCTACTTTCGAATTGCGGCTCACCGACAGACAGCGGAGAGAAAGAGAGGGGGTGGTGCTGCCATACTTCGATGCACAGCAAGGTGACGGCCCAGGAGAAGGCGGGCGCATTTTGTACGACATGGGAGAGGAAGACGACTTTGACGAGGAAGAAGATGAAATATAAGTGGGTACGGATAGACACTGTTCTCGACGCGCCTTCTTTAGAGAATCAGCGCAGGACCATCTTCCCTACATCCTTACGCTTGTTGTCAGCTGGTGTTGCCAGCCATGCTTGGAGGGAACCCAAGGACATTGTGTACATTTTGGACTGTTTACAGCATCCCGGTCGATTGACCTATGATACACGACAGGGTTATGATCTATGAGGCGCTTTAATGAACATGCTCTGTAAAGTTCCCATGGAAAGAAAGGGCTACGCCTTGCAACCAAGCTCGTCGGTCATAAAATATTGGCAGTTTTTGAACATATCAAGGTGGATGGAGTCCGGCAACCATCAAGAAGATTAACTATGCATACATTCATATGAGCGGGTCTCAGTAAGCAGTTGTTTAGGGAAGGAATTAGAAGAAGCGCAACCAAATGAGAAATAGAAAGAGGAGCCCGACACCAGCAATTGGGCCATACTGTACAGCAGGTTAGTACCGGGGCCTAGTGAGAACGAATAAGGACACGCGGAGGTTACCTGTTTCATCACCAGCTCCCAATTGATGCGCACCGCGGCTCGTCTGTATTTCTTGCTATCCTCCCGCAGACGCCCCGACAACTCGCCCATCCGCTCTAAGCTATCACCTCGGTATAGGAGGTCCTCAATGTTCTTTGTCATCACTTTCGTTACGTCCCGAAGCTCATCATTTAGTCGGTCGAGATTTTGCGAAGCGCGACTATCTTGGTACAGCTTCTTGGTGCGTTGAATAAATGTATCGAATTCTACAAATGCATATGGTCGTAGGGTGGGGGACTGGTACTGCGCAGAGGAGTAAGTGGTAGTAAACTCGGTTGCGAGATCTGCGAGGTAGGTGAAGGCAAGTTTGCGCGGGTAGGAACGGTCGCATATACAGAGGAAGCAGATATCATCTTGGATAAGATAGCTATGTTAGGTACCCGAATTAGCATTTGTATCGTCTTGCACCTTGTATACCGCACTCACTGTAGGTTATATTGGCCAGACTCAATGCTAGCTTGCGGTGCGGAATTGCGACTCAACCGGCGGAAAATCATTTTGGCTTGTGTCTTGATCTCGGAGAGCTCCACTTCTGCCTAATTGGAATAATGGAAAACTCAGTGTTACTCATATGTCATCGTTTCACGGTGAATGGGCTGTAGACTGACCTGTTCATCGTCTACTGACGCAGCTAGCATGAGGCCTTGACCAACATCAGCAACTGTATCATACAACCCCTAATCTCCCCGCAATGCGTCTTACCATCAAGCCTGGCTATTTGAGTCGATTTAACCATTTTGATTACAACTCTTCTTGCCTATCAGACCTTCACCTTGTTCAAATAACGCTTTGGTTGCAGTTCAGCTGTAGCGGCGCATATAGTACTTCTGTAGTTGTCCAGATTGGCATCTAGAAGCATGGCCCGCAAGCGCAAGGCGGTCGGCCATGGCAAAACAAGGACGCAGCCAACGAGGTAAGAACATCCATACTATATTTATTTAGCTTGTGAGAATTATTATCTACAAGCTGTTGAGATATCGGTGCTCAGGTGCGCCATATATGGGGCACGTTTGACAATGTTCTTACACCAGGCATTGTTCATCTACTGCTAAGACAACAGACCTGGATGACGTGGGCGAGTCTCACGTCGCAATGTCCTCAAACAACAAGCAACCGAAGAGAAATCCGAAGAGAAATCCGAAGAGAGCGGCGAAGGATCCATGGGCTGAGGACAAGTTGATGACGAGTACATCTTCTAACCTTATATATTTGGACCTTGTGGTATGTTATACAATTATAGGCTGATGGCGACGTAATGCAATGTGTTGACTGATTGGCAAATCAAGAAATTACTCGCCAATCCTGAAGCCTGGAACTGTCTTGAGGAGCCTGAAAAACGAGAGATACTCGATCTACTTCCTGAAGACCTACATCCGAACCCTGACCCTTCACCGGACGATCCTGATACACAGATACCCCCTTTACCAGAAGAGTTTCTACGTTACTCGAATAATTGGCGAGACGGCATTCGTCACTTTCAACTAGATCTTCAAAATGGCCGCTACGATCCAGTTTGGCTGCGAGAGGCAGAAGAGGCCATGCAGCAGCGGGCTGATGGGAAGTTTGACAATTTTAAAGAAGAAGAGTTTGAGCAGTTTTGGGGGCAGAAACAGAAGATGGACAAGACGCTGACCGCAGGACAGAGTAGCCAGGTCAAATTGAGCACCCTCATCAGCAATGGGGCTGTTCTTGTAGGCGATGTATGGAAATATTCTCGAGCTTTCAAGAGTAAAGGTAACCTCCTAGTGGAGAAAGAAGCCAGGGTATGTTTATATCCATAGCTCGGTTCGGACCCTCCAATTGACGCTGCTACAGATAGTGCATATCCAAGATGACCGGTTAACATTCGAATTGCCCCCTGGTCAACGGGTATTTCTTCCTGCCCCCCAGATCTTGCCTTTGAAGGACTCGCAAGCCCTAGGTATAGGGGAAATCGAGAAACCAGGTGGCGTTATAACGACGACTACTACTGAGATAGAGCAAAAGAGGACTGCTGAAGCAAGTGCGGGCACGCATTCAGATACTAATCCAATGTTAGAGGCTGGATCCTCTAACAAGCGTAAACCAGAGATACAGATGGAACCTCGCAAGAAGGGCCGCAGCAGGAAGCCCAAGGTACAGACACCTGAGGACCTCGAAGTCGACCAAGTGAAAGCCTCCACCGATATTACCAGGCCTACTCACGTGGTAGTGGAAATCATAAATCCACCACTAACAGAAGCAAATATGACTACGTCTGTTATGACTCAAACAACTACTACGGAGCACGACGGCCAAGATCTGAAAATCATTTCTGAACAGCCCTCTGTCACTGTTGAAGGCACATACCCACGACCACCAATCGTTGAAGGGACATCGGAAGAACTGGGGGTGATCACAGTCTCCGGTATCACGGGACCCAGTGCAATTGCAACGAAAGTTTTAGAAGTTGATGGCCGTGTCGGGAAAGTTCGATTCGGAAATGCTTGGAAAGACTTCCGGGCGTACAGAAATAATCAGGATATGGGTAGCTTATGGGAGGTCAGACAAGCTTGGTTTCTGAGAAACAAATCGTTGGTCAATTAACTTCAGAGAGCCGTAAGCTTGATTTTGTGATCTTCTTCTGAGGGCACCTAACAGGAAAATAATGTCCCTGTGCCAATTCTCGTCTCATCTGCGGGCTCATGATCCTTTCTTTGCGATAGCTGACTGCTACAATGACCATGCATTCCAATGTCATGAGCAGACGATACCAGAAATATATTATCATCAAATTCATTAATTCTTTCATTAATTCTAGAACTTTTGCTCTAGACTCCACCATTACCTGTTCCCATGCCAAAAATAGGTTCGTCCTTGGACGCCCTTTTATGATCGCCGCCAGCAGCGTAATCAACGGCGTAGCTAGACTGGATGAAGTCCTCCAGCTCTTCACTAACAGTTTTCAGCTTTTCCTTCACACTCGCAACACCCTCCTGTCCTACTATATGGCGCGAGGGTGGATTTTCATGCCCACCTATCGCGGTGATGGCATATACCGTTTCTGCGACTAAGACCTCCATATGTGCAGAGCTGAGTGGAGGATACATTGACGTAACTTCAGGGCGTGAAAATGGTCCATTCTCAACGGAGGTAATATGACCAGTTTCTTGGGTTCCGTTCGTTTCGGTGTGTGTGTTGGGCAGGCGAGGCACAAGTCGGTTTAACATACCGCGGAAAAGGGGTGCTTGGTTAGAAGCTGGTGAATATGCGGGAACTATTGGAGGCACGCTGGTTACTAGATTCGTAAGAATGCCAATTTCGATACTACATTGGATAATTGTGAGTTTGAGGTTGAATGGGGCTATCTCATATGCAAGGCTCTGCAGCGTGAAAGTTAGCAGAAATGGGTGAAGCCTCCGGCGCAGATTGCACTCACGTCGCAAAACCCTTCAAGAGCCCATCCAGCTGCGCAGTACATCCCCAGCCCTGGCGTGCCGATGTGGGCGGCTGTCCTCGTTAGCTATTAACCTCCCTTAAAAGCACTATTGATTAAGCCTTACTAATCCCCGAGAGAATCATGATGTGCCCAGTTTTCCGCTTCCTCATATGGGGAAGTGCTGCTTTTATAATACTAAGGGGCCCAAAATAGTTGATTTCGAACTGGTCCCGAACCATATTCAGCGTTTGCTGGGAGGCCCCGAACTCTTCCACTGTCCCTACAAGGGCTACGTAGGTAGTTAGCTAAATGACCGGCGTCGAAAGGGGCATGCTTCATATTCCATACTTTGACTTGTACAGCAAAGAAGAATGTCTATCTTGCCGAATGTTGTAACGGCATCTGCACAAGTGCTTGACATTCTCCTATCATCCTGCACGATGAATGTAAGCTCACTCCACTCCTCTTTATAGCTGACGCTCCACAGCGAGGTCATTTTGAAGACATCTCCGGAGTGCACACCTTATATCGAAAGGAACGGACTTGAATCGCTGTCGCCACCCCTCATGGCTATGACTCTCAATCTCGGCTAGGAAAGTCTCGAATTCATCTCGACGGCAATCGTCCCGTTCTAGGCTCGAATGGGCTAACCCAACCAATGCGTAATCGCCGTGCGTGAGGATTTGGCGTGTAACTGAGATGCCAATGGGCGAATCCCCAGCAGTGATCACCCATACTCGTGGTTCATTATGGGCGGGAAACTGAGGGCGGGGGGATTCGGGGAAGGGAGGATTGTCCGACATTAGATTAAAGCTGATGATCTCCACGCGCCACACATGTCGACCGCGCGACAAGTATCTGTAGGGTCTGATGTTACCGATCTAGATCAGTAGTAAAGGATCCGGGCGGCCGATCAACTGCGGTTCAGGACGTTTTTCGTTTGCGTGGAGTTGGGAAATGTGGAGAAAGGAGCAGGGAACAATCGCGTTATGTCATGCGCCGATAAGAACAATTTCTCGACCCGCCAAGATAAAACGACCCGAGTTCTGGACCAAAGCGGCGTAGTTCAGCAGATTAACTAGCAGTCCGCCGTTCGTGGCCTTTTCCATTTCTTTTCTCCTCCCCTTCCTTCCCCTGCTTTTACCCTCCCTCTCTTGTCGACCAGGCCGCTGTAGCTCTGGGGCACGTCAAAAGAGAGCACAATGCCTGAACAAAGACAGCGCAGGGATGAGCCGGAGTCTAGCGTACGTATGCGACGTACCGTCATCTTTTATCAGGCTGATCGTGCTGACATATCGTGATTTAGTCCGGCTTCAAGGGGGCCCTTCAGGGTCTGGCTTTCTTCTTACTGACACAGTTCATCTTCAGTCAATTCTTTGGTGGACGCCAGCAGAACGATGCTGGTTCTAGTGGGAAGCCGGGTGGAATTCCCACCTTCGCAGATCGTCCAGCTCGCAGCGAAATTACAGAGTACAGTGCTATCCCCGACATGATAAATCCGATTTGGCCTTCCGATAGTGCCTTGGACATGAACATCTACGTCTCGCCATCGGTCGTACTTCCTACTGTAAAGTCTGGCCCGGCAAGCCAACTTGTGCTCAATGAGAAGAACTTTACTCTTGGAAACTACAGTGATACCAGGGAAATCGATACTACCATCAAGATCCCCAAAGAAGTACAACAGAATGGTACTCTTTTCGCGCACTTCATGCTCGGACTTTCTGGGCATCAGCTTGATCCCTCGGCCAAAGATTACAGCACAGACTCTGCAATTTATTTCTTTCGCCCGCTTAACCAGTATCTCCCGAAGAAAAAAGCCAAGAAGCTCAAGAACCTCCTTGCAGGCTCTGACGAAGCTGAAGAAGAGGTGGAAGAGAACACACCGGAAGTCTCCATCGCATCGTACTACCACCCGAACTTCACGGTATCTCTGATTCCTGATTCGGGTACCCAGCGATTCCGTCAGATTCATCCGGCTGTCCGGTCGCAGGTGCAGCTAGAGGCATCTGGCGCAAGAGATGCCTCCGGAAAGAATGGATGGTACTACCCTATTGTTTACTTGAACACTTTTTGGCAACTTAAGAGTCATATGATGGAACTTAATTCTACCGTGGAGACCGTGCCTCTTCGCATTACCCTCAACAACCTGCAGAACTGGAAGTTCAGCATGATGGCGAGCGTCGATGACAGCGCAAAGCAAACTGCTCGACAGGCTGCCTTTGGAGCCTCGACACCGGGCGGTGGTGACGGTACTGAGTTTGAAATGGTGAAAGAGGTCCTTTTGGATACGAACATATGGCTGCTGGGCACAACTGGTGTCGTGACTATCCTTCACATGGTCTTCGAGACTCTGGCCTTCAAGAATGATATTGTGAGTTTGTAACCCCGCGCAGATTTAGAGCAATATACTGACCTAGTCTTCCCGTACTAGGCTCACTGGCGCAAAAAGAAAGACGTCGTTGGAACGTCCGTTCGTACGATCTTGGCCAATGTCTTTATGCAGGCAGTTGTTTTCCTTTACCTCATGGATAACAGTGATAACACTTCCTGGATGATTCTTGCCAGTCAGGGCTTTGGTATCCTCCTCGAAGCTTGGAAAATCACAAAGACTGTCGATGTCCGATTGCGGCAGCCATCGCCGAACTCTTTCTTCTCCTTCCTGCCTTTTGTGGTGGTATTTGAGGACAAACATAAACTCACCGAGACCGAGCAGAAGACCAAAGAGTACGATGAAATCGCGTTCCGCTATCTCTATATCGTTGCCGTACCTCTCCTGGCTGCATACGCAGTGTACAGCTTGGTCTACAACACCCACAAGTCGTGGTACTCCTACATTATTGAAACACTTGTTGGGAGTGTTTATGCCTACGGTTTCCTGATGATGGTCCCCAGCTTGTATATCAACTACCGCTTGAAGGTTGGTATTTTTTTGACTCCGCTACATAACCTAGCTAACCTCGCTGTTCCTAGTCTGTTGCCCATATGCCTGGCAAAGCGTTGATGTACAAGTTCCTGAACACCTTCATCGACGACCTTTTCGCTTTCACGGTCAAGATGCCGTGGCTTCACAGGCTTGCGACTCTCCGTGATGATGTCATTTTCTTCGTTTGGCTTTACCAGGGCTGGAAGTACCGGGTTGATTACACACGTGTGAACGAGTTCGGTCAGGGAGGTGATAGCGATGCTGAGGAAGAGCCACCAGCCGTTGACACAAAGGATGTCAAAGAGAAGACAGAAACACCGGCGTCATCCCAGGCTTCCGGAAAAGATGCCTCGAAATCATCTACCCGCAAGAGGAAGTAAGCCAGCCTTTGGTTTAGATTCCGAACATACTTTGTTTTTGGGAGCATGCTCAGAGAGGGCTGCCCGGTGGTTGTTCCGCTAAAAATGATTATTGAGCAGAGGTTCCTGGACAATGTTATACTGGAGGCATACTAGAGCAGCGTCTCATTAAGTATACAACTTAACACCCTGATTTCCCACCTACTTTCCACCATGTAAAGTTTTTAATGTATTAATTGGTGAACGTCAGTTCTATTACGTATTTCATGATATATGCATTATACATTAAACATAACATCACCGAGTAAGAGACAGCAGCATGATGTTGAGGCATATCGCGGTAATGACCCAATCTGGTAAAGTTCGTAATTTCCGCGCCCATGAAATTTACATCGTTGCAGGTACGACCCTTAAGATTGCACGATTGGAGGATGATATGTACAAATTGTCAAGAATGCGACGAGAGAATACATATCAATGAATGATAGGTGCGAATGGAAATAGCTACTGCATAGCTATTAAGGGAGAATTGAATCGGCTGTTTACTCACTCTTTATCGGAGCGACGCGACAGGTCTGGGCGGCACGCAAATAGCCGGTGTTATCCTAAACCGACGCCATCTGTAGGAGCAAAAGGCGCGAGCATGAGAATCAGCCACAGTAATTACGATTAATACCAAGGCTTATCATGTCATCTGATACAGATACAGGTTTGTTAGCTTCGAACTCCTGGAAGTGGACAAGTTTGCTGACAGTAATACCAGGCGCAGAGCCTAGGCCTACTGGCCTACTAGATGCAATCAAGCGTCTTGAGGCGGGTAAGATCGCATCTATAGCTCACGCAAAATGTATAAACTCTTCTGTGCTGATTTCCGTTTGCAGTTGCTTCCGTGCCTTCTAAGCAACGTGATACAGATGCTGGAGAACTGGCTAAAACGATCGCTACGTACGCGTATGAGGGCGGTCTTTCCCAGATCGCGCTTGAGCGTCTGGTTAAAATTATCACGAGACGCAGTCAACTTGACCAAGGTACAATTACTGCACTTATTAAGAATCTGTATCCGGTGGACAGTGTGCCATCCAGCCTCGTCACGCAGATTGTGTGTTGTCTTGGTCCTAACAAGAACAACCCATCACCTGCGACACAATCTTTACTCTTGCGATGGCTGATTATGGTGCATGAGTTTCTTGCTGATAGGTCTCACTTATCCAAGCTTTATGCCGTACTTTTTAACCATCTAGACATGATAAGTCTGCGCAAACCTCTATGCCATCTTCTTTCCCTAGTCACACGGCGCAAGCATGTTAAGCCGTTTAGGATACAAGCCCTTATGGAACTGGTTGTTACTTCTGGTGGCGATGAGAGAGAACTTGTTACGCTACTTAAAGTCTTCAAGAACTACTGCCCTGATGTCATTGTTGGGGACCTAGGTGTATCTGGGAGGAAGGGACTGTTCTTCAAGCATCCAGACCCTGAATGGTCTAGCCATGTGAGGCTTCTCCAAGATACAAACATGGAAAGGCTACAGGCCACCCAGCCCGCGAATTTTCAAGTGGTGCACCGAGGAATATCGAAGAGAAGCAAGATGGAGGTTCTGGTACCGGATGTCCAGACTTCACGTGTCTCCTATGGGCGCACTTCCTTGGAAGAACTACGTGGTGTTGACCACTTTGTTGACAAGCTTGACAAAATTGAGTTACCAAACCAGATCATATCGATGATTGGAGATGGTATCGCCCAAAAATACTTGTTTCTTGTCCAGCCTAAGTTCGCTAGCCATCGTTTAGCTGATTGGTGGAGAAGCTTCTTTAACGAAACCCTGGAGGATGCTGAAGAGAAAGATGAGAAACTCGAGTCCTTGAGCTACATCATGTCCCTTGCCGTGGGCTATGTACAATATACCAAGGTACGAGATTGCCGCTGGATACTGATTGTTTCAACACTAAAGAACATATTAGGAAATTCCTCCCCCAGTTGCCACGTTCTTGAAGTCGTATCTTCTGTCATGGAACGGCAGAGATTTGAGAGAGCAAATATTCTACCTTCTCGAATACCTTGACATCGAGGATTATGACTCTGTAAAACAGGATTTCTTGGTGCCACTCGAACATGCCGTACTTACAGACAAAATGTTTCCCAGATCTAGCCTATTGGACTTCTATGCTTCCATCATTCGCCAATGGGGTGTCAAATTAAGGACCCAGCCATTCACTTTGGAAGAGTCTAAACCACTGGGCCGTTTGATCTCACACGCAGAGCTGTTGGCGCTGTCTATTCTCGAATGCCCCGCAGCTGTTCAGCAGGCACCTCCTGACAATATGGAGAGCCCAAGACCGGCTGCCCTATCTGTCACTGAATTTTATTGTGTTTTAGCTGAATTGTTTTCGCATTCACACCTAAATGGAAACATCCGTATTGCGATTCCAATGGCTCCCACCGTCTACACACTCATCTTCACTCCGATCAGTTCCATTATTTCAATAATGAGTTCCGTGCTTGCCAGCTATAAATCGGCCTTCGAAGCATCCTTGACTTCTCAGGTACTCCAAACCCCGGGTTCTGCCGAATCACTCTATCCAACACAGTTGGTTGGTCAATTCAATGGCTACATTATGGATATTTGTAACCTCATATGGCGAAATCGAGGCCTAAATGGGGAGGACCCCAACGCATTAGGCTGTTTGATACCTGCTCCTACAATCGCTGCACTCACGCAATATGTCCGGGATGCAACAGACAGCTCTCGAGAAAGGAAGAGAGAGGCAACGTTTACCTATAATCTGTCTTCGATATTCTCTCTTAGCCATAATGTCGCGCTCTGTAATATGTCCGCTGCTTGCTTCGCTGATATTGAGGAAAGCGATCTCAGCGAAAATCAGCCTAGGCTAAAGAGACCAGTGACACAGAAAGCACTCAGTGCCTTGGAGAAGGAAGGCGGTATTAAGGTAGCTTGGCAGGAATACAGAGTGCGAATGTTGGACTGGCTGGAAGGGACAGGAAGTATTGGCATTGGAAGCTTGATGCGGAGCACGATGAAGGCCTTACGGAAAGAATGATAGGATGACAATATCACGAAATGACACTTACCTATCCCTCCAACTAATGTAGCCCGTCCAAGGAACCTAGTAAGCGCTCTATCTCTACTGTACATCTATTATGTATTCTATAATCACTGCTGCATACTGTACAGGTGTCGTAAGTGAGCCATAAACTGGGTAGAGTATACCTATCATCAGAGCTGCTGCGTAGTGTTCAGATAAATGTCCCGAACGCTCGACTCCTCACGGAGGGTACTGAGGATATCCTCTATTTCCCTCACATGTTCATCCTCCGTCAGCTCGACCAAGGTGTCTTGGTTCGGATCCCAAATAATTTCTAGTTCTTCAATTGCGAGCTGAGATGACTTTGTCAGAGCTTCACCCACACTCTTTGTGTCTGTTGGTTCTGTGAACACGATGAGACGGCCTTCTTCATCTGCCGTAATGTCTATAGCACCAGCTTCAATAGCCTGATCAAGACAGTCATCTGGGTTCAGGCCGTCCTTCTTTTCGAAGATTATCCTTCCCTTCTTTTCAAAAAGATAGGTAGTCGGGGTGACGGTTCCACCAGCATCTTTGATAGCATAGCGGAGATCTTGCAAGATGCGCGCCTTCTGGTCAGTTTGACATTCGATAACGGCTGCAACGGAATGGGGCAGTATAGCCTCGATGGTGACTTGCTCGAGGGCCTCGCCAGTTACACTTATACCCTGACCTCTTGCAATTGCTGCCTCAATCACGGTCTTTGGGATTCCGGCTCGTTTCGCGTTCGACAGGGCAAGAGTCAGCCGGGGATTGAACTTTGGATCCGCTCCCCACACTAATGATAACCGTTAGCTTGTGCATGTTATGGGGGCAAGATCAATTAAAAAACATACTTTGTGTCGCGCTGCTGATTTCCTTGCCGATAATTTGGCGCTCCTTACTTTTCGCCTTGTCATTCTTTGCCTTGTCATGTTTGATCTGAGACCACCGATTATGTCCCGCGAACGAGGGAGAACTGCTGGCGAAGCCACGACAAAAATAGCACACCGATTGGGAGCGCGCGCCGTTCCGGAGTAAGCCTCTGTTCACAATCGCGGTCATGGTCAAGGTTCTTGCCGAGCAATGGAGGTGCATCTAAGGTGTGTGTATGTATATATGAGAATGTTCTATGATGGTCCTATCTATGGACTACCGGTCCGATATTTTCTCCGTCGCCCACCCCCGGACGGAGGTGTGGCCAGGTGCCCCGAGAAGGGGGCCCGTCTCCGATATAGTATCCCGTATTTAGTCCAGACTATCGTTTATTCCGTCGCACATACCATCATTTTCCTTCTCCCTAATTGAGATACGCATTATACTCCTCTCAGGGAAACCTTATGTGCGACGCCCTGATCGGAACTATCGAATTCAATGTCTTCATCTGAAACCGCTGCACGTACTTCCTCCGACAATGTGCCCCCCCGAGCGGAGTTGGATATCACCAAGCTCCATGCCCTCCCCTCCGAACAACAGGACCTTTACCTCCTCACCTTCACATCAGACCTAGTACAGTATATTTCAGGACTAGAAAAGCCGCAGGTTTCGGCACAGCAGAAATTTCTGAAAAAGGAGTTGTTCAAAATCCTCACCCTTTCCTCACCGACGATCACGCGAGTTGTGCGCAATAACCTGGGACGATGTTTTGGAGCTATATTCAGCAAAGGCGATCGCGGGGTCCTTTTCGAAACAGTTACTGATTTGCTTGGGCTCCTGAATGCAGGGAAGCATGAAGAGCTCAGAACTAAATTCGCTGCAGCTCACTGTTTGGGCGAGGTATTCGTGGTCGCCGGTGAAAGTGTGTTTGCGCAAGCGGGCATTGTCATTTCCAGCTTACTTAAACTGTTGAAGAACTCCAGTAATAATACTGGCCTACGCGGGTCCATTTTTGCAGTATTGCGGAAGGTGGTTGTTGGTGTGGGGATTCCAGTGGATGAAGCGGCGGCGCGAGATATTTGGAAGCAGGCTCGCAATGCAACTACCGGAGATAAATCGACATTCGTCCAGGTTCATGCTTGCCGATGCTTAGAGCATCTAGTGAACACAACGCCGTTCTTTGATAATGCAAATGATTTCGATCATGTCAAGACAATCACCTGGAAAGTTATTGACAGCCCAGCCGCTCCAGTCAGACATGCTGCCGCGGCTTGCCTGGCGCGAGCGCTAGTAAAACTACATGCCACAGAAGCCAAGATTGCTCCGATTCCCAAGTCCAAGAAAGCAAAGAGACAATCGAAAAAGCCAGCACCACGGCCTGGGGAGGATGAGGAAGAGGCGGAGGTCTCTGAGTCGTCCGTATCCAAGAAACCTGAGTCGCGTCTGTTCTTCCTACTACCCGATCTTCTTCGCCAACTATCCACCCAATATTTGCGCAGCACAACATCCAATCGTTCACGTGCAGGTATTGCAATCTGTTATAAACATGTCCTGCGCATTTTGGGCAACAAATTTGTTGAAGAACGCTATGGTGAAATTGCAAACCATCTTCTTTTTGACCTCCTGAACCACCCAACTGTTACATATAATCGATTCAGGCTTCTCATGACGAGAAAATTTGTCAAAAGTATCTTAGAGGACACCGTTGGCCGTGACTCGCTTAGTGAAAACAGCCAGCTCAATGCTGCGAAGTGGTTGATCAACGAAATTCTTAAGGATTACCCTCAAGTCATCCAGGAACGTCGTGAGCCTAGCAAGTACACGTTAACCAGTGCTCTTAGTGCGCTATCCTCTTTAATTTCACACCTTGGCTCTGCCTTCGTGTCCCTAGCTGAACCCTGTCGTGAAGCCCTCCTTCAGGTTCTTGCTCACCCTAGCTATACCGTGCAAGTCCATGCCGCACATTGTCTGCGCGGCTTTGTACTTGCCTGTCCTCATCAGTTGCTGTCGTGCGTTACGATTTGTCTAAATAGCTTGAACAGGGAGGTCGGGCAACTTTCTACACCCCGCCAAGCGCCGCGACGCTGTGTCGGTTACGCAAATGGGTTGTCTGCCATGTTGGGTACCTCTAGACTGCAGCCGCTCTACGGCTCCGTTGAAGTTTATTCTCGGGTATTCACTCAAGCAACAGATCTCCTCAAGACGAGCAGCAACTCCGAACTGCGTGCCGCGAGTACACAAATTCAGGTTGCTTGGATTTTGATTGGAGGCCTAATGCCTCTGGGGCCTAGCTTCGTGAAAATACATCTCTCACAGCTGATGCTCCTGTGGAAAAATGCGCTTCCTAAGCATCTAGGCAAAGAAAACTTTGCTCAGCGTGGGACCTTAGAAATGAGCTTCCTTGCCCATGTTAGGGAATCTGCACTGGGGTCGTTGTTAGCGTTCCTAGAGTTTAATAGCAAATTGATCACAGCAGACGGCGCGAGGAGAATCGCTACTATGCTACAGAACACTGTTGGCTTTCTTGATGACCTGCCCCGTCAGAAGTCCGTGACGGATATATCTCAGCGTCTTCATCCTTCTCTGCAATTGCATGATATTGCGACCATGGTTCGGCGGCGTGTATTGCAGTGCTTCTCCAAGCTGATCCATGTTCACCCTCTCAGCCATGGAGATGTAATCTCTCAGACCAGTCTTTTAAGTCTAGCAATCTCGTCCTTTGCTGAGCCAGAGTTTGCCCAGTCCGGTCCTCTTGAAAGCTCAATTGCGGCTTCTACGGCGCAGTTCGAGAGTTTGTGGGATCTGAATGACAATTTTGCTTTTGGGTTAACTGGATTGGCGAGGGAGTACGTTGGTATGACGCTCTCCGGAAAGCATGAGAATGACAATGGGCCGGCTTGGTCAGCAGTGGAATCGGCAGACCAGGCTATTGACGATGCTGTAAGTATACCGGGTTTCCCTAGAGCTAGTCCAGGTAGAACTGACCCATCAAGTTAACTTTCCCGATTTGTCAAGGGAGTGAGCATGACTCTGCCCTTCTATATGCATCAAGACATGGCGGCTGTCTGCTAGCCGATCCGCATTCTACTGGCGTTGTCAATGCTGCTATTGAGCTTTTCTCCGTTGCTATTCCATTGCACGCTCCCAAAGTACAAGAAAGTAGCGTAGAGCAGATTGCAACCTTCCTTTCTTCTTCGAGCTTGCAGCGCAACCCCGGTCGCAAAGCTGCCATGGTAGTTAACATCGCCGTGGCATTGCTCGAAGCCTTGAAAATTGCCCTCAAAGATTCTAATTCGACGAGTGGAAAACTCAACCCTACGACTGACAAGATATTGCAAGAGCTGTTGCAGGTAGGATGTTCCGAAACCTATGTGACGAGTCACTGAACTAACTCCTTTAGAAATTTGTAACTGATGCTGACCCAGTTGTTCGGACCATTGGGGTGGAAGCTCTCGGAAGACTATGTGAGAGTTCTGGAAATACCTTCACTACCTCGCAGATCAATTGGCTTGTCGACACAATCGTAGACAACAGAGAGCCCAATGCTCGTGCTGGTTGTGCTGCTGCCTTGGGTTGCATTCATTCTCAGGTAGGTGGCATGGCAGCTGGTCTGCACCTCAAAACTATCGTCGGTGTCCTCATGTCCTTGTGCAATGACCCTCACCCCGTGGTTCATTTCTGGGCGCTTGGAGGGCTGGAAAGAGTGGCTAACTCTGCGGGCTTGACATTTTCGCCATTTGTCTCAAGCTCACTCGGCATGCTTGCTCAAGTATACTATGCAGATACCCACAACGAGGAGTCTGCTACTCTTGCGACCTCTAATATCGAAATGTCTTACCTTACGCCAATAGTCATAAGCCGTTGCGTGGATTCTTTAATCAACGTTTTGGGTCCCGATCTCCAAGATATTGCCAAGACGCGCAACCTTATACTCACTCTTCTCCGGCAGTTTCAGTTGGAGGATAACCCGGCTTTGGTTTCTGAAAGCTCTAAATGCTTGGATCATTTGTCACTTTATGCTCCGAATTACGTGGATTTCTCAGGATATGTAAAACGACTGCAGACCGAACTCGCTGCGGATAATCTATTAATGAGGGATGTGGCTATCAGAGGACTAAGTAACCTCATGAAGCGAGACTCAGTATCGGTTCTGGAAGCTGCACCGGCCCTAGAAGAAGACATTTGGCTTGCCTTCGACGATACGCCAGATAATGCGAACCTCAGGAGCATGATTCAAGACTGGTTGCAGCAGACTGCTCTAGAGGAGACTGAGCTGTGGGTACAGCGCTTCCATAACACACTGACGAAGACTCGTGGTAAAGTGGAAGAGCCACCTCCCACTCCAGCTGTCAAATCTGCTGTCAATGATATACCGGACGATGAAGTTGCTGGCTTTGCATCCGCCATCGCCGGGGCTGGGCAGTCAGACAATGTAAATGGGGCTGTCTCTGGACAAGAGCTATTGAAATGGCAAACCCGCAACTTCGTCCTCAGGTGTCTTAGCGAACTTTTGGCAACGGTAGAGCAAGAGATCTTGCCTGATCAGACAATCCCTGCTGAGCTGGCCCTGCAACAGAGAGTGGGAGACATTGTGAGGATGGCATTCTCGGCCTCTACTGCCAACGTGATAGAACTGCGAGTATGGGGCCTCAAAATCCTCGATCAAGTTCTTAGGGTAAGTCTGTATGCCATTCGATGCTTGTCATCCAACTGACACCCTTTCCAGATGTTTGGCAAGACTCCAGACCCAGACTTCGCAGAAGCGTCTCTTCTGGAGCAATATCAAGCGCAGATCGGTTCTGCACTTACACCAGCATTTGCAGCGGATTCTTCTCCAGAGTTGGCATCAGGGGCCATCAATGTCTCGGCTACCTTTATTGCAACAGGAATAGTAACAAACGTAGACAGGATGGGCAGGATATTGAAGTTACTAGTGCTGGGTCTTGAGAACTTCTCAAGTGAGTCGTGGGATTTATGTTTGCCAATATTTATACTAAATAATATTGTACAGGAAATCCGGACACTACTGAGATTGGAGACTTGAAGGGCCTCAACTCAAACGCCAGGGTCATGGTAAAGATGGCGCTGTATTCTGCTTGGGCTCGGCTTCAAATAGCAAGTATCGAGCAAGATTACCTCAATGAGGTAGTCCAGTCTCATCTCGCCAAACTTACGCCGCTGTGGCTTTCTTCCCTTCAGGAATATGCTCGCCTACGGTTCGAACCGGACATTTCTGGTAGTTTAGGAACAGGGCCGCTGAGCAATGATTTGGACGAGGTATATGCTGCTTTGAATCGAGAGACTCTTCTCAAGGTCAGCCACTCACGCCTAAATTATAATTGTCTTGTTGCACAGAAGCTGACATTGTCTATAGTTCTATCAAGACACTTGGCTGAGCCTCGTTGATGCCATCGCGGGCTTAGTGGAGAAGGATATTGATTTTGTCTTCGACGCATTGGACGGGAAAATGAAGCCAGATGAGGAACCCGTTGACAAGTCTCAGGACGATGTGGATGTAATAAACGAAGAGACAAAGAAAAAAGGAAACGACATCAATTACCGCGATGAACCAGTTGCGTTCTTCTTCGTTCTATTCGGTTTGGCATTCGAAGCCCTTGTTGACCAGTCTACTACGGCGTCGCAGCGACTAGAGATTCTGCAGGCTCTCAAGCGGATTCTCCGGCCAATAATATCTGGAAATGCCATCTATCAGGACGCTATCTTTTCGGAGACAATGGATTCTCTTGACCGTCTCGCGTTGACTGAAGGGACACCCATCCAGAATGTCATCGTTGAAATAGCGCGAAACTTGTCTCTGGATCATCCCTCTGCAAAGGGAAGCGAGGGGCGAAGCGACCATCTGTCCGATGATATTGAGCAGCTCTTCGAGCTGACCAGAAGCATCATTCTTGTACTTGCCGGGCTACTACCGAACCTTCGTGAGTCAGTGCCTCTCGCGCGGTTCAACGTAGGATCAGATGATGCTCTATCACTCATCCGTCTCGCCTTGTCATCTCTTGTGAACGTTGCGTCCATTTTCCCGTCCATCATTCGCAATGACCTAAACGCATGCATCTTACACATATTCACCACCATTCTTGCCACTGGGCTATGCCAATCGGAAGTCGTTCCTCAGGCACTTCCAATTTTCAAACATTTTGTTCAAAGTATAAGCCATCCGAACGACGTTGGACCAGAAAAGTCTGACGACCTTCACGTGGTCGCGCGCCAATTGCGCGGCTGCCTCACCCGTTTCCTCGCCACTCTCACAATCGCCCAGCGTCGCGAGTCCGAATCCTCTTTGCCTTGCGCTAAGAACACGCTGTTGGCAATTACCATCCTATTAACCACAGGAGGCCATGTCCTCCCGCCTAATGACCCCACTATTGTCCGCATCCTCAGTGAGTTCCTGGACTGCCTTCAGGACGTCGGTCTCGCAAACGTTGCGGCAGGCTGCCTCCGATCAATCCTTCTGTCTTCAACAGGATCTCCCACAGAAGAAGTAATCGCGAGATACTTGTTCCCTCGCTTGATCAGCTTCTTAGTAGGCTGCCCCATGGACAATGGCGACGTCCCCAACGATCCAGAGAATTCAAGAGCTGTTATCGCCCGCACACTAGTTTCCTACGTTAGTAACGCCAGCGATATACCCACTGCCCTTTCCATCGTCATGTCGGCCCTCCTTGCGCGTGGGAAAAGAGAAGGACAAGCTGTTTACAAAGAGACGGCTGTTCATCTACTGGAACTCGCCAAGACAGATCAGTCAGTATTCCGGGCTCTTGTGGCTACGATGACTCCAGAACAGAAAGCACTTCTCGAGGACATCCTTCGAAGTGTGAATGTTGACTCTGGTTCCAATAAGAGTACCAGAGACAGTGTGCAAGTCCAGGCAAATGAGCCTACTATTGCTTTGAGATTTGATTTTTAGAGCTCTGGAGGCTCCGTGCTATATATCTCTTTGGGCATTCTTTGCCTTCAACCCCCAAACTATCTTCATATTTCTTATATGTTGAACTCCTAACGAATCACTATCTTGATGTGTTTATGTTAAAACAATAATATTATAAACGAATTCCATATACGATTTTTTCCCTCCCCTCTCCTTGGTGCAGACGTATTAAGCAACTTGGCAATGGTCAGTTTTAAATTTGAAGAGTCTTGGACATAAGGACATGTAGAGTGGGGCAGGTTATCTGCCATGAAGGAATGTAATTCAATGAAAGTCTATATATCTATATTCCATCTGGAAGCGTGACCCTGGGGTATCGAAGGTAAATGTAGCAAAGGGGTGAGTCCAGTGCGTCGAAGTAGTGAACAGCATAACAGTATATTTTACATGCAGTTACAAAGGAAAAGTAAAAATTACCAATGAGGTCATAAAACCGGCGTCCTCAGCCCAGAGATTCGGTGAGATGTACCTCTGGAACTGGCACGACAGAACCAATAATGGGTTCCTTCGCTGCCTGTTTCTCTGTAGCTTTTTTAGTCGATGCCTTTTTCTTCTTCTCAGCGGCATCCTGTGCCTTGCGTGACGAATAGAATTTAAGGAACGAAATGATCATGACTGTACCTGGTCAGTATTTAGATCATTTGACGAGAACATGAAGGGACATACAAGCGCTTGCGGCAATAGCGAATGCGGCCCTTCTCGTCAGAATCCAACGGAGACCCTCAATCTCACTTTTACCGTCACTGTTTAGAGAGACCGTGATCTTATAGTTAAGCTCCTGAACCGAGGTATCTATGCTCCGTTGTTGCTCCCGTGTCGTCATCTTATGGTCGTTGAACATCGCCTTAATATCATCTTTTAAACCGGCAAGCTCTTGATTCGTTCGCTGGGAGAGAATATCGGTCTCGTGTTGAAGCTGCGTCCGCGACGCACGCTGTCGCTGCATTTCGGAGTTCCGAGCGGTCTGCAAGGATGACTGGAGCTCCGAGCAAGCCGCCTTGAATAGATATGATTCGTTCTCAACATCAGACTTAGAAGTTAAGTTCTGCCTCGCCATATCGAGGTTGTTATGCAAGATATTCCGAACTGCTTTCATGATTGTGACAGACTGGTCTTCCGTAAAACCACCTGTGGAGAGGTCACGGACTAGGGAGTAGGTATCGAAATGATGGATATAGGGGGGCGGGGCCAAATGTGGTTTACCATTGGGAATCGCCGCACCGGATGGCATCAGATAGGATGAGGGAGAAGGCATATGAAGCACATCATCGAGGGGGTCTGGTCTATCTGGAGGCTCGTGTTGCTCTTCATGTCGCTCTTCCTCAGCATTCTCGGTTGGAGAGGCGGAGAGCGGCTCGACGTCGTGGCTTTCGCTTGCAGATTCCTCGTGTGGAGTGGGCTCATCCGATTGCTTCTTGTCGCTAGACTCCGAGGTCTCTTGGTCCTTCTCTTGGGAAGATACTTCCGGGATGTTACTCTTGGTATCCTTGGGGGGCAGTTTTTCGGGAGGGGCGGTGTTCGGCGGAGTGTTGGTATCTTTCGGCGCTTGCTGTGGTACTTGTGGATGATTCAATTCATCTTTAGGTCGTGATGGAGGTGGCAGGTTTGCCTCTGCAGCAGGCCCGTATCGTCGATGGTATGTTTCTTGAGCCTGCCGCCGAGTTGTATGAAAAGGAGCGTGGCCGTTCTTGGACGGGATCCGTACGGAGCGATGGGTAGCGGGTTCGCATGAACGCACGGCGCGCATCAAGTGCGGGTAGAGGAAGGGTAGCCTCGGGGTAGCCATGGCGAAGAGAATGATTATGGAGTTTGTCCAGGGAAAGACGGCGTTGGAAACATGGAGCAGGTGTGGCGGATGAATCATTCCGTTTTCCCGCGGCCAACTGATGCAGTACCCGGAAACGTGACGTGAGCGGTGAGAATCCCCCGCGGAAACCACTAAACCTGCCTGGGATTAGCGGATTACAGCCGCATCTTATTCTCATTAAGGTATCTGCCGCTTACTGCATCACAGACTAGCAGAGTCCAACTCCTCTTCCCCATATTCATTGTTCAATGCTATATACAAATGGACTTCTCTTGGTGTTATCTGCCTCGCTTTACCCTAGAATAGAACTACAGCAGGTTATTGCCCCCCACCAATTGCTAAAAGCCCGAACAACAGCTGGGTACGCTTCCAATACTCAGCAGCATTATGTTCCATGGTTCTGGCAATGTTATCCGCAGATCCAAGATCGCCGCGAAGCTTTTCTAGAACGTCCATTAGTAGATTCTGTCCGGAACCCTTCACTGCCAACGCATTGTTCAGGTAGGCAGTATCAAAATAGAGTTGAAGTTTCAGATCGTGGGCGTTTTGTGACTCGTTCACGTCTTCATCCTTTGCCCGCTCGTCTGCATCGCTGTTTTGGCCGTCCTGTTCACTGGGGGTTTTCCCGCCATCCAAATCGGTATTTTCTTTGCTTTTACCAGTTTCACAAGAATTCAGAGGTTCGATAGTCGAGGGGATAGTGTTTGAGAGCTCCCTTTGTAAGGTTCGCTTGAGAACTTGAACGGTTGTGACATCCCAAAGCCCCGGGCCGCAACGATCCATGGATCCTACAAGTCGACGTAGAAGCTTGAAAGTAGAGGGAGATGGTTGGATTGGAAGCTCAGGATCGCCTTCCCAAAGGCTTCGACCTGGAACCCGAGAACCCGGTTTGGCTCGCAAATTTGAAGAAGATGTCTGCGTAACCACCTCAGTGGCAAGCATTTCCTGCAACTGAGGCACAATATCTCTCGAGAAAGTAAATTCGTCGGTGATAAGTTGGCAGGGGAAGCCTCGCCGAACAAGTCTGATGAGTCTAAGAATAAATGCAGCCTTTTCACTATGATTCGTGTCTCCAAAGGCTTGGAAGGCATCGCCGAATGAAGATTGAAGATCATCAAAGGCTTCCCTAACAGCAGACTGAAGCGCGTCCTGTAGCAGTCGAGGGTCGTCTTCATTTAATGCCGCTGTGGTATCTAGGTCAAAGTCTTCATCCTCGCCCTCCTCGATGATGTCTTTCCACCGGATCTGCCGTAGTTCATCAATGGAATCTTTGGACTTTTCAATAGACATGAGCCAAGATTGATATCCCCTTAGCATATTAGAAACCTCTTCATCACGGCCAAGGAGTCTATCAGCGATGGCTGATTTGAAGGCGTCGGCGCCATTTGAGTAATCAGAGACCATCAGTTCATGATCCCAAAGTGACTGAGAGGTTACGTGGTCTGTATTGTCCCAAGCTGAGATCTTAGATGTGACATCCTGGCCAAATTTCGCCAACGACCTAGCCTGATCAGATAAGATATCCATCAGACGGTTATTAAAGATCCCTCGAACCCCTTCTAACACCTGAAGGGATGAATGTGTGATTGTTGAGGTCCAGGAGCGCAGCCAGAATTCCAAGGCCTTTTCTCGAAGCGCGAGTAACTTTGTGAAGTCTAGCCAGCTTGTCAAGTTCTTCTGACATCCTTGGACAAATTTCTCGAAGGCTTGCCTCGACCATTTTTTCAGTGTTTTCTCAACTTCAGATTTGGACAGCTCGCTCAGTTTGATCCAAGGTGTGAAGTTACTCATATCAGGTGGCACCCAGCGCCCCAAGACATCGAGATTAAGGTCGTCAAGATTGTGAATTTCCGGATCAGTCAGAATAGGCCGTGCTTTCAATTTGCCAAGAACATCTGATAGACGACGGGAAAGTAAGATCTTGGATATTTGAAGTGTACTAACGTATAGTCCCAAAGCCTTCAGAATATTTCCTCCTGATGGGTCGTCAAGCCCTAGCTGGCTCTCAATGACCTCCTCTCGTACCCTATGAAAGTGACGAATAGCATCCTCGGAGGAAGAGCTCGTAGCTAGGCAGTAAGAAGCTAGGACCTCAATAATATCATCCGCTGTTGATGAATCTGAGGCTAAGCACTTGTTGACTCTTCTCAAAAGGGTTTGCCTCAGTGAGGCTATTTGATTCCGTAAGCTTTCAAGAAATGGCGGCACGGTCTTTTGCTGAGACAGTGCTTTATGCAGGAGTCGAGAAACAACCACAAGCTTGGCTCCTAGGAGAAGAGAATCACGCCTCCTCAATAGACGAGATATAGCTGTCTCACAGCGGTGAAGCAAAGCAAGCTGGGCTCCAACGGCTCGTTTGGTTGCGCCTAAAACCTGATCAGTTCCCGAGCATGTGTTGGGGGTGGGGGGGGGGACCAAGTACGCGGTAATCTATACCTTTGTCGTGAACATCTCCCTTGATTTGACTGAAATGTGTAACTTTCTTCTCCATTAATCGTGGGTTGCATCTTCGTCCGATATCCGCCAGGGTCGTATCCACCTCCTGCATCTCGCGGTTCATCGATACGATCGTTTCGGCCGTTCCAACAAGCTCTCGATATCTCGTCCTGGATACGCGCCCAGAATTAGCTTTCGAATATGATCTGATTGGCATTTGCTGTCATACCCAACAAGAGCTCGGAGCTTCTCCTTATTGCTGGCGATGTCCCGGCGGAGCTCCTGTTCCACACGGCGCACAGTGGGAATTGGATACTGGAATGCATCCTGCCATGAATTCAAGCTCTGTGGATCTGGACCATCTGACGCCATTATGAAATAGGAAACAGGTGGAAGGCGAGAGTGGCCAACGGAGCGGAATGCTGCAACTTCGTGTTGTTACACAGGCAGTAATGACGCTTATGGCGTGTGCCTGAGGCAGCACGTGGCAGGAGCATACGAAGACATGCAATGTATCTCTGGAACAGCCACTCCAAGTATACACCGCCTACCTAAAGGAGGTCTTGTCCTAAGGTCTGGTACCTGACCAAAGGCGGTATGTAAAAGCATGGACCCTGTGATCGATTATTCTAGAAATTCACTGCGTGGAGCTGTAAACGTATTGTCATCTAGGTATTGACCATACTGCAAGAGGCAAGTTATTTGACTCATCCTGTGAAATAAAACCCCGCGGAATGACTTCCCTATCATTTTCTGCCCCCCACTTCTAGACACACTTTTGACATATTGAAGATCGCAACAGCTGCAGATAGTATAATGCCTCACTCTGACACTGAAGTGCCGCCTTCAGCGGAGGCCTCAACAGACCTGCCTCAACGGCTCCCCTTTCCTCCAGTCACTTACTCTCACATCTTGCACTGTTCTTATCATGACTGGCAACCTCGGTATGTTTTTTCACTCATCCATTACACACCGTACTCATAGGATTCTCCCAGCTACCGTGCGCTCACACCCAAATCGCGTCTTATCCCATTGACACTGCCTTTCGTCTCCTATCTCCGCGCGGACGGTATCGTATTGCCACCCGAAAATGTCACACCCACAGACGACGACAACCTAGACACGTATTCCGATGACGAGGCCGACGAACAACCAAACCCATCGACCGAATGGGAAGAAATCCACACCCAGATCAAGACGACAATCTCCGATCTTGGAGGTATCATAACCCCGAAGTTGAATTGGAGCGCCCCCAAGGATGCAACCTGGATGGCCGCGACAAACGATATGCAATGCCGCACACCAAACGACATCTACCTGCTCTTGAAAAGCAGTGACTTTATCAGCCATGATCTGGAGCTTCCCTTCGATGATTGTGTCCCAGAAACGCCGGATTCGACGACCACTCCGGACGTTCCATACCATCTCGTGCTTCGCAAATACGTCAACTTCAACCCGTCCCTTGAGTTTCGGTGCTTCGTGCGCGATCGCGTACTTCTCTGTATTTGTCAGCGGGACCAAAACCACTTTGACTTCCTCTTCCCTTTGCGCGAAACCCTCAGATCCCGAATTCAAGCATTCTTCGATGAGAAACTTAAAGATACATTCCCTGATCCTAGCTTTGTTTTCGATGTGTACATTCCTCCTCCGCACCAGCGTGTTTGGCTCATCGACATCAATCCATGGGCTGTGAGGACTGATCCATTGTTGTTCAGCTGGCTTGAGATCTTGAACATGAAAGACCCAATCGGAATCCAAGAAGAGGATGGCGCCGAAGAGCAGTTCGTCCGACTATCGCTTAATGGGAACACTGTCACTGATGTGGTGGGAACCGCTGAAGGATATGAATCGTCCGATACGGAGGATGACGCCGCTGATGAGGTAGACGAGGACTCCCCTTTCTTCCCCGAGTTCCGTCTCGTGAAGCGTGATGACCCGGAAGCCTATGCGTTTACCACACCACAGTACTCGGCACACAAACTGCCCAAGGAGGTGGTCGATGCCTCAATTTCCGGACCAGGTGGTATGAGTGAGTTCTTAGGCAAATGGCAGGATATTCTAGCCAAGCAGGCACAAGAGTCGGATACGGATAGTGATGGTGGACAATGACAGGCTTCTCAGCTTTATTGTAACGGAGTAATCGGGGATTAGACGGCGTTTATGAACTAACGGATAAGGAAAAAAGCAAAGGAGGGCTGTGTTTTTTCGAACGGACATATGATTATTCAATAGAACAAAGAAAAAGAGTTTTGCTTAATGGTAACCAAGTAAAGCTATTTCCACTGTAATCAAACATACCATTCAATAGGTAACGCATGCCATGTTCTTAATCTGGAAAGGTATATCTAATTTAACCCTGAGTCATACTTACAGGATACGACGAACGTCTCGAATCAGCCATAAACATCGAGTCCACTACAGCTTATGTTTCTTCTCTCCCGAAGCCAACCGCCTGAACTCCTCCTGAGGGATGCCTTTCAGGAACCTCTGCAACCCAGCAAACACTTCAAGGTAATTCTGACGGTCCAGAATCTCCCGCTCTGGCCTGCGGATCAACTCCTTAATCCCCAGGAGACTAGATTGGCTCAGGTGAGTACCAAGACGATCCTCAACTTCCTCGAGGACCTTCTCCAGGAAACCATCCGAATCGTCCTTCCTGCCCGACGGCGCAGAGATAACCTTGTTCACGAACCCAGTCGCCACAAGCTCCTCGCAGGTAATCTTCTTACTCATGATGAGCGCCTCATTAGCCTTGGAGATGCCAAGACGCTCAACAAGAGCGCGCGAAGAGCCGCCCTCAGCGACAAGACCAAGGGAGGAGAACGGGGTGAGCAGGAAGGTATGCGGCGCGGCGTAGATAAAGTCGGCCATGGCGATCAGTGCGGCGGAAAGACCGACTGCAGGGCCGTTGAGAGCAGCTACCAGGATTTTGGAGTGGTGGGCCACGGTATTCGTGATGTCGAGGTTGTTGACGACGAAGGATCGCGTGAGCTCGCGGCGGACATTGCTGCTCAGGTCGCCAGATGGCCGGGTCGAGGTAACATCTGCTCCGCTAAATTATGTTAGATCAATTGTGTCCTGGCCTGCGTTATGTAGGAGGACATGGTGCTTACGCTGAGAAAAATCGACCTTTGCCGGTTAGAATGGTGATGAAGATGTCCTCGCGCTTGTCGATCTCCCGGAGACGTTCCCCGAGTAGGTAATATAGGTCTTGGTTGAGGGCATTGAGCTTCTCCGGCCGGTTGAATGTGATGATTGCAATTCGGTCTTGGTAAGTGACTTTGACGAGGTCTTCGTTTGACATTGTGTTTATGGCTGACTAAAAGATTGTATGGGGAAGTAATAGTAGAAAGCGGATTAGAACTAGATATAGTAGTTTGCGTCAAGAGAATGTTCGATAGCTCAGTTGATGGTCGAGTGGAGCTGACTTCTTGATCGGCTTCTAATTATATATCTCATATATGTCAGATAAACAGTGATTATGAGGGGGAATTCCACTCGGCACGGAGGTATTCGACCAGCGATACCCCGTAGTCGATCCCCCTGCCGGCTATACTCTTACCGGCGCTCATAATTGCGGGGAGACCGAGGCGCCGAAGCCATGCACCGCGGCTTATTAGTTAATCACGTGACCCGTGTCAGGTGAACGGCACGTGGAGAGTTTGTCTCGTTTGCATAGTTGATCATCGGCAAGCCGGAGGCTCTGTAATGCATATCGTATGTTCGGTCATTCGTTGGTCCCTGGTTAATCTTTAAACAAAACAATTGCGCAGTTTTCTTGGTAGCGCCATAAAGCTTGAAACCCTGCTAGAAGAAAGGGAAACGCAAGCAACGAGAATCCGAGGGTAAAATCACGGGTTTTGCTCAGCACTTTTTCGCCTCTCACCCCCCCGCTGCATTTAAACACCACACCTCACTATGTCCAACATTCTCCAAAGATTACGAGGTGGAAACCTCGAGGTTTTCAAGGTATTTTCTTGATCAATTCAGTTGTCCGCTATCTCTGGAGCTTGACTCTGACCGTTTCAGTTCGGCATGTACGTTCTTTTCCCGATTGGATGGATGTATTATTTCGGAACAAACCTCGACGACCGCTTCAGTGTCCCCGGCTTCTGGCCTACTACCGAGCAGTCGCATAAGATTCCTCTCGAGAAGGAAGAAATTGACAAGGAACTTGCGCGAATGCGCATGGTGGATGCTGTTAGGCGAGAGAGGCGCCAACGGGAGGCCCAGGCCCAGGCTGAGAGTCAGGCACAGAATGCGGAGTGAAAATTCTGAAGATGATGGACTCGGGCTTACCGTAAAGTCCTGGGACTGCGTTGGTCGAGGTTAATGGGGGCGGGGGCTGCTTCTATACGAAAGGAAGCGCTGCCATTCCGCGGGGGCTAGTGGCATGGGAGCCCGACAAAAGGTTGGTGGAGTTATCATGTGGCAGTTGCACGTGTACTACTTTTATGTTGTTCTTGTTTAACACTCTTCTCTGGGCATGTTGGGAGTTGAATTCGGTTCTTAAATGGGCATCTAGTTTTGGTTACGAGTTTTATTTCGTCTGTATATTCTTTCGTTACGACATCAATTTACTCCACTGGTCTACAGGACCATGTCCTAGTATTGTTTGGTGGTTAAAGATAATGGTTACAGTCCTGGTATCAAATAGTACCAAGTAAACAGGCGCTTATAAAACTATTGTAACATGGGCGACTTGGGGCATAGAGTTATTATTTCCACAGCGATGGTATCTTGGGGGAAAGAATAAAGCTGACTTCGCTGCTAAGGGTATTTCATCGTAACAGTAATAATCAAGGCTTCACTGCTATGAATGTTCGGAGCCCTGAAGGCCAAATAGCAGAAAGAGCGAAGAATGCACACAAGAACTCCTAAGATGCGCCGGCCTGCTCAGGAACATATCGCCCAAACTCCGTATGAACAACGTCACAACGCCAACATGGAAAAGATGCGTCTAGAGATTGCAGGCAGTGCTGCCAAACCGAGACATCAATCCATGCTCAAGGACCAGAAATGCGTAAGAGGTGGAAGGTAGAAATTATTCCAAGGTATGTTGATAAGGGCATCACACAAGAGAAGGTGCCGATGGGATCACGCTTGAGTAATACAGAAACCGGATAGCCACAATCCGCCACGGCCCAGACAGGAGAAGGGAAAAAGGATAGGGCCGCCCGCCATTGCCAGTAGCCAAGAAACTTATAATTCGCGGATCGTATCGGTCGCAGCAGCAGCAGCATTATTTTTTGCTGTCTCATACATGACCTCTAGCGTCTGAGTACCCGTCTCGCGGAATACCGAGCTGATTGATGGCAAGGCGGAGGATATGAAGGGACGTTCGCCAGCCCAATAATAATAGAGGTGGCCGTAGATGGATCTGATATGATCGGGGAGGTAGACGTAAATAGCGGTGATGATCATTGAGATCAGGGTAAGGAGGAGGGAGTCTGTTTTAGTCTGTTAACGCGATTCCTTCGTTTTCCAATGGCCTTTTTCTCCAGAGTGAGCATACTAAAAATGAACTTTTCGGTTGGGGTGAGCATATATACAGCAAAAGTCACCTCATACTGATATATTTTCAACCGAATCCAACGGGCGAAAGAGGCTGGGATCCAGAGAAAGAGTGTCATGATCGCAATGCAGTGTTCGTTATTTGCGACGGAGGGATTGAGCGGGGAAAAAAGATGCCACTTCAGAAAAGTTGGAGTTTATGGGCCGAGTAGCAGAGGGCGCTTCTTGGTCGAATTTGCCCCTGAAAGTACGGACTCCTTTTCAACAAAAGAAAATGCCAGGGGGACGGGAAGTGAGGATCAGATTGAATTGAGGAAGTAACCACGTGGTATTTTGTTGTTGCCGGTGAGAAGCAATTGTTTGAGAAGATGATGGTTACCGGGCATGCATAACTATAATTATCCTTATGAACGTTCCGGGAAGGGACAGCAAAGTTGAAAAAGGTAAGATTGAAGAAAAGGAAGGGGGGAAAGAAAAAGAAAAACGAACAGATGTAGGTTTGATCGACAAAAAAGTACCTTGCCAGTCTACAGAAGCTAAAATGGATGAATAGCAAATAAAAAGGTTGTCAATGCGGGGGAGATAACAAAAAGGATGTTTAATTGCATGTCAAGATGCATTTTATTTTATTTTTTGTTCACTGCAACTGGAATGAATATGAAATTATGAAGGTTCCTTTTGACTAAGAATAGCTTTCAGTCCTTGACCAACAAACTTTCTCTTCCGGTTCCGAAGGCTGTTTCATGTTGGGGGGGAAATCCACCGACCGAGCCACAATCCATGCATTGGTGGCATCTGTAATTGGGCTCCACTTCAGGGTCCAGAGCACCCATTGAATCGACTTCTCTGTCTAGACCGTCCTCCACCACATGGAATGAAGGCAAACAAAGAGAAAAAAAAAACTTTTAAATGAAAGAAAGAAAGAAAGAAAGAAAGAAAGAAAGAAAGAAAGAAAGAAGTAGTGGGAAAGTATTTATCAAAGGAAAGGATGCTGAATAATTCCCCTAATAAGTCACGAGTTTAATTGCTCTTTCATTGTCTCTGAGCTGTGTGAACCTTGTTCAATTGTCAACACAGAGACCATTGTGTTAAAAAAAAAAAGAATATCTGATTGTCAGATTGAAAACCTTTTGAAACCCACCCGAGGCGTACGTCACCCTACGCTTGGCACATTTTTTAGGTAGTGATAGAGGGTTCAGCTTGATGATCCTGCACATCATTCGGGATAATTCATCAGCAAGTTCATCAGCTATGATGACTGTAGGGGAAGTAGGGACCAGTCACCTATGGTAGTACTACAGTAAGCAATGTTATGAGAAAAGTTCCCAAGGTGAGTAAATAGCATCCCGATCAATATCCCACCGTGGTATGATATTCGCTAGCGGCCTGAGGCACCCTTCACACTCGTACTCGTATCCTGCATCAGCTGATATCACACTAAATCATAATGGGACTAGTTCTTATGCGGATGCGCTGTGGTTACTACTAGTTAGTACTAGTAGTACTGTGGAAATCTCGAAGTGTATGTATTGTAACATGGTAATACTGGAACCTCTCGCAGGATGCCAAAACAGTAGCCATCATGAACCATGCGACTACTACGAACCCTCATCCCGCGTAATCTCGTCCCATATACCACACCAATCGCCCCTCTTAGATCCTTCACAACCACCGTCCACCTTACCGATAAGCCATTACCGCCCCGGTTAAAAATCCACGATGCCGATCTGACCATATCATATCTCAAGGGCACTGGCCCTGGAGGTCAAAAGATTGTACGCACTGACTCGATTTCTCATCCAAATCGGCGTTGGCTAATCGCAATCGGTAGAATAAAACCAATTCTGCCGTTCAACTCATCCACAAGCCTACTGGTCTCGTGGTGAAATCACAAGCCACTCGCTCCCGTTCCCAGAATGAGAAGATCGCGCGACAACTTCTCGCCGATAAAGTGGAGCAGTTAGAGAAAGGAGACCAGAGCCGTGCGGCGATCAAAGCTGATCGTGCTCGGAAGAAGAAGGCTAGTAAGGTGAAGAAGAGCCGGAGAAAGTATCGCGAACTGGAGAAGGGTCAGGAAGAAGTGCAAGAGCAGGAGGATCGTGATGGTGAAGAAGGCCATCAGGAGCTGGTCGGAGATGTGTCGTCAAAGAAAAACCCCGCAACCCAGGCGCAGGACAAATGATTTATCAAGATCATGACGGCACGGCCTACAGACTCATAGATATTCTTTCCCTGTCAGACCTTTCTACTCATCGTTGGTCTACGAGGTGAAAATCGATGTTCACAGTCAACAGGACGGTATTGTAAAGAATAATCTCGCGTGTAGAAGGGCGAGGGGCATTTTTGTCTCATCTAATAACATTTCGTAAAGGCATATTCGGTCTTTTTTCTCTTTTTATTAACTTTTTCTCTTTTGCTTCGAGGTATCAAGGCTAGTTTTCCTGGGCCGTTATAGCGCCGGTATCGACTACCTTAGGGCAGGGTAACAATAATTTCTCAGTGACTGCTTGGGACTTGCTGCACTTCCTCAGCCGATGTAGCTGCCGAGGACTGTCTTAGCTTCGTTGCTTAGACGCTCCTGTGCAAACCCAGAGATCCGTCCATTATACTTCTTGTCGGCTTCCTTCAGATATTGGCCAACCCAAGCCTTAAGGTCGGCTCCGGTCTCCGGCCACGGGTCCTTGGTCTGTGGTCGTACGGTGTTCAGAGCAGTGAACCCTACACCGAATGCCATATCTTCAACATCATGTTCAGCGATGATGTCGTCTTTGCTCGCTGGGAGGGGAGGAAGCTCAAGAAGCTTAAGCAAGGCCTCACATGTAAAGCCCCACCCCTTCTTGTACCGGCTCGCAAACGCATCGGAATTAGCGAGCGTCTTGGTGAATGACAGCACTGCAGTTTTGCGATCCAGCGGACGAGCAAGCTTCTGCGTATCAGGGAGAATTATGTTCAGATAGATCGGAGTGAACAGGCTTGATAAAGTCAGTATGGTGAAAGCGTTGAAAACCAACTTTCTTGGGGTTCACGTACTCAGACTGCACTTTATCTGTGACCTGAATGAAGAAATCGGCGCTGTAGCCCTTCTCATCGTGGGCAGAAATGAAATGGTAGAAACGGACAAATCTGCCTGTGAGAGTTTCTGTCTTCGAATTCTGGAGGCGAGTAAGAATGACTTGCATAATTGAGATAAAGTACTGCTCCAGCGCGTTTCTGTAGTAATGTTAATGAACCTGAAAGAAGTCGAACCCTTATGGCAGTTGACTTACGGAGGGAAATTGGCGACAACAGACTCTAATAAGTCAAAGCCATAACTTTCGTTCGCCTTAGTGGAAAGCAGTTTCTGGAAGATACCCAAGACATTCGAAAGCTGTTGATTCTCCAAGATATATTGAGAACCGCGGGCAATGACGGACGAGAGGAGTCGCACGAGTGCAGGGATATTGCCTTTCGACTCCCACATGACAGGCATCAAGATAGGGGCAACCAAATTCTGGTAGTAATTTGGCAGTGATCCCGAAGGGTTGGCTTCGAGAAGTGCCGCAAAGAGCTGGAAGATGTATGGCATGAATTCTAAACATATCTCAGTACTCAAGAACCAGGTGATCACCGAGTTATAGTCATCCTTACCTTGCACATCACCTTGAGTACTCCAGCGAAGGGAGGATATAAAGCTTGCTCAAGCTTATCAGGATTCGCCGGGGCAGCAAATCTATGATTGTTAGCAGATGCATAGTGCTAGAGTTTTCGGGGCCGACGTACCTGATAAAGGCACCCAGAGCTTCAAAGTGGAAGTAGTAGAATCTTGGGTTGCTCGGGTTCCTGCTGATGACCTCGGTGATGTTGATCAAATTTTGCAGAACAGAGTCTGTATGGGGCACTACATCCTCCTTGATAACAATGAGTACCCGCATAGCACATTTCATCAAGAACTCGTTCTCCTGCACTTTCTCGGGGGCCGGATCCTTCTGAATCAACGCAAAGATGTGCTCTAATAAATCCTTGGCCAGAGGCGTAATTGTGTTGGGCGCAATGATTGGCTGGCCCTGGTTATCTGTAAGGTAGAGTGCTCTTTCAACGGCAATTGCTGCATAACTGTAGACCACGTAGTTCGAAGAGCCCAGGTGATTGACCACTAAAGGAAGCACTTCTTGCCATTGCTCTTTAGTGATGATGCTCCTGAAAGTATACAAGTATTTGATTGCATCAACTTTGAGAATGGGATTCACATCATCCCCAGCCACTAGATCTGCAGCAAGATGTTTCTGGAGGTAATCAGTGATGCTGACCAACGAATTAGTTGCAGTCACTCCGTGGCTAGTGGTAGCAACACCCTTTGCTGCAATGGCAGAGAAGAGGTAAGTTGCGGTATCCTTAGCCTTCCAGTTGGAAGCCGGATCGCTGGTGTATTGAGCAAGGTGGCCTTCGGTGTAATGCAGAACAACCTTTGTTACGGAGCTTTCGAATTTCTCAGCCAACTTCCTCAGGAAATCGGTGGCAGCACGTCGTCTTGTCTCGCTATCTGATCCTTCAAGGTCTCGTCTGATAAACTCAATGGGTTCATCCTCAAATAACTCCTCATCTGACTCACGCAGACTCACGTTAGGCAGAATAACCTTTTCAATAACTTGGCTCAAAGTGTTCTCATCTTGGAAAAAGGCGGCCTGTTCAGGCATACCCGCAATTGAAGTCAGGAACTGCAGTGCCCTGCTGACCAAGATGTCGTACTTTGTTTCTTGGCCGATTGTAGCCAAGAAGCTCCAAGAACTACCAACAAACTGTTCGACGTGAGGCTTGAACTCATCCATATACTTTTGTACCCAGAGTGTGAGGACTTCAAAGATTCCAGCCCGCACAAATTCTAGTTGACCAGCCTCGGTGTCATCATCGGTATGAAGCAGCTGGTTGTCGTACGTGAGGTACTTGAGCAGAAGAGTAGCTATCCCTGAAATTTGCTCTTCGAACATCGGAGGAAGGTCGTGGCAAGAAAGATCATACAGAAGTTTGATCATCAAGTTGAATTGCGTGAATCCCTGGACAAGGTTGTCCTTATTGGTCTTGTTTTCTTCGAGATATAAGTCGAGGCCCTGTATAGGAGGATACGTATTAGTAACCACCGTTGATATATGTCATAGCCCCGCTCAATCGAACAGGAGTGCGATTTTAATAGTCATACCTCAAAGAGAGCCAAGAAAGGGTTCCCGAATTTATCTAGAACATGATTGATCTCTCTATAAAGATCATCGGATCGGAACAAGGGCCTCCATCGCTTGAAGATAGAATGGGCAACTTGTAGGACACCGTTGTTGACTGCAGGGTTTTTCGGTTGGAGTCTTGAGACGAGATCCTGCAGGTGTCAATAGAGGAAGGCAAACATACGCTGCTTTTGTACAATGAAAGCTTACATCCACTAGAGTATCCCATCGCTCCCAGAAGTCACTATCGGCGATGACACTCACAGCTTCTCCCAACTGAGTCTGTATGCCCGCAGGAACCGAGATCATCAGGCTGATCAGTTCCTGCTTTATGGTCGTCACCTCATCCAGTTGGAGCTTATAGTTTCCATCTTCGTCTGTGTAGTTTCGCTTGATAAAATTTTTGAAGCAAAGTGCACTGGCAAGACGGGTATTGTAGGGATAGGAACCGGACGCCGTGATTTGAAGGAGCTGCAAGGAATAGCCGGGCTTTTGTTCTTCCTGGCGCAGAGCAAGTTCGGCTAATAAGATCAGTCATTGGGTATTCATGAGAAATTTAACAGCATGAGAATATTCTGGGCTTACCTTGCTTATTTTGCCTTGGGTCCAAGCTTGCTTCCAGAAGCTGCGCAACAGCTCCAAGGTTGTCAGCCATATTGAAGCGGGTATATGTATGTGTAATACCGAAGATGTAGCCAGTGAGGTCGTATGAGAGTTAAAGAGAACTAAATTAAATGTGCGAAAGAGATATATATCGTAATGTGGGCAGAATCCCCAGAAACCACCCTTTTGTGAACGCTTTAAGAAAAAAAAGCCGTGAGCTTGATTCCAGGACGGGCAGTTTGTTTGGCGGGTTGCTTTGCAGTTTCCAGGCGGTGAGCAACATTGTCCGCGGGGTGATTCTGCCCATCAGGTGATTTCACGGATTAATCATATCCGAGCCTCCGCCAGATCATCATCATGGATGCTTGGAGGGGAAAGGTGTCTTGGCACACTTTCGTTCTGGAGATAACCTACTATCTCTAATTCTGTGCGCTTCCATGTCTTCTTAAGGATGTTTCTTTGACTTGCCTATAAACAGTTGTGCATGTTCTTACTTCACTCAGGGCCCCTAGCTTGGTATAGATTTATGCTTGTTCAATTAAGACCCAGACCATTCCAACCTCCTCCTATCCGCCTTATCTGAGTCAAGCTTCATGTTCCTACCAGGTCTCCTGATGCTGTGAACCTCTTCATGTGATCTGTCAATGGTACGTAAACCTCCACCTTGTGTACTTCAGTGATGTCACAGTTGGGATTGGTCAGCTGGATATTGTAAAGTGTGAACTCCGGTCAGGTTCTTGCTCTTGCTGATTCATGGATCTTCAGATATAAATTCGGTTGACTTAGGCCTATATCCATACTCCCGTCCGCTAGGACGTATGTCTTCTGACGATGCTTCATCACCTTCCAATTACAAACACGCAGCATCCAGTTTCGCAGACGTTTTCAGAACATTAGGCGTTGCCCGTTCAAAATCGCTTTCGCCAATCTCAGTGAGAGAGACCAGTGATACATTGTCGCAGGCGTCGGATGGACATAGGAATAGCTGGATTGCTCTTGGGCTTGAATCAATGCATCGCGGCAGTGTTGTTTCCAGCTCTTCAGACGCTTCTGGTGCGCCAGATTTCGAGACGTCTATAAGGAACTTGGCTCAGAAACAAAACTTAGCTCATGCGATCGACGAGGCAGAGCAGGTGTCAAAGTCACTTCACTGGTTTACTTCCGAGCAATCTCTAGCTCTGTGGGAGGCTGGCTCTCATCTGATTCACCATGCGACCTCTCCGGAAGCCCGGAGAAGTGGCTCGCTATTAATGGAAGCTATCGCAGCGCGCCAAGACCTATCTCCAGCTGCAAGAAGAGCGGTCTTTGAGTTGATATCATGTCCCTCAGAGTCCGACGTAGTGCCTGCGCGTGTAGTCTCGCTGATCTCCCTTTCCGATCATGGAAGAAAATTAGAGTTCGCTTCTTCATCCATTATTCCGATCATCTCATCATGTGTGGTCCCGCTCTATGAACTGATTTCAACCGCTCGACTAAAAGCGAGAAAAGCCAAAGTCTCGAAACCTAATGGACTGGCCTATGACGATGCAGTCCTAGATGACTTGCTGCAGTTTGCTGTTGACTTAATCACTCTGCAAAGGAAACCCCCAAACAGCGAAGAGATTCGATCGTTGCTATATCAACTCTTTATTATCTGCAAGAAGACAAGCGTTGCAGCCGACATCAAAAACTCTTTGGCTGTGTTTGAGGCTATAATCCTCTATTCGGACGTCCCGGATGAGAGCTTCGTTCCAATGCTAGAGGTGCTATGCAACATCTATGCCTCGGTCAAGTCGCTGTCTGGCCCCACGTCACGGACCGTGCGTAATCTCGCCAGGTCAAGGAGGCAGGATGAAATGGTGAATAGTCTCTATGGGTTTTTATTTGGATCTTCTGAAGAGCAAGGGCGAAGCCTGAACATTCTACGTGGAACCGTCCACGTATTTACTGATCTTATCCGTGCGTATGGTCAGGATGGCATGCCTCGGCTTCAATTTGAGCAGTTGATGGACTCTCTATTAGTTGTCCTAAAAAAGGATGATGGCAAGCTAGAAGCAGACGTTTTGGATCTGTGCCTGAATGTTCTTGAAGGCGACTTTTTCCACGTGGCTCTAGAAAGAGATTGGTCGGTTTTCATCAACATAATCGTCTCATGTTCGCTCAGAGCCGTTGAGGAATCTGGAGAGTGTTCAGCGTCAAGCTCCAGTTCACAGCTATCATACCCAAGAGGAAGTGTGTTGGATGATACAAGGTCCAGCATTTTAGCCAACGTTATTCAAATCGCCTCCGCCTTAGAGACAGTTTGGGAGCGCATGAACCGACAGCAAAGGCTGGAAGCCACACGCTTCCTGATGAGCGTCTGTCAACATGTTGAGCCTCCCCAGGCTGAGCTTATCCTGAATACAATGAGGGGTGAAAAACTTTGCTTCCCTGAGAACCCCGATTGGATACGGCATTGTCAGAGGTTGATCCGCTGTTTCGTTCGATCTCGCACTAAGCCATCAGAGATTCGCATCCTAGCTTTGGATACAGTGAAGGAAGCTTTCACGAACTACGATAATTTGTCCCAATTTCGAGCGCATGGGCTTCTTAATTCCATGCTGGAAAACTTCTCTGATGAGGATGATATTTTGTTCCTGGAGTCACTCGTATCGTTTGTTGTCGATACTTCTATCCTTGTTGACGACGAAACTTCCTTCGTATTTTTAGTAGACACTCTGGGTTCGCCAATGAACAAGGATCTGAGCAAAGACGGACCGCATGGCGCGGAGTCGCCAACATTAGTCTCCCCGCATTCCCCATCGACTGGCAGCATGTTGGAGTCATCTTTAGCCAACGTTTGTGCCGTTGGCTTGGTCAAGGTGTTTCTTCGTTCTTTGAACTTGTCGGCGAGCAAAGCAATTTTGGTTTTCGAGGCGCTTCTGAAGATAGCTCAGGCCTCGGAGAGACCAGTAGACTCTCGCTTAACAGTGCTCAAGGTGTTATTTAGGCTCCGGTGTGACTCTTCAGGGTCTATCGCAGTCCTGTCTGTTTCCGAGAATGACTTCTTGATGAACGTTTCTGCTCGAAATGCTGATTCCGGGCCCAAGCCACACGCTACTGCCGATGACCACACAGGAGACTACAGTGCAGATAATGATAACCAACGGGCATCGATTTCCGGTAAACTATCAACGAAAGACAGTGCTAGTATTTCCTCAAAGTCTTCTGGGCGAAATGCAGGTATCCCTCTACGTGCGCCAAAGTTGACACCACCAGTCTGGACACATACCTCTTCCCAGGTGCTTCCTGAACAACCACCCGATGAATCAAGCCCGTTTGTATATGCTTATACAACATCAGACACATCACAGCATCTAGAATCGGATCCAGCGCAGAAGGTTACATTGAAAGCCAACATGTGGTTAGAAACCGTCATCTCGCTGTTGCATCGCGATACCAACTGGGAAATTTACAGTTATGTTCTCACTCATCTCGCACCACAACTTCGCAACAGAGATTTCTTTAATAATGCGGTTCCTCAAGTCAAGCTGTTGCGTAGCATACTGTGTGACCAGGTCAAGAACGATTCCTTCCGTGAACCCCCAGTATCGACTGGCGTGAAAAAGACTGATGTAGCGGGATATATATTCGACACCCTGTGCGTACTAATTGGCTATCATGAGTTCTTCGCTAAAAGCGAAGAAGACGAACTTGTGCGTTCGTTTATGATGGGTATCATTGGATCCTGGGGAGGTACTTCTCGTGGATGCATTCACGCCCTCTCCGTCTGCTGTCATGAAATCCCACTTTCTGTGACAAAATCATTGAACGGAATCCTTGACAAGATGTCTAAAGTGATCACATTGGCCAACCTCGCAGTACATATCCTGGAATTCCTTGCATTACTCGCACGATTACCTGACGTTTATATCAATTTACGAGAAGAAGAGATTCGTACTGTCTTCGGCATTTGTATTCGCTTTCTACAGACTTCTAGAGAACAGCGCTTCAAAGCTTCGGAGTCAACAAACCGGAACCCTCAGGTGTCTGCGAAACTCGGAAGTGGCGTGCGAGAGACGGCTGCTCTTCCTGCCGAGATGTCGGACCCATCTCTTCAGGACGGAATGTCAAGATATATTTATACTCTGACGCACCACGTGATGGTGTTTTGGTTCCTATCGTTAAAGTTACAAGACCGGGCGAAGCATGTCAATTGGATCACCAGCAGGCTTATATTTAAGGATGAACACGGAAAAGAGATGGTCGAAGAACAGAGTCAAGTTTTTCTTGACTTGATGCAAAGAGTTGCTTTTACCGATTTGGGCGAAACTATTCCATATGCAACATTCCCCCCGACCCCGGCGGATGGCCCTGTATCAAAGAAGTCATGGGTCGTGGGCATGAGCATAGTCACTGTGGAAATAGCTGGAGTGTCTGGCCTAACTCAAATCACGAAAAGGCAAGCATCAGGAACTACGTATGCTATGTACCAGCAACGGACTGCTCCTGTCCTTCCACATCAGGTTCCTCCAACACCCGATGCTCATCTGCATGGTGACGGCATGCGCACTGCTGTCCTTCCTAGTCACGTCATGCTTCAGCTAACAACTACAGCCTTCCCTACGCCTACTGCGATGCAGCCAATTCCCCTGCCCGAGGATGACATCACTCGTCGGGCACTGAGCACCTTCGACCGTAATGATATTGTGGATGGACACAAGATCGGCGTCATCTACATTGATGATGTGCAGACGACAGAGGCGGATATTCTTTCCAATACCAGTGGTAGTCCCGACTATGAGTACTTCTTGTCAAGACTTGGAACGAAAGTTCCACTCAGAGGTGCTCAATTCAATACACAGGGGTTGCATCCTGATATAGACGGAGAATCTACCTACGCCTGGCGTGACCGAGTCACGGAAATCGTTTACCATGTAGTAACAATGATGCCTACCAATTTCGATAACGACCCTTCCTGCATCAACAAGAAACGCCACATAGGAAATGATTTTGTCAACATCATTTTCAACCGATCAAACATTCCGTTCAACTTTGATACAATTCCATCACAATTCAATTTCGTGAATATCGTTATTAGTCCTGTGTGCCGTATCGCGAGTGGGTTTGAGCCTGCAAACATGGACCCGGAAGGCTACGAGAAGCTCTTTTACCACGTCCAGGTAATGAGCAAACCCGGCTTTCCAGAGATATCACCTGCTGCCGCGCCCAAGATAATCTCTGGAAAGAATCTGGCCGCCTTTGTGCGCTTTCTTGCCCTAAATGCTTCGGTTTTTTCGCTAGTGTGGAACAGTCAGGGGGGCGAGCATATTTCCTCATGGCGAAACCGGTTACGAGAGATCAAAAGACTTCGGGAGCGAGCCTTAGGTTCTCAAAATCAGACCTCTGATACCGCAGAGGGCGCTTATCCAGGCCAACGCCGCAACACGAAGGCTAACATATTCTCCGAAGAACTGCCATCACGTAGTGCCCCGGCACAGTCAGATTTTGCTACCGACTGGAATGCGTCTGCGGATGCCAATATCCTCCAAAACTTGGATTTCTCTCGATGGGGACGGTGAAAAAACTTTCACTGTCTACTTTTGAGGTTGAAGTACTACATGGAGCTCTTGATCTGGCAATCTTCGGTGTTGGATGAACGAAAGTAAAGGGTGGCGGGGAAAAAGAGGGAAGGGACACCGCCATGACACTCTACCTATATTCTCATTTATGATTTCTTTACCATGATGGATTAATGTACATTTCCAGTTATTCAGCCTGTGTCAATACCCCTTTGTCTTTCTGTGCCAAAAAAAAAAGTTATCTCGTTTTGTTACCATCCCCGCTCAATCTCAACCCTCTACCGGTGTGATTCTCCTGGGTACTGGATCCAGTATGAATTTATTGCACTTCTCCGAGGCTCCATACGGTGGTTGGGAAAAATATGCTTTGCTATGGATATAAATAAAACAAGCACTGGCAGCTGCTGGCAGCGGGAAATAAAAAGTCCTTGATAGAGTTTCGATTGTTGTTGGCACTCAGGTTTTTATCACCGATGTCTGCCATGTACTGTAGAAGAGTTGGACATGGCGAATTTATTTTTTCTTTTTTTTTTTTTTAAAAAAAAAAGCCCCCAACAAATATCTTCTTTCTGATCGCTCCCGTGGAGGATTGATAACATATATGATCGCTACCACCTACATCAATTAAATCAATAACTGTCTGGTCTCCAGTACCGACTGTTATTGCCTTACTATCTATTGTTTTCTCGAATGCCCTTGATCCATGGTACGCCCATATAAACAAGTACAATACCACAGTAGAACTGTTCGGTTCCAGGCTCGACAACCATGACATGTAGAACTGTTTGAACGTCATTTTATTAATTTTTGGTTTCAGTCGATATATCAGTACATCGTTCATATATTAGGAATCAAAATACAGAAGTAGAACAGCAAAAACCCCCCAGTCCTATTTAACCGTCCCCGATCCATATCAAAAGAATATACATAACTAAATGACTAATACATACAAGGAACAAGGCCCTCGCGGAGGTCGGTCTAGTGTCGACCTCAAATCGGCGAGGACAGCATGATGTGGTGTGTGATATATGCGAGGCGAGGTCGTCTGTGAAAGTCTGTTGGGTGGGGAATTTTTCTGTTCTTGTTTTGTCTCTTTCCTTTCTCAGAGCGCCCTGTCTCAATGTAGAACCAGTCGTTGGGTCTCTTGCACAGCTTACCATCCGAAAATTTCGCCCACACTCAGCATGCTCCAGCGGACGCCAGCGACGGAGAATAAGATGAGAACAATGTCCACAACACCTAGGACGGCGGCGCCCATCATGAAGCGAGGGCTGAAAATGCGATAGAGCATGAGGTGGCGGCGTAAATGGCCGGCCCACATCGTAGTTGCGAGATTGATGGTGGCGAAATAGAGCATATAAGTGCAAGCCGCCTGCACTACGTCTGAGAGGATCTTAGTGGCAGGGTTGTTGGGCTTCGACAAGGTAGACCTTGATTGGTCATGAAGCTGCAAAGGCCGCTTCCAGAGAACGGTGAGAGGAACAGCAACAGCTGTAAGAATTTGGGGACCAAAGGTGTTCAGAACCACTAGGATCGGAGACCAGGGGTATTTGACTGAGGATAGGGGTATAAAGGCAGTTTCCCACTGTATGCTGCTCAAAACTGCTTGGTGGCCTGTCTTGAAAAAGTAGAAGGAACCGAGAAGTGCCAGAACAATTGGTCCAATGGCTGAGTTACCCAATACCAGTGCATTCGTGTCAAGGATTTCAAGCAAAGATAAGATTTGCCACAGCAGCAGACCCATGGTACCCTGGCCCATAGGTTTCTGCATTAGAACAATGGCCAAGCAGAAATTGACGACAAGAAGGAAGAACCGGGTCCCGTAGATGTTGCCAAAGCCCAGAATAGTAACGGTTGTCCTTCCCGGCTGCGGTGGGGAGGAAGTCGACTTCTGTTTACCCTCGGAGTCAGCACTGCCTTGTGTGACGCTGATGCTAACACATGGCTTCGAGTATACAAATGCCGTTGTACCAACAGCAAAGGCGAGGCCAAGGATAAGCTGAGCGAGAAGCACTCGAATCGTCTTCAATGTTTCCTTGCTCAAAGAGAGCCATTCACCATCATCCGCACCTTCGAGCATCCAGAAGATAGAAGTCAAAAGTAACCCTAGCCGAAAGCCATACCCGACCCACAAAGTAGCAGCTCCTTCGTAAGACTTCGACCCGGCGTAGAATGATTTTACAACTGCGGGTAGAATGAGTGTCACGAGGAAAGGTATGGCGAGTTGCCACGGGGCAGATGTAGAGGATGTTGCGGATGCATAATAGGTCGAACGACAGAATGGCATCTGCTCCTCACGGCAGAGGCGAGAGAACGATGCTACTCTTCCTAAGATGACAAATAGTATTGAATGATAGACTCCCAAGACCCTGTCGGCTGTCGACTTTTGGCGCATCGAGGATACGCCAGCGACGACACCAAAGGTGGAAAGGAAAAACAATAGAATCTCATCCTCCCAGATGGTGTAGGAATTGGAAGCAAAACCGACCGACTGAGTCACGGTGAACATTACAGCGAGCCAACCCCACAAGGAGTTGGGGATGGGCAAGCTCAAATGGCCAGGCTTCACGAAAATCACCCATGAGGCGCCAAGTATACTCCCGACGGCGGCCCATAAAGCGGATGACTCTGTTATTGGCATATCTGCCACACCACTGAATGTCAAGCAACCACCGACCACAGCACCCAAGCCCGAACTTACGCCAACAGCAGAAAGCAGCGGAGTTGTGAGCTCTGTGCGGTCCGATCTAATACCACGAGCATAAAATACCAACAGTACAAGTCCTGCGAAGAGTATTCCCACGCCCTGTATCATGCTCGGGACATCAAATTTAGCCCACAACGCACGGCATATATCGAGAGTGTGGCGCTGGTATTCCCTATATGACTGGTAGACGAACTGCATGGCCTCTGTGTTCGACTTGCCGCGCTTTGAGGACTTTTGCCAGGCATCTTCCGCTGTCTCCCAGAAGCTTAACGACCGGAACTCCTGGCCATCATCAGCCCCCCGCGTTATTGCGTACTCGTGCTGATACCTCTTAATTTGAGCAGATGTCAAACGATTGACAGCAACCAGATTCTTCCAATCTTTTCCCCCAGGTCCTGCGAAAGCCTCCTCAATTGGTGACCCAAGGTTGTTAAAAGGGATCGGCAACCCGAGAAGCAATGACAGCGTCGGCACAAGGTCGATCTGAGGAACAGATCGCTCGCGCGCAGTCTTCGGCGGCACGGCAGTATCGGGGCTGGTGCGACCAAAGAAACTTCTCTTCGAATACATCCATAGAGCAGCGTCCACTTCGTCATTCGATTCACCTCCATGATCACCTTTCGAATCCATACCATGGTCACCCATGACAACCAAGAGAGTGTTGTCATCAACCTTTGCAATAAGATCTCGGATGACCTGATCCATTTGCCTCAACTTTGCACCCATGGCTGGATGATTGGGACCATAACGGTGGCCGGCATGATCAACCCCGAGGTAATGGCCAAATATAACATCCCATTTTGTGGCGTTCTTCGGGTGTAAGAGGGGGAACAAATGATCATTTACGCCATTGTCAACTGTGTGCAAATCCCACACATTAAAAGAATCGAATGGCCGCGTCAATTCGGGATCAAAGTAGTCAGGGAATAGACTGTGCCAGGTATCATCGCCGAGGTGCACCAGATTCTTTCCTGCGCTACGCAACTGAGCGACTAGGTTGTCCTCGTCGATTGCCGTTCCAGCGAAGTTAGAGCCTGCGTCTACGAAAGTCGGCAGGGTCCCAGTTGTCAATCCTTTGAGGCGCTGTAGCGTCGTGGTAGGTGGATCCGCAATGAAAGGCAATAAGAAAGCGTTTTCTGGGGTATTGACGGCAGTCTCGTACAAGACGGGTATATTATCGTGGAACAATTGGGAGGTTTCATCCTCCGCTGTTGACGCGAATGGGACGGTAAAATCGTACCTCAGAGCATCTACGACAATCACAATGGCCTTCTCGAATGACTTTTGGTGCCAGCATCCTTCGTTTTTCTTGCCGACTGCCGAATGCGACGTTGCATCTCCGAACGGAAGTACATCGCAAGACGACTTGTTCTCCAAGACCATCCGAGTCAGCAAAAATCCTTTGGTAAAGAAAAATATTCCAACGACATGGAGGAGCCTGTAGTTCATTATTCCGCATTAGAATTTTCAGCTCTAAGGTAAAAGAACGCTTGCGACCATTGAAAGGCAAGCTCACAGTATCCAGCCAAGCACACCCAGTGAGCCCAAGTGCCTGAGTTTGAATTCCCGTTCCAAGCTATCATCGACACTCTCTTGCCCATTGTTCCCTTTCCCTAGCCGGGACTGCCTCCCTGTCAGTGCCTTCGGTACCGGGGGTTTCTGCGTATCGTTGCGTTCCGAGGGCCGTGGGGGCGACGCGGTGGTCTGCAAGCCAGTGAGGTCGGATCTATCAGATCCCGACCCCAGACTTATTCCGGATGCCATCACGGGTTGGAGGTTACCGAGTCTGTCGAGGCCGTATTCATCTAAAGCGACCAGGAGGTGAGTTGCCTTTCACGGCAGCGCAACCGCTCGCTGCGGGTGAACAAGTCGGTAGGTTTAGCGTTTGCTCACACAGAAGCTGATGCAAGATAGGGGGTGTCAAAGAATTTTAGAAATTGAAACTAGACACATTGAAATTGAAAAGGGAGTGGGGAAGGTGTGGCTATCCCTTAGTCGTCTTTCTTTCGGTCCAAAATTTTCAAAGCTGTGGACGGCCTCGTGGTGAATTGGATCACTGAGCAGACATGATCACCACAAAGACTCAATCGCAGACATGTAACATGAACACGAATAAGTAAGAATTGCAAGTTGCTTTCGCAAAAGCCCGAGAGATGAGACTCGGGGCAGGGACGCGCACGATACAACGAGCCCTTTCGCACATCCCAAATCTTCCCCCCGTGACGTCGGGCAATCGGCGCTTTCGGGACGCCAACTTGAGAAATCTCTCACTACCATTGGTCGGCACGGTTCGGAACATCCAGAACCCTGAAGGTTGGTGGGGCACCTCCGAATTGGGACAACTGTTTACTGGTTGCGGTAATTCTATAGTTCCTATAGTGTACAAGTAGCGATTTGGTGCGCATTCTTAGAATGACCGAGGGCCACCTGGCGCCAAACCATTGGTATATTGTAGAGCAAGGACGGAGACATCGCAATTTGAATGAATGAACGCATCCATTGAGGCCCACGCAATAGTGGCCGTACAATACGTTGTCAGACTAGTTACATACATTATCCAGCTATAAGACACCCTAAAGGCAAACCGAGAATTGTAGGGACGATGATGGTAGGATAGTAGAGTAAAACGTTGAAAAAAACAAAAAGGTCAGTGGGAGAAAAGAAAAGAGACCCCTCGAAGGAGAATGAAATTGAAAGATAATCCAACAAACAGGTGCGTAACGTCTTTCCAACCCTAGTGACGTGGCAGGGTGAAAGGATCTAAGTGACCAAGCACGAGAAATGAACGCCTTAAGTAAAATGAATGTTAAGAAAAAAAGGGGGGGAGGAAAGAAAAAAAAAATTCGAGAATTGAACCAACAGCCCTTTGCTATACACAATTCAGCTGAGGCATGCCTTATAGTTCCGTCTTCGGGTGGGCCAGGCGAATACTGTCCCACAGGACAAGAATGAAACTCCAAATCGCCGAAGATCAGTAGTGCAGGGGTCAGACGGGAGATATCAGTTCGCGTATGTGCAAGTCACGAAGATACAACGAGACGCAAGTGGCGCTATATAAGAAATGGAAAATCTTCGCCGGGATATCGTCATGCCTTTTGAAATCGTCGAAGAGTAAGAGGAGGGAAGGGGTATCACAGATAGAATAGACGGCCGCTGGTATCTAGTTATCAACGGTTCGTTTAAGACCATCTTTTTACATCCTCTTTCTCCTTGAGGCCGCCCATGCGCTCAATGTCCAAGGATTGAAAACGCTCTGCATCACTGGACTGATATGGCGGCAGTTCGTCATGGCATGGCTCCAGTCCCACACCACCAGCATCGCTAATCCTCACAACTACCATGCGTCCAGATTTGCGCTTTCCAGATTCATCCTCCTCCTCGGGGAACGTAATGCGGATCTCCGGGACAGGGCTGGGTGGAGGGCTCGACGAGTTCTCCATGAGTCTCCTCTTCTCATCGTAGACGAGAACGGATTCGGTCTTAGCATATGGCGGCGCAGAAATCGTGAGGCTGCGGTGATGAGTCGTGCACTGGCCGTTATGGACCGGGAGTTCGGATCGTTTCCGATTTTGGCGCTTACGGCGCAAAACAAGAAGGGCACCAACCAGGGCGATACCGACTAGAAGGAGGACTAGAAGAGCGATCAAAAGATCGATCATGGCCGGAGTAAGTCTATCATCGTTGCTTTTTTCATCGTCACGGGCGACGAGCCTTTTGAACAGGTGCATCATTTTGGATGGTCAAGTTTTCCGGCAGGATACGGTTCTCGGATTCGGTTTTTGAAAGATATTTAATGTAGCGCTATTCGTATCGACAAGACAGGCGGAGAAGTATAGTTCAATAAAGGTTCAGGTCGTACTGTATACCACCACTGTCAGCGCTGTACTGGGCTATGACATGGTGGATAACACTTACTCAACGTTCCAGCACAGTGTCTTCACTGGAAGGAGAAGAATATAATAATAACCAGAGTGACTATCTGGTGATAGTCGTGGTGCGTTCAAGACAAAAAAGAGGGAATGTATCAGGTCGGTCGGGCGGTCTGAAAAGACGGGGTCGCAGGACACAATGGATCGGTCTGGTAAAGGAGAACGAATGGACAGCGAGGTGAACAGCTGAAAGAGTGAAGCCGACACCTGCTTAGGATAGAAAGAACGTGGCGAGGAAGGAAGGAGGAAGAATGGATTGAGGGCCGGTATGAGTGGAATGAAAGCCAAGGGAAGAAAAACAAAAAGAGAAGGGAAGGGAAGGGAAGGGTCAGACGGGGACCAAGAGAAAGAGAGCGAGAGAGAGAAGAGGAGAGACAGGCGCCTACGAACGCACGGTCAACCAGCCGGTACAACGGGAACGAGGCGCAAGGGTGCCCACAGGGCCAGACCGTCCAGCGAACACCCAGCAAGGGTGAGTTGGTCACTAGCCAACGACAAAAGATTGCTAGTCTTAGACTAAATGCCAAAAGGATCCACCAGCCCGTTGTTTGTTTGTCCATTTCCTCTATGGTGCCTCTTGGCTGTTGGCCGGCGGCGGCGCTACAGACAGTTGTAATCTCCCCATCGCCGAGATTTTCGCCCTATCAGAAGGCCGAGGTCCCTGAACTAAGCCTTTTTCAACCAACTTCAGCATTCCTATTCGTTAATTCCCCTGGTGATTGATGCTAAATTCCACCTGGCATTTGTTAGGCATGTCCATTTTTGGACTCGGCCCCCCACTCGACCTTGTTCACGTCTTCTTTTTTTGGCTCATTCTGATTTTTTACCCCTGAATACGTAGTGTGATCCAGACTAGATACATATTTAGAACTGCCAGTTGTTCCGTCAGATTCAATAAATAAAAATAAATCCAGTAGTCGTAGTCATAAGGACATATAATATGCACTGCTTTACCATCTTGTCATATGCATGGCAGCGAACGTTTTTGCATACAGTCTATGTCTAGGATAGACTCTGAGCCGCGCCCTCGCTGCACTTCCGTCGCAATTGGCATGCGACTCTCTCGGATATCCCTGAATGATTGCATGGTTTTCCATGCATTCCATACAGAAAAGATGTATGTCTCAGACCGCAACGTGTTTGTCTCTGGATCATTTTGAGGTGCGAGAACTTCCTGACGGCGACCTCAACTTCATATGATCTCACTGTGGAGTAAGTACAGTACTCTGTACACGAAATGAGATCAAGGCAGGGCAACAGATTTAAGGCATGGCATCACCGTCAGCTCTCCCGAGTATCCAACCCTCCGTGCGTCCACTGAGTTGCCCTTTTAGTTTGCATATAATTAGGGAGCTATAAATATGTCTAATTTGATCTGATTTGAAGACATCCATGACATCATTGTTTCATTACCTATAAAGGAGAGACAAAATATATTGTTTGATCCCCGCTCTTGGGAACGCCGAGGTCAAGTTTCCCCGGGGGTAACATGTGGAAAGTGGGATATTTAGTAAATATAAAATCATAACTCACAAATGCGTCTCTGTGAGGGCGTGCGATCCAGGCAAACACGCTCCCAACTAGGCCCAAAGGTCAGATAATTCCGAATCGTAGATTCGGAACACCATGGATCGCACCTATATAGTATATCGCCGTTACAGTCTCACAAGCCATGTTAGCTACTGCAAAGTACATGGAAAATACCGGGGAGATAGCATCCCCAACAAGTATAAACTATAGAATGCCATCCAAACTACTGATCTCAATCAAGCCTTCGGAAAATTCCGGATTGGTTCAATGTCGCTTCGGTCATCGGTGCCAAAGGTTTCTCTCCAGTTGGCCTTTGCCCTTGATGTAGTAGGCTACCTATCTAAGCCTCCGCACTCCGCACTCCGTTTCAAACTAGGTCGTCTACTTACGTTTGTTTGCTACAACCTAACCTTTTGATCCAAGCCTATCATGGCTACACCCCCGTCAGACCCGACGACTGAGCTAAGACACTCTATTACGTGACGGATATGTGGAAAAAAACATCACAATATGTATGGGATTGGTAAGTCATATCATTGCCATTCAGATCCATCCTTCAACCTCTACCTAACACGCATTCAGATATCGATTTCCAAGCAATTTTGGTAAGTCACGCGTACAGGACTTGAACCAACCCACTTCACTCAACCGAGGAAAGGCTTAAGTAGAGCTAGCCCTGGTAGTCAAACGCTTGGTTCTCGCCACTCATTCGGTCATCATAGTGACTAATGTCCAGTATTCCTGTCAAACCAACCCAAAGACCGGCCTCCCAAGGATCAGTGATGTCAGCCCTACACCCATGGTTGTCTCGGGAGATAGATATGCTCATATGATGTGGTCCTTACTTCAAGCGAGCATGAGCCGACATAGGCTCCTCTGGAACGATACCCTCACCGCTCCAGATCTACAGAAGAGAGCCATGGCGAGTCTGGCTTCCACGATAGTTCGCATTACCCCCTCTTCCTCCCATGGATGGTTGATGCGCTGGTTTGTTGGTGTGCTGGGTGTCTCATACGAAGTATTAGGCTAGACCACGCGTCAGTTCGACTTTCGGAAAAGCAGGGCATGGTGGCATAATTTACGGCTTCTCTTTTCCCAACCGATCTCTGGAAGTTTTTAAGTCGCCGGGGCGTACGATTTTAATTTTAATTTTTCTCGCTAGTCCGATGGACTTCATGATTGAGGCGACAGGAATACACCGAAAATTAAATCGAATCCCCGATATACAAAACCACAGATGGGAACAGCGCCTGAGTGATAAATCGCATATTCGAGCAAATACCCATTGCGTTCTCGAACGTGAGGTTGTCAACCACAAAAATATATGGTTTGAGGGCAATAGTTAACAGATGTCAAAAGAATACACTAGTATCTTCTGGTATGGTAAAAACATGCTGCTTGTTTTCATACATGGTACATCAAAATGGGTACTAGTAGTGCATCTTCAGCTTTGTACTGCCAGATGCATCTATAATCCGCTGATGTAGGGGTTGTAAAAGAATGTGTATATACTACACCGCCTCTCGCTTGTGTTAAGGATGTCTACATAGGTACGTTTTTATTGCTTAGTCGTGTATCTTGACAGGGTTGGTGGTGATACGACGGGAGTGATATATATACTTGTGGTCTCGCTACGAGACATGTAGTTGGTTTCAGTGCCTCATAGAATGGCGATGAGGGGTTTACGGAAAGATTCTTTACTTGCTACGCCGGCGACGGCTAGATTTTTGTAGTTGGGCTTATTCCGTGGAGATAGAACTTGGTGCCATTTCCTTATTAGCCCTTCCTATGTCAACCAGTCAAATTCGGTGATGATTTTGACCAGACTGACATTAGTACTAATACGAGACAAGAAAGAAAGTGAAAGAAATAGAACAGTGGAATGAAGTCAGATGGATCAGAACCAAGGTAAAAATGGTCAACATCATTACATGAGCACGTACGAGCGTGTGTGTCATGGATACAAGCCCGGTTATTCTCCATTCCAAGTATGGATCTACCTTCTGACATGGTATGTACAAGGGATCAAGATATGGATGGAAGTAATATCCGCAGATATCAAGTATGAATATTGGGGGAAGCTTGCCCTACTGGGGAAGAGCTCTTTGGCTATCATGACCACGCAAGGCTGTCACTTACACCTTCCCATTGGAAGGGGCTAATAGTAGTATGAATTCAGCGATAACTCAAAGTTTATACCAAGAAGGTACAAGGGAGTCTAAATGGGATGATTCCGAAGATCGACTGGCTAACGCATACCACTGCAGATCATAGGTCAACGACACTGTAGATGTGTCCCGGAAGTGTTAGCATAGATATAACCAGTTATTCTAGGCTGTCATACTGATAATACAATGGAATGACAATGAGAGGATAGACCATCCACAACAGGAAACCTCTCAAATAGGTGGCCGTTCAGAAGGGTATCGCGGATGAAACGTAACTGAGGGGTACACCAGTTGGAAGCAAGGGGCGTTTGCCAATGCTTGTTGCCGGTTACGACTTGCGCGAATCACCCCTCTTGCTGGTATTCTCCAGGTACCCTGTACCTTGTCGGGAGTGCTGAGGTCAGACATCATGTCATAAAAATTCCATGGATGGGCGTTTCGCCGCTCGGGGATATGTTGACCTTCAACCATGTACATACGGGGTAGAAGGTGTCTCTATGGGAAGGCTAAAGCGAATTAAATTCCAGTATGTGTGGGGGGTTAAAAAAAATAATAGAAAAGCAATAATTAAAAAAAAGGACAAACCAACCATAGATGTGCACGGATAATGAGTCCAGGAAGGATTATGTAGTAATGATCTAAGTACGACTCGGTGATGTATTTGGGTATTTAATTGTCATGTTTCTCGTCATAAGACCAACCCGCCGAATATGAGGCTGTCCTTAAGAAAGCCAATTGTACAAGACCTTGTCCCTTGAACAATACCGTGTCTGCTCTGTACCTAGTAGGTAGTAAGTACTAGTAGTATGTAGTCTCTGTTTTTTTCGTTCTCTTCTTCTCATCTGACTGTTTTTCTTTTTCCTTTTCCCCGCCCTCTTTACCTATTTTTTTTATATTAGTCGATAAATCTTAATGAATATTCTGATAATCCATTGTAGGTCACTGAGTTTTCCCTCAAAAGGCTGTTGAACTGGTCTTGGAACAGGACAACTCAACCCTACGTAAAGCAGGGATTGAATAAACTAATTTATATCCGCCGGCGTGTTCCTTTGCCTATGCCCGATAAAGTATTGTTTCAATTGTTATGAGGAAAATCAAGCTAGTTTAGTGGATCCGATCGGTCGGGCTCCAGCACAAGTAAACTTTCGCAGTAAGTCTTATTTTAGTTAGGGCTTGAAGCCAGTCAAGAAGTGCGGAAGTCAACGACCGGCGTTGACTTGACTCTATATCCAGTCAATGCTACGGGGAGAATACTTCTCTTGGGGGCTCTCTCTATTTCCCCCTTCATCTCGAGAATGACTAGCGGACATTGGGGTGTTCGCTGGCCAGGAAGTCATGTCCGAAATTGGGGCAACTAACATGGTCTGTTCGGCCGTACCAAGAACTCTTAATTGGTCTCCACAATAGCCTCCTTGATATCCTACGTGGATCTAAACAGAGGGCAAAAAGACGATATATTACGCAAAATCAAAGTATACCAAGGGTGAAGACCATGGATTACCATCTTTAATATCTGACATCGGTCCTGTAGCACCCGATCGTGAGACAAATCAATATGAATCTGGGAGGCACTAGTGTCAAGAACCGCAGTTCTCGTCACAAATGGGAGGGAAAAGGTATCAGTCTTTTTTTTTTTTTTTTTTTTAATTTTCCCTTTTCATTTATTTCCGGCGAAAGGTTACCGTAGGTCCCCGACCACTGCGTCATACATCTCGATTACAAGGACAAGCAAGTAAAGTTAAGGACTAATTGTATGACAATAAGAGGGGCAGAAAAAACCATAAAAGAGGTGAAGCCTAAAAGGTAAAGAGCGACGGGAAGGACTTTGGGCCGGCCCCAGAAACATTGGACGGTGGTTTGGAACGGTATGGGACGAGTGGACATGCGATCAGCCTTAGGCAAAGTTGATTTTACCTAAAGGCTGGGCGGTACTTGCCCTTCAGGTGTAGCGCTCATACTGCGATCAAGTCACTCGCAATTCAGGACAAAGTTCCTGAACGGATCGACAGATCGTCTTGGTGTATTGTCACCAGTGATACACCAAATATACCTACCAACCGATGGGCGCCTTCCTGAGGGTCTTCCAAGACACGCAGCATCTTTTTTCCAGCTCGACCATTTTGTGACCAGCTTATCTATCATCTTGACTCTCTCATCGATTGCAAAAAAGACTTCATATTTTTCTTTTTTTCTTTTTTGCTTTTAATCCATTTTTTTTATTCTCGTCTTTTTTATTCTCAACCATTCCCCCCCTTCCTTTATTTTGAACTGACTCACTCCACTTTTTTTTCCCACTTTTTTTTGTTCCTCCTTCATCCTGAATCCATTTAGTGCTGCTTGTCTGTGCTACCATTTTCTTTCACTTCGTTTAGGAATTTTTCCCACTGCGCTGCCTCTGACTGTCGCTCTCAGTCAGCATCTTCATTCTTCTCAACGATATCATCAACCATCATCCTTTCTTCTTCCCCCGCCCACCACTGCCGTATATCTCTCAACTCCCCACTGGTGTGGAGGTCGAAGAGGATTTACTATCGAGATTGATCGCCCCCCCCCAAAGGACCACTTTGGGTGTCATGCTTGCCTTCGCCTGTGTCACAGCTGGATTACATTAATGCCGTGCTTTGTCTCTCTCGCCCACATTCCCATTTATCGCTGCTCCACCAATCACGCCTGATCGCCTCATTTGCGCAACGAAACACATTCCTCCCCATAATACTAGTCGCAATTTGACTGAATCCCTCCCCTCCCCCTTGCTGCTGCGAACCATCAAATCTCCCAGACGCCTATCGGATTGAAACACATTCGAGTCGGCAACGTTCTTCGTCCCGTTCCCTCTCCACAAAGCACATGAGAGTGATCTGCGAGATTCGAACTTCCTGGAGCATGCACGGAGCGTAGCAACGTCGCGATACGCACTGGCAGTCTTGATCTACAGCTACTTGCGGAGCATTACACTGGCAACGACAGGGACATTATCCAATTCTCGTCGCCTTGCTTCTGCGTTGCTTCTCTATTAAGCATTTCTCGTTGGCCCGCCTGCCACTTCACCTCCCTTTCGTGCCCCTGCGATCCCTTGTATAATCTGTACATGGTCTGACCGCATTACCTGTTTCGACAAAAACAATAAACCCTATTATTTTATTTTTTCTGACCTTGTTTCGGTAAGCTCCTCTTTTTCATCCCTTCCTTTCTTTCCCTCGTTCGACTCGGTGTCGCTACCCTGGGTAAGTGCTCTTCTGTGAGAAGATCTCCTCACCGCATTACAACACCTCGCTAACCATATGACTGGGCCTCGTGCAGGTCAATATTTACCCAATACCCCGACAGGCTCCTCGTGTTTGTTCGCCACGGTATAACTCCTATCGGTTCGACGCCGCGAATCCACAGTTCGGGATATCAAGCAGAGGGAGCACTCGCAGAGAAGAAACAAAGTACGGTTGGAGACCGTCTGCATATATTTCCTCGCTGTTCGTATACATATTTTCCTTGATTCTGTCTTGTGTTTAGTTAGATACATGGTGGTATGGCCGCGATGGCAGCAAACGCGAGCGCGGTGCATCATGTGAGTCGCAGATGGCTGGGATGAGTTGATCAGGTAATTGACAGTTTTGTATCCAGGCACGGTCGAGCCGAAGCTCAAACATCCCTCCATCCAATATGGGTGGTGAACGGAATCGTGGAAGCCATGGCGGTATGGGGCAACCTTTTGGTGGCGGGAAGGCGAGCTGGAAGAACACCATCTGGGGTGACAATCTAGGAGGTGAGACCCTTGAAGTGCCTTCCATATTGGCGAAATTATACTGATGTTGGGGGGGGATCGTCTAGACCAGCATGCTGGTGATAAGGCCTTTGAAGGCAAGGCTGGCTCCAGTTCATTGTTGTCATCGTCCGAATCGGATGGGTGGAACGGTCGCCCTAATATGCCTTGGAGTACTGTGAATACATCTTCAAATGTTCTCGCTAGAGCTACAAATAACAGCATGACAACATCGCCCATCCAAACCCGGGCGGGTGACCGAGGAACCGGTAGCCTTGCAGAGGCCGGTGACTCCTCGTACTTTACATTACCCCGATCGGCGGCAATCGGTGGCACTGCTGGATCAACAAATCATAAGGCCTATCTCAACACCGGGTCAGAAGGTATTTCTCCTTCCGGGGATGGTATCACATTTTCTGGTTTTGGAAATTTCAGAAATACAGAGAGCCGGCGACATGTCAACGCTTCTGCCTTTGGGGGCAGCCCGGTTGGATCTGGGTTCCCGATGAAACCTGGATTCTCTAGCCCGCTCGAGAGTAGCAGGCCTGATGAAATGCCATCCATGTCTGCTTTACCCCAGGGCTTGCCCGAGACTGTCGCACCGACGCTCGGTCGCAACTCTTATACGCATGCGTCACACAACTCGGCATCCTTCGCGCCTCAGAGACCGGTACATTCTTCATACCCATCATTTCACTCCGAGAGTCAGGGATTTGAAGGTCGATATGCCGGCGGCCCTGCTGACATCAATTCTGGTCTAAGTAAACTCCACTTCAGCGAAGGTAGCTATTCCGCGCATCCTTCGAGTACCCGCCCAGGGTATTTGTCGCACCCATCTTTCGATGGCTCTTTCCAGCGCTTGAAATACCAGGGTGAAGAGCCCGCCTATCAAGGGGCTGGCTACGCAGGTGAAGGCGCGCCAGATGTTCAACTTGGATACCAAGCTCCGAGAAACCGAATGGGAGATAACCCGATCTCGCCGACAGAGTATGCCAGGGTGGACAGCCCAATGTATGCTGCGCTTGACAGTGGGTCGATGCACGTCCCGCCCTATAATAACGCGTCTGCTCGTTTATCTGAAGCACAGGCTGCTGCTCTGGAGCGCCGTTTGCGAGAGCAGGAGTTAGCCCAACAAGCAATCAACCCGCTCCAAAGACTGCCCTTTACCCACTACGACCTTGCCCGCTATCCAGGTACAGGTATAAACGCTTTGTCAGGATTCTATCCGGTCGCCCAACTTGGCGCAGCGCCCTAGCAACTAGAGGTCACCGCGACCACGATCCAGCCCAGACAGTGCGAAGTCCAGTATTAGAAGAGTTTAGGGCGAATAGCAAGGGAAATAAACGATACGAACTGAAGGTAACAATTGACTCCACGTTATTCGAATCATCTCGTGACTGACAAGAAATTAGGATATTTACAATCACATCGTTGAATTTAGTGGTGACCAGCATGGATCGCGTTTCATCCAGCAGAAACTGGAAACGGCCAACAGTGACGAGAAGGAGCAGGTTTTCCGTGAGATCCAGGGGGATAGTCTGCAGTTGATGACAGACGTCTTTGGAAATTACGTTGTACAGAAACTCTTCGAACATGGCAATCAGACGCAGAAGAAGATTTTGGCAAATCAAATGAAGGGGCATATCCTGGCTTTGTCTACTCAGATGTATGGATGTCGCGTCGTGCAGAAGGTAAGAGCCTCTCGTAATTATCTCTTTTCCATACAGGCCGGTGGGCTAATCCATGCAGGCGCTTGAGCATATTCTCACCGACCAACAAGCTTCTATGGTGAAGGAGCTTGAACATCATGTTTTGCGATGTGTTCGGGACCAGAATGGAAACCATGTTATCCAAAAGGCTATTGAAAGAGTGCCGTCTGAGCATGTGCAATTCGTCATCAATGCTTTCATTGGTCAGGTCGAAAAGTTAGCTACTCATCCATATGGCTGTCGTGTCATCCAACGAATGCTGGAACACTGCAAGGAAGAGGATCGCGAGGCGATTCTTGCTGAGCTGCACGTCTGCACCGCCAAGCTGATTCCCGACCAGTTCGGTAACTACGTGATCCAGCATGTAATTGAGAATGGCGAGGACAAGGACCGATCCCGTATGGTTACAATTGTTGTGTCAAACTTGTTGACCTACTCGAAGCACAAGTTTGCAAGCAACGTGGTGGAAAAGAGTCTCGAATTCGGTCTTGAGTCTCAGCGTCACCAAATCATCAGCATGCTGACGTCCACTGATGACAATGGGGAGAACCCCTTACTTGGCCTGATTCGTGATCAGTTTGGCAATTATGTCATACGTAAGTCCTCACACTCGTGGGAGTATACCTGAATAATACTAACTTCTGTACAGAGAAAGTTTTAGGTCAGTTGAAGGGCGCAGAAAGAGAGGCTCTTGTTGAGGAAATCAAGCCTCTCCTCAGCCAGCTGAAGAAGTATAGCTATGGCAAACAAATCGCAGCGATTGAGAAACTAGTTGCGGACTCAAATTCGCCAACTAATGGCACTCTTCCTCCTCATACTACCTCTACCACACCACCAAACTCGCACAAATCCTCTCCACAGCCATCAAAGCGGGCTGTGAACGGCCTTGATGGCTGCCGAGCGCCAGTCGTGGGCGCGGCGCCCCCGACTCCGCCTCCAACAGACACTCAGAGCAACGGTGATGGATCCAGCGACACCAAGACCGAGACTAAGAGCACACCTCTCGCAGCATCTGAGTCGGCTGGCACGACCCCGACTACTTCTGTGGAGATCAACGGTCCCAACTAGATTGCTATGACGTTCAATTCTTCTTGCTTCTATTGACATATTCTTAAACCGAGTCACGATTCGCACAGTCCATTGTGTCGAGACACTCAACATTATTCTTAATCCGGGCGTATACATACAGGCTTTCTGAGGGATATATGAGCTATCGCTTCGCTGCTCCGCTGTCGCAATTTATGGCATAACGGCGTAAAAAATACGGGTCATGGCGGGAGCTTGCTTTGCTTTCTTCTTTTCTTCTTTTTTTCTTGTGTCATTTTTTTCATGCCCCCCTACCCGATATACTTCTTGAATTCTCTTTTACACTTTTAATTTGCTCATGGCTTTCACCGGTTGTTCTGTGACAGGTTCGATGTGATGAAAATGAAGACACGTCTTTATAGTTGTCGATGGCTGTATTTCTCTTTGTCCAGGTACGAGGTGTCGGCGTCTTAATTGGTGAACAAGGGAATACTGGGATATCACGCTTGATTGACCTCGAGGGTTGCAAATGGGACCTTTGGACATATGGGAAACTCTGAAAATAGGGAGCATCAAAGGAAGTGCCTGGAGCATGTAGAGGCGATCTGCCGGTATACAGTCAATCAATCCAAAAGTGCTGATGAACCCGTCATCTCTAGAGTTTTGTAATGTAGAGTCGTCCAATCTCTCACTACTCGTCTGTTGTTGATCTGCCATACGATCATGATCCTGCACTTCAAACTGTCGCTTATCAGCATATCACCACGTGACACGATCATAGCTTTTGGACGCCTCAAGTCGCAAAGCTTCAATCTAACCCGAGCGCCACCATTCCGGCATCACATTCCGGAGGACTGTCCCAAAACCACGACTGTATGCTACCGCTGTCCTCACCTTGAGCACCAACTCCAAAACTTTCTATCTATCCCACGGTCAACGGAAAACGAGCCATCTACTTACTCCACCACGACCTCCAACCCTCAGCCATATTACAAACAAACAAGGAAAAAAAAAGCCCCACAATGTCTTCAAACGTCGGTCTCAATACTCCCCGCGGAAGCGGCACCTCAGGGTATGTCCAGAAGAACTGGGCCTTCATGAAGCCGCGCAACGCAGGTTACGGCGCGCCGTATCCACCCGTTGGAGCGAACAGCGACGCAGGACGGCCCTTCAAGCAGCGGCTGCCTGACAAGCAGATTCTCGAGCATGATCGGCGGCGGGCTATCGAGGTGAAGGTCATGGAGGAGAGGGAACGGCTGGAGGAGGAGAACGAGCGGATTGAGGAGGAGATGGCGGAGCGGAAGAAGAAGGGGGATAAGGAAGACGGGGAGGAGCCGGAGGGGAAGGTTCTGTCGGATGAGGAGATTGAGGGGCGATGTGATGCTTTAAGGGAGAGGTTGGTGAAGGAGATGGAGGAGGAAGAGGAGAGGAGGGGTAAGGAGGGGGAGCGGAAGGGTGGTCGGTCTGCGCGGGATTTGCCGCCGAGGGATAGAAGGCAGCTTAAGTCGTACCAGGTTCATGAGCTTGCTGAGGCGAAGATTGAGGAGAGTGAGCGGTTACGGAAGGCGCTGGGGATCAAGGAGGATAAGGAGACGGGGGAGATTTCGAGTGGACGTCGGGATTGGGAGGAGAAGAAGCGGGAGAGGGAGCGGGATCGTCCTTGAGCTTCGATTTGTTCTCTTGGATTCGGTGCGTTTTTTGTTCGTTTCGTGATAGTGTTGAGTTGGGACATTGGCGTTGCGGAGTTACTGCACTTGATTCTTGTATATGACAGACAGGATTTGGGATCATACGGAATGAAGTACCAGAGCATGTCTCATGATGACCATGGTTATGGTATTCATAGCTTTGTCTAAGTCGTTACAGTAACTTTTCTCATATTATATACAGTTAAGCGCCAAACTTTTCAATTATCCAGCCCTCTTTAGGGTCTTTCTTTTGAACCACCTTCTTGGCTGGCAAAGGCCATCCTCCACGGCCAGGCTCGCTTACCAATGACGGGATCACCCAACACGCCCTGCGTGGCGGGATTCCGTCAATCAATTCTGCTTTCCCAATAGGCTTACCGTACTCTATTAAGGGTGTGCCCTGTGCAATAGCAGAGAGTTGCAGGCCACTAGGGCAAACCAGTGGGAACATTCTGACTTTGGGCACTTCGGTCGACACGAGCGATGGGGACGCTTGTTGAAGATGGGAGTATATGATGTATTGCGGCATTTCCTTTGGCGAGAGGCTCGCAAGGATAGATGACGGATGCACGTAGACAGCCTTCTCATCGAGTTCCGTGGCCGGTCCCTCGCGAGACTTGAATAGAGTCAAGTATGGGACATCGATCGCTCTCTTTGGTGTACGATGCATTTCAGGCGGTACTGGAGACAAATCAGCCCGGATGGCAACATTGTCAATGAAGCCCGCGGTGACAATTTGTTTCAAAGCCTTGATTTGCTTCTCGGACGGCTGCGGTAAACGTGGCTGATACGCTCCAATAACTCCAGGGTTATTGGCCCGCACTATGTCTGTTAATTGGCTTCGTAGTTGTGTAGCCTCTTTGAATCCTTTGCCTCGTAAGAACATCTTCTCACAGAACGATTCTCCATCTGAAGCATATCCATAAGCGCAAATCGCTGATAAGAATTTCAACGCATCAGACGTATCGTCGTATTGGCTCCAGAGTCGATGAGCTCTTGCATAATCCTTGTGACGTTGCTCCCGAACAGTGTCTTCCAAACGGTCCTTGTTCGTGTACACTGTGTCTTTTTCTCTGTCATCTCCCTTGGGGCTCGGATCGACCTGGTTTTCTGGAACAAAGAGGTCCCCGACTGCCAAGGCTGCAACCAGCGCAATAACGTAAGGCATACAGCCGTGTTGATGTCCAATATGCAACATCTTACCGAACCTAGGGGATAGAGGGTATGTAGACAGGCGGTTACCGATTTGCGTAACTTTACCATCAGACGAGAGAGCACCGAGATTTTTGAGGAGCTTCTCGCTTTCGCCAGACCCTGCCGACTAGGAGGCGTTGGGAATGGGAAATTTATAACGTTATGAAGGCCCATACTCTTCATCTGAAGCACGACACCTTCAATTGGCGTACGCAGAATCTCTGGATCTGTGTACTGTGCAAACTCGTTTTCGTAAACTGCAGATGAGTAGAGTCGATAGCAGTGACCGGGCCCAGTTCTACCAGCTCGTCCTGCTCTTTGGTTGGCACTGGCCTTACTGATCCAGTTGACCTGGAATTTCTGCACGCCTGTATCTAAGTCGTACTGTTTCTCCTTGGCCCGTCCACAATCAAATACATATCGGATACCCGGGATTGTTAAACTAGTCTCGGCCACGTTAGTCGCTAGAATGATAAGACGTGAGCCCTCGGGTGGTGGTTCGAAAACTCTCAGCTGTTCCTTTGTGGGAAGTTGGGAGTACAACGGTAGGACATGCACTCGGGTGGATGAGCCCATTGCTTCTTCACCGAGGTCAAAGCCATCATCGTCATCATCATCGTTATCTAGACCAGTGATTTCGAGATCACTATCGTCGTCCTCGTTGCCAACATTGGAAAGATCGGCGTCCCCAATGTCTAGATCTTCCGCTTCCAGTGGTGCATCGTTCGCAGAGATCTGCACTTTAGCCTCAGTTTCTCCACCCCGCTGCGTAGGTTTGAAGGCCTGCTTCAAGCGCTTAGAGAGTTCTCGAATTTCATTCTGTCCTGTCAAAAAGACAAGCATGCCCCCTGGAGGCAGCTTACGATGACCTCTTGAGACTTTCCGGTACGCCTCCTCAACATAATCGCGGCGTGTGCGTCTGGAAAAATGAACCGTAACGGGGTACTGACGACCTTCTGCCTGAACCAAAGGCGGTGGTCCCTGACGGAAGAGGTTGGGATTTTGGGTGAAGTCGGAGATACGCAGAGTCGCAGACATGACCACGAGTTTTAAAGGTTTCACAGCTGGGTCTTCTTCACTCATAGCTTTCCTCAGGTCCACAATACGGCTCACCATACCAATGAGGATATCTGTATTAACACTTCGTTCGTGGGCCTCATCGATAACGATGATAGAGTATTTGCTCAGCGAGAAGTCGTCCGCAATTTCTCGGATCAATATACCATCAGTCATGAACTTGATTGCGGTCTTTTTTGAGACAGTGCTCTCAAACCGGATCTGATAAGATACCTGATCAGAGAACTGACCCAACTCATCGCCTACACGTTTTGCCATACTGACGGCAGCTACTCGGCGAGGTTGCGTTACCGCTATCATGCCCGGATTAGGGCTATCCGGGTTTCCAAAGCCAGCTTCGAACAAAAATTGTGGTAGCTGAGTAGTTTTACCGCTACCAGTAGCACCCCATATAACGACAGAGGAATTGTTGTAGATTGCTTCCATAATTTTCTGTTCTTCTCCAACAACGGGCAAACCCAACCGTGCGTTTTGTATATCCTCCGAGCGGTCAACTTGGACATGGAACGCCTTTCGGTAGGGGTTGCCTTTGGTAACTTGAAGTTCTGCGGGAAGTGGTTCTTCTTCGTAAACAGTATTCCGCACAGGCTTTTCTTTTAACTTGGGGTCGAAGGGTTGCTCTTCTGATACGATAGGGCCGGTAGTGGGCTTGAAACCGACTGTTTCATTGATTTGTTGTCTGGCCCAGGCTTTGAACGCGGACTGGCGAGGTGGGTTGCTGGAACTATCCTCCTCTTCGTCATCGTCTTCGTCATCTTCGTCGTCGTCATCATCATCATCCTCGTCGCTTTCTTCTTCCTCTTCTTCTTCCTCGTCCTCTGAAGGTTTAACATCCTCGTCTTCATCCACCTTATCCAGTACTTCCGCCTCTTCGTCTTTGTGTTTTCGATCATCTGGGGCGCTGCCATCCTCGCTCTCATTCTCGCCTTCGTCAGAGTCAAATCCCTCCCATGGTACCTCTTGTATCTTAGTGGCCTTCGTTTTCAATTTCGGCGCTCGTTTGCGCTTTTTGAGAACGGGAAATCCGTCCGCTCCAAGTTCGAGAGGGCGTTTTAGCCCGCTACCAACCACGACGGGTTCTGCCGGCTTTTCAGCAGGACCTTGTGCTTTAGGAATAGCAAAACTTGTCCCCGAAGGAGGGAGTGAATCATCTGTTTCGTCGCCCGACAACTCTACTTGGGGGGCACTGTCATGTGTATACCTAGATCCTTCAATGGTACCGTTTTCGTCAAGTCTTTTGCGCTTCCCTATTTCTCTAGAACTCTCGAAATTGGAAGTATCCAATGTTGTTTTTTCAAGCTTCTTGAGCAGTTCAACATTTTCTTCTTTCTTGAGTTTATTTTCCTGCCGAGGTGGTTAGATTGGACGGTATGCTCCACAATTCATTTCTTGCATAGGGTCTACATACAATATATTTATCTAAGCGTTTTTGTTTCTTTGCTGAGATTTTGGTGTGTTGCGCTCTCAATTCCTCTCGCAGCTTTTGCCTTTTGGCTTCTTTCTGTTCTTTAGAGATGGGCAAACTTCGGCGGCATTGCTATCGACCGCAGCATCTGCCGCCTCCTTCTGCCTGTGCTTCTGCTTCCTCTGACGAGGAACAAACTTCGGCATGGTGTGAAGGCGATGATACCTTTGTCCACACCGACAGACAAAGAAGAAAAATACACAGGAAACGCAGATTGATGAGCTTTGTGGTGATGGTCAATGGAAAGGGAACAGAAAAAAATTAGGCGGCGGAGAGATTCTGCCCTAAAGCGGTGAGATTAAGTTCACCGCCCACGTATATAACACACTCCCCTCCATGGACACTGTTTACAGCTGCATGTATCAGAACGTATTTCCCCTTACTGTATTCTGAGTAAACAGTACCTCTTTCGCTGCATTTTCTGTATCACTTGAAGCAAGTCCCTAACCATGGCCGAACCTTTCAATTTCAGTGAACTTCTGGAGCCACTAAATCTTCCCTTTCCTGCCACTACCAAACAAGTTGCTGGACTGGTCAATGGCATCCAGACAGATGTCATGTGCATGAACTTCAATGACAGAATCTTGGTAACAATTTCACAAAAGGGCCGACTTGGTCACTGGGTTTGTCGTCCACAATGAATTCTTCTCAGATATCCAACTAATGGATGGCAGTTACATGTACCACTGGAAAATAAAAACCCTGGAACCGAAGGCGCTCACACCTTCCCAGACTCGGATGACAGTCTTCTTCCGATCAGCAGTCTCACTGCGACTTCACTCCTGGGAGGCCGTGTTCCTGGACATGACACAGTCGGTCAGCTATATGCTCGTCAGATAGCTAGTGCCATTGTGACAAAAGCACCGAATGAAAAGCGGCTTTTGGTCGTTGGACTTGGACTTGAGACCGCTGACGCTGATCGGGATGTTTTCTTCGCAATAATAGACCTTGTGCTTCAGTGCATCTAAGGTTTAAGAAAAGAAAAAACAGACACTCACAAATCCAAAGCGAGAACCCTGGTCCCTGTATCTTCGTCTTATTCCGCTCAATCTTCAGGGGTGGGTCCCTTAGAGCATGGACAAGATGGCACAGGCGGTTTCTCTCCTCCTCAGTAAAACCGCGAAAATTTAGCTTTCCAAGGAATTTGAATGCGCCGCTAAATAAGGCGTTGACCAAGTCTTTCTCATTGAAACCGGGCAAGTTCCAATTCTCTGTTACAACAACGGACAGTGAAAAGATACGCAAGGGTTCGGCCGCTTTCAATGCTGTAATAAACTCTGAAAATGCCCAACGACGACGCAAAGCCACTGTAGGGTTCTCTGCTCCTATCAAAAACACGACCGATCCCAATGATCTGCTCCAGTTAAGATGTTCGTTGCGACAGGGGTATTCAAGGTTGACCTCAAACTCCTTAGAGCGACAGCACGGTAACGACTTCGGATGACGTCTGAGAAGATCTGCGGAGAAAGGACCATACGCTCGGAGAAAGAGCTTGCGGTAGCTAAGCGAATGGTATAAGGCAATCGACGCTTCATGGTAAATGAGGTGCGATGTCCTGAGAATCTGTAGATTCCCGATTCCTGTGTGTTTGAGCCTCCCGATCTCGAGTGCAGTTCCGTCATACGCAAACAAAGCGGCATAGATTTTGAACCTTACGTCGATTGGCAGGCGATAAAGATAACAGCTACGATAGCGGCAGCCGACAGTCAGTTCTCTCCTGACCATCTTGCACGCCTCGGGAACAACAATGTCATGGTAGTTTGGTTGTTCATCGTACGGTGCAAGTCGAGTGACATTGCCCTCAACGACCCTCCTATAGAAGCGAATGATGGTTCTACCATCCATGTTCTTGTTAGCGGGGAGCTTTTGTTGAACAGTGTGCGTCAAAGGGTGAAGTAATTACCCTGGGTTACTTGGTTCGAGACGATTGAAGTTTGGCTTTCTCGTGGGGCCCTGCAGACTGGTGTCTTGCTTATGGACTGAAGCCCCCATTCCTTGAGGGCCTGGATCCATGTTTTCACCCAATAGGGGAACGGGAAAAGACCTGGATCAAAGCTAAGAGAGGTCAGCTATCTATGGCGCTATCAGTGAGCATATCGATTATGCGATTATGTGTTGCACTTGATGTGAATAAGGATGCTTAAAATATAGCAGGTAGCCAGGACAAGAGAATTGAACTGTTCTCCTAATTGCATGTAGTGACACTTTGCTTTCATTCACCACAATAAATAACCAGCTAACTTTATGCACCAGCAGAAGAAGGAAAAGGAAGGTGCCCTAGCACAAACCAGGGTCGTATTCTCACAGTAATTGGCTTGCAATACTTGAACAATGATCTCATTACTATTCCTTGTACCTATTCAAAGCCTGGATATAATGATATGATCGATCCATGCAAGAAGACTACGACGGTTCCCTCTTTGTTTACCGTGAAGTTTGTATACCGGCTTTGCTCTTTGATAGTACGGTCTCTCTACATAGTACACTTGAGCAGGATATTAAGACACCACTGACACCCTTTCGGGGGACTTGAAATCAAATATTAAATACCATGATACCTTCGTTCGTCGTCCAGTTTATCCTCGACTACTTCCAGACTATAGACGATAAAAGTACTAGTACTACTAAGTACTACTAACTAGTAGTAGTACCGTGACATAGTATGTACATCCATGCATATCCTCGCAGTCACGTGTTGCCGGGGAGATTGACCCTCATTGGACCGGTTCTCCTCTCTTGTCTCTTGTTGTCTCCTGCTTTGCTTGACTTTTCTTTCACTGCCCTCCACGTCTGTCGAATGCTTTTCTATCTTTTCTTGCGGTGTTACGTTTAGCCTTGAAGTCATTGATTCCCATTTGGTTGAAGAATCAACCATCGGGACTATCAAATCCTCCCGTGACGTCTTATCGTAAACACAACTCTTTTGTGTTCCGTATCAGCATAAACCCTCCCTCTATGTTCTTTGTCAAAGCATGAGACTACTAAGCACATAATTACCTCCCTCGAGTTACCATTCCCTTTTTCCCCCTCTCAGATCCAACTCCACTTTGCTGTTCAATACCACTTGGAGTATTCAATGATCTAAGATGAATTCCGACGATCTAGATGACCCTGATCTGAGGGCTGCAATCGCTGCCTCTCTCAGGGATTCCTGTAATCATGAAGAGAGTAGCCATAATGGGCAACAACTTGAAGTTGTTGACTTGACTGCAGATTCTGATGATGACGTGATACCCCTATTCCCTAAGTCAAACTCTGTCATTGGTTCCGAGACTGATGGGGATGAAACCGATTCGGGCGAGGAAGATGACGATGACGAAGATGAAGACCTTAAGAAGGCGATCGAATTGTCTATGCAAGGCGCCATAGAAGATGAAAATGGCCCTTCGAGACATCACTTGCCATCTGCTGACAACAATGACAGCAAGGCTTCTAACACCCCTTTGTCCAGTAGAGCTGAAGCCCCAGAAAGCACACAGGCGCTAACACAAACAGCTGGCTTATTGGGCTTGGATCGAAGGCAGATGGAGACAGATCGCCTGGCGCGACTAAACAAGAGAAAGGCCGAAGAGTCCGTATCGGATGACCAACGGGATGCAAAGCACGCGAGAACTGGAACGCCTCCAAGATCTTCCGGTCCTGTTATATCGGTGGTCGACACATTGTCCGGATCAAATTCCTCACGTACAACGCCCGCAGGAGATGATCAACAAATACAGATCCCATCTCCGATCCCGTCGGTTCAGTTTCCCAACGGGATCGTTAAGAAAACATGGGCCTTTGGTTGCCGCCGGCAGGGTGATGATATCAAGATTGAAGAAGTACTGCAGAAATCAGACTTACAGCTTGCTGTCCTCAGCTCGTTTATGTGGGAAATGGAATGGCTTTTCTCAAAATTGAATACAGCAAAAACCCGATTCTACTTGGTGATGCAAGCCAAGGATGAATCTACGGTAAGTTTCATTCAACGTTACCCACGTAGTTGTTGTCTGGCTGGGCCTTAAATCATACCACTTGCTGGTCCTTATTTTCTTGCCTTGGTGTTCACCCTTTTGGAACATGAAGTTAACCACCTTGTGGTTCTAGAAACTTCAGTACCAGTCCGAAACAGCTGCTATGAGCAACCTTAGATTATGTTTTCCGCCGATGGATGGCCAAGTGAATTGCATGCATTCAAAGTTGATGCTACTGTTCCACTCCGGATACGTTCGAATTGTGGTCCCCACTGCCAACCTGACTCCGTATGACTGGGGTGAAATAGGTGGTCTTATGGAAAATGTACTGCATGATCTGACATTCCTAACCGCCACAGGGCTAACCATAATCTAGAGTGTTTTCATTATGGATCTGCCAAAAAGGAGCGATAAAGACTCAGAGCTTCCACGAACAGCCTTCTACGATGAGTTGACTTACTTTCTAAAAGCCAGCACTTTGCACGAGAATATCATCGCCAAACTCACCGACTATGACTTCAGTAAGACTACGAATATTGCATTTGTCCACACTATGTAAGCTCCTTAACCCTGACAGCATGGCCCGATCTCTGATTTCATCCAGCGGTGGCTCTCATATGGGAGATTCGTGGCGGCGTACAGGGTACTGCGGCTTGGGTCGTGCAGTGGATTCTCTTGGTTTGCGAACATCTAAACCTCTCAACGTCGATTTCGTTGTGAGTTTACATTTGCACCAGCTCATAGAGCGCTTCCTGATATATAATAGGCGTCATCCGTTGGTTCCTTGACGGATGAGTTCTTGAGGTCCATATATCTTGCATGCCAAGGTAAGCAGTTATTAAGTGCGACACCCCGACATAAAACGAGTCGCAGGTTAACTTTGTGTGCAGGTGACGATGGATCGACAGAATACGTCCTTCGCACCGCAAAATCCTTCCCTGCCCGGAGCCGCAACAACCCAACACAGCTCATTGATAAGTCGACTGCCGAAGAGTGGAAGGATAGGTTCAGAGTCTACTTCCCCTCAGAGACAACAGTCAATGACACAAAAGGTGGGCCACAATCTGCAGGCACAATTTGCTTTCAGTCAAAGTGGTATACAGGCCCGAAATTCCCTCGTCAGGTTCTGCGCGACTGTGTAAGTCAGCGGCCAGGGCTACTGATGCATAATAAAGTAAGTTGCTGTGCTTTTGAGGAGAACGGAAGATTATGTCGAACTTATGCTAGAATGTTCTAGATTCTCTACGTAAGACCGGATGACCCAGCCACGCTACCTGATAACTCTCAATGTCGAGCCTGGGCTTATGTGGGAAGTGCGAATCTTTCAGAGAGTGCTTGGTGAGTGATCTCATATCCTGCCCATGCTCACCCTTTGATTGTACTTTGCTATTCGGGAAACTTATAATGAATAGGGGCCGTCTTGTTCAGGAGCGAGCAACAAAGGAACCGAAACTCAACTGTCGAAACTGGGAGTGCGGTGTGCTCATACCTGTCCTTAATAGAGAGGATGCCGTGTCGGAACAGAACAAATCCCCGAACGATGAATCTGGGACTATGTTGGATATTTTCGAACGCGTTGTGCCTGTGCCGATGCGTCTCCCAGCACCTCAGTACGGGCCAAATCGCAGGCCTTGGTTCAATTCAGAAAGTGGAATGTGATTCCGATTGGGATTAATGTTACAACTGCACTCTACCGATTGGTCACAATTTTAGGTAGTCCAGCTAAATATCTGGTTTTAATACATACTTCGAGACGGAACCGGGCTTTCTACTATGACTCTTACCTAAAGTCTTCCGAGTAATTGACAGGATGAGCAAGGTGGATCTTCAACAAAGAGTGGTCCTTGCCGGGGCAACACTTCGCTGTTCTTTTAAAATGAGATAGTATAGCTTCCCGGTCTAGCAACAAAGAGGCAGACTCTATGGTTGCCCCATGTAACCTCCGAAGCCACGCGATTCCATGAACTAACATATGGGCCATGGGTTCTCATGACGCTAATGGTTATTTATTTGACATACCCACACGAGTAGATACTTAGTAGATACTTTAGGCTGTGCCATATCCATCATAACCCCTATTCCACTCGGAGCCAATGTACAGTACACGCCCAAGATGAAGTCTGGTATTATTTCTACGTTTATCTTTGCCTTTCTCTACGCCAGCACTGCGAGCGCCGTTCCACCAGGTACTTCTAATCCTAATTACAGTGGTGGTAGCACTGGGGGCATTGGAGTTAGTACCGGTGACACTGGGGCTGCTGGAACTGCTGGGGCTAGTACAGGTGGTAGAAGAGTGAGTTCCGGTGGCCGTCGTATCGAGGGGGGTACCAGCTCCAACATGCGGGGCAAAACACGCCAGCAGGAAAGATATGTCGAAGGCGTACGTCACCCAACTCATGAAATATACAGCTCCCTTCCCCCCCCGAAAGCATTTATTTATAAAAACTAACAATGCATACCTGAAGGCATGCACGACGCACGGTACATATGGCACATGCCAGGCCACGGATGCCAATGGGAATGACTGGGCGGCTCCTTGTAGCCCGAATACCCCGGTAGGAAAAAGACCATTTGCAAGTGTCGTTTTGTTGTGCCTAGTACGTAACTGATCCTTGAATAGTGTGCTACCGTAGGGCCCCGTATGTGCAATATTGATACGTTGCGGCTTATTGCGGTGTGTTCGTGAGGGCGGAGGTTCTTACGTCTCTACTGGAAGTCGTATGTTGTTGAATGTTTGAATCGCATGGGAAGGCCTCGAGAAGTGTCTCCGAATGTTCAGTAACCACTATCTGACTTTCTAGGGAGGGAAAAGCTATCATTTAAATCTATAAAGAGTTTTTTAGTCGACAGGTTCAGGACAAAGGCACAAAGATATCTCGTCCCCCTGAACCTTCTGATTACAAGGTCATCAAATTCTTCTTGTGTTGTATCTACATGGATCAAGGCTGGGAAGGGTTTATCCTAAAGTATCAAGTAGATCTTGCGAATATTCATACCATGTTGCTAGTAACCATCCAGTGCGGAAGAGTTTGACATATATGCAAGAATTATATTAACGCTGTCTATGAACAAAATGCTTTTTCTATCTATATCTCCTCGGGATATCTTTCATGTTCCACATAAAATCTCTTTCTCCTCCTCTATTTATTTATCATTTTCTCCTGCCATGGTTGTTTGTTGTTGCTTTTTCTTCCGTTTCGAGTTTATCGAGAGAAAGTTGAACACACCAACCAGAACTAGAACACCAACCACCGTCTAATTCTGCTCCTTTTCGGACTTCTTGGAGAAGACCTTTTTCACACCATCAATGATCATACCGACCCCGCCGAAGAGGTACCCCATTCCGAAGGACCATCCCCGAACGCGGACAGTGTAGATGAAGAAATAAACCAACGCCCAGTTGATAATCACAAAGGCCAGGAAGATACCAAAGCACCGCCACTTATCGCCATCGTGGACGTTAAGCGTTTGCATGTATTCTGTGCCGTTAGCGAAGGGGCAGTATTGGCAGTCTTCGGTGGCGTCCGGGTTGACCAAGTATCCCACTCCAGCGATATTGGAGACGAAGTTTCCTGCGTACTGTTGGCAGGTGGAGCCTGGGGGAGGGTCGAAGTGGGTGGCTTCCTTCGAGGCACATTCGATGTGGACAGAGGGGAAGACGCTTGAGATCACGCCTCGGAGCCACCAGGTCACCGGGTTGACATAGTACATCCAGTATTTCCAGAAGACTGGATAGTCTTTGTATGGACGGACGATACCGTTGAACAGGTTGACCATGACAAAGAAGAAGGGAAGGACCTGGGTAGGAATGTTAGTATGATAAATCAGACTGGGTGATAGTCAATAGGAACGTACGTTGGAAATCACGGTGAACGACGGGGCAAAGGCACAAATCCATTGACCCCAGCTGGCCTGAAAGAGGAAGAAAAGCATCGACATGAGGAAGACGTATCCAGCGCTGCTCGAGTCCGTGGGGAAGCCGACTGGGTAGTACCAGAGCAGCCAATAGATCAAGGCGGAAACGATTGCCATCGGAATCTCACAAACGACATTTGCTGTGCAGAAGGCGAACCATCCGTAGATACGGCTAGGATATTCACGAGCTTCCCAAAGGGCGCGGTTGATATAGAACTTGGGGACAATACTGTTCAGGACAATGGGAGGGATAAGAATAATCAAGAAAATGGAGAACATGCGATTTTGCATGCTACTGATGGAGTTATCGAGCATCCAGAAGGTCTGCCCTAGTCAGCAATGCTCAAATTCTGAGAGACCGGAGGCTACTTACGAATCCGTTGAAAATACCAATGATGACACTGACGAAGAGCTTTCCGTAATAGTACGATGGATCTCTCCAGTACTGTCTGAACAGCCTCTCGGTCAGTAGGACAGTCTGTGTCCATGTAGGAGCAGCAAACTCGTATTCGACGCCCTTCTCGGCAACTGGGATCTTGCTGCGCTCTTCCCTGATCTGCTGAATTTCGTCCAGAATGCGGCGGCTCTGTTCAGAATTGCGCCACTCTTCATTCCAATCAATGGATCTACCATCCTTCTTAGTCGCCTTCGCTGCTGTTTCAAGGATAAATTCTGCGACATTCTTCGAGGGTGGGCAGACAACACCGCGGTCAGCGAAATACTTAATCACGTCGCGACCTTCGGGGCCAATAGGGCCGAAATAGAAAGTGTTTCCGCCAGGGTTAAGAGCCAAGACCATGTCGAACTGCTGAATCAGCATGGATGACGGCTGGTGAATCGTGCACACAATGGCCTGTCCCGCTTGGGAGAGCTTCTTCAGGAATCTCACGATTGAGAAGGCTGCCTGGCTGTCCAGACCACTGGTGGGCTCGTCAAGGAAGAGGAGAAGACTGGGTTTCGCGGCTAGCTCGACACCGATAGTCACTCTCTTCTTCTGTTCAACGTTAAGAGAACCAATGATAGCATCCTGGATATCCTCCAACTCCAGTAGGTCGATAATCTGATTCACATAATCAAGCTTTTCTTGACGTGGGATATTCCTGTCCTGACGAAGAAGTGCCGAGAACTCAAGGGCCTCCCGAATGGTCGCGGTATTGTCATGAAGATCCATTTGTTCACAGAAACCAGTGCCTCTTTGGAAATCAGTACCGAGAGGATGGCCGTCAACAAGCATGTCGCCGGTGACCACACCCATCTTCTGACGCTGGGCTAAGGTGTTGAGTAGAGTGGTCTTGCCTGCTCCAGAAGCACCCATTAGAGCGATCATCAGGCCGGGCTTCGCATAACCGTTAACGCCGTTAAGGAGTTTCCTTGTCCCATTTCCGTATGGCACCGTGTATTCTACATTCGACCAGGTGAAAACTCGCTCGCTGGCAGAAAGACGCTGCATGGATTCGCCGTTGCCAGAAGACTTCGCTTCTCCACGCGACAATGCCGCATTATCCCTTGTATTTTGTACTTGCTCTTCATCGTTACCTCTGCCGTTTTGCGCTTTGAGTTTCGTGGAACGCTTGGACTTCTTAAAGACCAACGCGCCGCCGCCACCTCCGACAAATGAGAGAACTTCAGCAGCTATAACAGTGACAAGGAGGTACAGAACCGTGAAAGCGATGACCACGCCAAAATTGCGCCACAAATGGTGCCGGGTGCTATAATATGTGAGTGTGTTGATATTTCGATAGTAACGAACAAGGGATACTTACAATTGGAAACTTTCTTCAAGATACCGACTTCCTGCAACGTCTGCCTGACCAAGCTCGGACCCCGTGAGAGCACAACCTTGGTATCTTGGGTCCACACCTGGGCCTTGAGGCACGAGCTGCGAGGGAGCACATGACATAACTCTGTTCGAAAATTCGTTCGTAAGGACCGCCTCATAACTGTACGAAAGTGGGTTCACGTAGAACAACCAACCAAACCAGATCGAGCCATCAATGAGCCCTTGCTTGGGAATGACATAACCAACGAACAGAATCAACACATTTAGAGCAATACCAGCGAATCTAACGGCATCGTCGATAGTCGGAGATAGTGCTGCGAACATGCGGTACAGGGACGTGATACAGAACGTCGTCGTGTACACAAACAAGAAGTAAATAAAGAATTTGGAGACATCCACATCGAGTCCCGCCATGAAATAGACGATGATGGTGAACGGCACAACCATGCAGAAGATGGCCGGGAAATCAACCACAACTCGGGCGATTGCCACAGCAGACGGACGGTAGAAGGCATAATCCTTATGGCGTGCGACGATACCACGCCCGGAGACCGCAGGCATCAGTTCCGTCAGCTGAAGCCAACCGAGGAATAAAATCGAAAAGAACAGGGCACCACCACGCGAGAAAGCTCCACTAGAATCCAACGATTCACCATAGAACAAAGAAGAGACGATAAGACCGTTCGAGATAATAATGAAGTATTTAGTGTACAGGGAGGTCTTGTCTCCCCACAGGAGCCAAAATTCCCGCTGCACACAAGCCGCGACTTGTCTAACGATGGAGACCGTGTAAGGGGACTGTTTCGAGACCGTCTTACTCTTTGACTGAGCCACAGTTTTCTGAAAACGGCGAGTGTCTTCCTGGTCGGTGTCCTGTAGCAACTTCTCGTACGCACAAACTTCATTCCAGATCTGCTTGTACGCTTCACTCTGCTTGAAGATCGTCTCGAGCTCTTCAGCGGTCTTTGGTGTCGACGCTTCGCGGCCTGGCTGAAACTGGCGGGCATTCGGGTCACACAGGGAAGTGAGGAAATCAGCAGTTGTAGATTGCTCTGGGCAATAAAACCCGAGATCTACAAAGTACTGCTTTGCTTCGTTGGCAGGGCCTTGGTAGAGCATACGCCCCGCATCAATCACCAGAACCTTGTCCATTAGCTCATAAATACTCTCACCCGCTTGGTACAGGGTAACCAGAGTAGTCCGCTTGCTGACATCCGTCATAATTCGGAGCGACTTGGCATAGTCAAGAGCAGTGCTGGCATCCAGTCCTCTGGTGGAGTTATCCCAGCAGACGACGGAAGACTTGGTCGCGAGCGTTTCAGCGATACTGACACGTTTTCTCTCTCCGCCAGAGACACCACGGACATACTCATTACCCACCAGAGTGTTCTTTGTATGGGTGATGCCGAACATTTTCAAGAGCGCGTCGATAATGATGGGTATACTAGCTTTGTCATGCTTCTTTGTCTTGTTAATCAAAGAAAACTTTAGCGTCTGCCAGACTGTGAGGTTCGGGAAATGCTGATCATCTTCCTGGTTGTAGTTCACCTCACCGCGGAAATGCTTATGTTGCTCTTCCGCTGAGAGGCCACCATAACTGACCTCGCCCTCAACCCCTGCGAAGGCTTCCCGGTCATTGGCAATTGTCTTCAAGAAGGTGGAACAGCCTGCTCCAGGCCTACCGAGTACTAACATCATTTCGCCTTCCCTGACAGCTCCACTGAAGTCATGGAGCAGGTCTCTTACCGGAGGACGCTTACCGAAGTGGAGGGCAGGTACGAAGCGGCACAGGATATTGTACAGGTCGGGACCAAAAGTTCCAACGACAGCATCAGGAAGGGTCCGGACGAAGGAGGCACCTGTCTCGACGCCTTTCACCGTGACATTCTTGAAGGCAACGCCCACCTTCTTCGCCGGCTCTCCTGCCGTCGTTCGTCGTTCCAGATGGCCGCCCATTAAAAACTCGCTCAGGTCAAACCCACCCTGGTACTCATCCGTAGACAAATCCTGTCCATCCTCAAGCGCCTTCTCCTCGTCGCGGCCCTCGGCCCGTGAGCGCCGTCGAGCATCTTTGGCTGAACGAGTCCGGTGGAGACTGAGCTTGGTCACTTCCCTTCGCATCTCTTCGAATTCCTCCATTGCACCCCGGCGGGAAACAGGGTCCCCCTGGTTGCGTTCGCCCCATCTCGCGTCAGCGTCAGCCGAGGCATCGGTTTCACTGGTCGAGGTCGAGTTCAAAGAATTCAATGTATGCTCCGAAGCCACCGGGTGGTTATAGGGATTTGCAGCCGTATTGGACGATGCCTCAGGCTGACGATTTTCGTCGGCCATTTTAGGATCGGCCTCGTCTCGTGTGCTTTCGTATATGCGATATCAGATTCGAAGCCAGCAATCGATGCGTGGTTGAGTATTAAATGTAAGATTAAATTTAAAGATCTGTTAGGTCCGGTAGGGTGACTTCTCCAGTCGATTATTAAAAATGAATGAGATGTCAGATGATTCCAAGTGATTCCAAATGACGGGATATCTGTGTGGTTTAGTGGGTATAGATATATGTATAAGCGAATATATACAGGAATCAATATAAAAAGAGGAAGAAAGACAGTGATTAGATAGGCAATTGAAAGAAAAGCGATCGCTCTCGTTCTGTGCGCGGTTTCCAAGAGGGGAGAGTGTCCCAAATGATATACCAACAAGGGCACCTAAGCGCAACAGAAGAAGCTGTTGATAGGGAAGTTGAAGCGATGGCATTGCATCATGAGTTATATAAACGGCTAGCTGCATTACTAACTCCGGGAGCCAAACAGCGGGAAAATTCTTCGGATTTATCAGATCTGGCAAGTGAATAAGGCCCAGTGGATACTCATCTGTAGGGTCCAATCTCAAGAAACGGAGGAGACGGATTAAACCGGTCAATCAGAAGACAGAATGGCGGCAGAACATCCGTCGAAGAAAGCCGAACGGTGGAGCGCCACAGGAAGAAGTGAAAAAAAAAAAATTAAAAATTGAAAAAATGAAAAAGTGTATTAAGGAGAGCTCGCCTGAAGGAGCTCGAGTGGAGCCCTGAAACTACGCTCGGAGTGGATCTAAGTGGATGTTGAGTCAACTTGAGTCAACTTGAGTCGAGCGGAATATACATTCCTTCGCAGATACAGTCGTTTAAGTCCGCTTCTTAAATTTGATGATATTTCCCCACCCCACGTCACAAAGGTCACTTGCAGTTGGATGGCGGATTGTACGGAGAGGCAATGTGTTTATCTGTCCAAAATAACCTAAGAGAAGAAGAAGAAGACCGGGGAGGCTGACATATCCCAATTCGGATTGGTGTGGCGGAGATAAGCGCCCGGCGTTAGAAAGGATTTTCATTTTGCTGACTGAAGGGCTCGTGCCTGATGGGGACTAGACCGTTGGCTATTACCTTCTCCCACGCCGTGATTGGTTCAGGGCTTGACCAGCTGCCTATCATGGAATGACCTACTACTACTAAGTGGGGTTTTCCTGAAAACTTCCCTACGATAGCGGGCAACCAACTGGGTTTAGTTCAGGAGTAAACCCGATGGCAAACACTGTGTCTCTCACTTAAAATGTCGGGAATTGGATAATGAGGTCGATCCGTCGCATTCAGTTATTATAGCCAGCGGAATGACTTATGGGCGCCATAAATCCGTTGTGGGTTTAGTAATAACTCCGTGCAAAACAGAAACGAGCTTAAATCTTCCCTACGTGCTTACATATTGAAATCCAATTCGATCATGGTACCGACTTATTATTAGTATGTACTATTGCTATGGGTCCCTCAATCCAGGAAGTTGAAACCTTGATGACGCCCATCTGAGGGCTTGCGCGTACGATACCTTTCTTGAGGAGAAGAAAAGGAAAAAAAAAAAAAAAAAGAATAAGTCTGAGAAGACCCTATACTTACACTCGCTTGGATATGCTTCGGATGAACAAAGACAGGAATGTCGCTGAACGTTTTCGGCACTGGCCAGTTCAGAAATGCATCCAGCCTTTGAGTTAGGTTTACTCGGATAGCTTCCCGGGTTAGGGGCTGGTCGGCCCCCACCGAAGAAAAAAGAAGGTCGACTCAGTCGGCTGCACCGCACGGACCTTTTCCGGCCTCGAACGAGTCAGCCGTTCGGCAATGGCGTTCTCGGAATCCCGGCCTACTGTATCAACTGTGGTCATGCTGCAGAGGGACAACCAGTCCTAGGTAATCGCTTAGACCGCTTTTCCGATGTATATCTTAAGCTTGTTGTCTCCAGCTGTCTAAGTTTGCCCTCAAACTCAGCCTCAAGCCATCAAATCTGACAGATCACCGTCGAGGCTTGCTTATTATATCTTGGCATTCTCCATAGCGGATCATGGCGTCCAATGGCTTACGGTCCGGATTTCCATGCCCTCGAGGCTATTTTGATTTCTCAGCAATCTACATCTTATCTTTAGAATTGATTATAAGTACGCATGTACTGGAATATTCGACTGGCGAGATCGATTAGAAATACAGTTCTTGGCTTCACTCTTTTTTTAGTATCGATGTCAAAACCTGGCAGGATCGAGTCTTGTCCACTTCAATATTAGTTTACTAATGTGTCCAGCTTACTCCGATGAGATCACATGTCAGAAGCTGCAACTAACCCCAAGGTTCCACTGCCGCCTGCAGGATATCCCTGTTAGAATCTTAGTCAAACCCCGCCGCTTGGGCCGCAATCACTATCACGGAGTTGCAATCGCATGGACGTACAGATAAGATTCGCGTCACCTTTTCAATAAAAAAAAGAAAAGAAAAACATTGCCGTGTTCTTGCGTGGTGCGGTTTATGCGACTCCGGAGGACCTGTTTCTCACCCCCCCCCCCCCAAACAGAACATGGACTCTGTACCGAGTACAAGTGATGACACAACCCGACGGAAAGATCGGTAGCTTCAGGCCTACCACGTCCTAATCGGAATGTCATCCCTACACCCGCTATCAATTACCACCTCTTTGAGTCGTTGGGGAACATTTATCAACATCCCCTTGGCATAACATTCACCCGCGTACAAGATGTGATATTGCATCCATGTCACCCACACACCTGCACGTATCACACCGCCTAGTGGTAAGAAATCGGTTCCAGCTCCGATTCCCATAGGTTAAAGTATCCGGATATCCGATGGTGTTTACGAAGCCTGTTTGATGCTGCGATTCAACGGCGTTTCTCGGCTAGGAGAGATGCCCTCTGGCCATGAACGGGGAATGTTTACCACCATTGGAACAATAGGACTAATGCAACTCTATCGCCTAGGCTAAGCGTAATTGGTCACTATACCGAAAGGCCAGGCCTTTTGTTGAACGAGCGCGATTCAATCTACACCTGGTGGAACCTGTAGGTTGGGGTATTAGTAATCGTGGTATATAACTACCTACCTAACTAACTATGAATCAATATTAATGGATACTTATTTGGAGTAGTCTGAATCGGCCGAGTATAACGTAGGATCATCTTCTTGGAATGTTTGACTGTCTAAGATGAGATACTAGGCCCGGAACATGTAGATAGAATCATACAGACCCATTATGACACAGCCGGCGAATCGTCTAACATTCATGACCTGTTCTCACCTCGGCACCTATACATGTTCCGGAGCCGACTGTTGGGCAATTACATGCTCTGAAACCTGATTCCTCAGAATGCCAACTTGATACATGCATAAAACACTACTAGCCCACTATATAGGTAGGCAGCAGCATTGATGCCTAATTAAATGTCATATGGCGGCAAATTATGGGCCTTTGTGAGCACAATCATTTAGTGTGGAGTATTTGCGATATATATATGCATAAATGTGATAGTGCAGATCCGGGGAACAATAATCTGATATGTCTACTTCATTCACTGCACCTCGTGCTTCTTTAGATCGGCGATGTCAACCTAAGCTCGCTAGATTCGGAGGAGGTATCTAGTATATATTCATTATGAAATGGGAAGCTCATTCATAATTCGCCTAATATATGCCAAAAGAAAATGCGAATAGCAAAGGAACAGACATCCATCAGGCCACTCGCGACTGTCAACACTATGTAGAACAAAACAAACCGAATATATATATATATAAGAACATAAACATAATAGAAGATACTAGGACAAAATAATTTAGACTACCTGAGATATAATTGTAACATAAAATGTAGAAGCCAGATTCTCGGTAGTACACCATACAAGGCCTTATACGCACTTGTCTACGGTTTAGGGGATGGCTGCATTGTCTGGTGGTAATCTTTTTAGCATATATAATACTGGACACCTGATCAGAATCATAGAATAAGAAATTATCAATTACTATTACACTTACTGTGAGTCTCCCGAGAGCGTTGCGTGTTAAAGAGCGTCTACTGACAACTCTGTATTTGCTTACTTAGGATAGTATATCGTATACAGTACATGTGAACCTCGTTATACGTAAACCAACACTGTTACTGTCGAGAATAATTATCCGGAAAAGATTCTGTACCTTTGTCAGTTTTCATCTCTGTTCATCTTCTGATAGTGAGAGAGACTCCGATCTAAAAAGCAAAAAAAGACATTAAAGCAGTCAGCCTGCGATCCATGTACTATGTAGTATGACCAAGTTCTCAATTATAGATCCTAGTGAGCCCTTAATAAGCAAGTGGAAGTAACTATAACAAGACCTTAACCTGGCAAATGTAAAGTGGAGCTCTGTCAAAGTTGAAACGTCTTGGCTGATGCTGAGAAAACTAGCCCTACTCGCACAAACTCACCCATTCACCACAGTTGATGTCCATAAAAACTCCTACAGCACTATAGGGAAGCATTCCTTACAAGGGAGTCTTACGAGAACAGCTATCTTGAAACAGACTACAGTCTAAAGCCATGAACCAGTACTGGGACATTGTCAACAATGAGTCGGACTATGTTATACTTGGGAAATACTTTCGGTACAGAGCTCTAAATTTGCCTCGTCACTTCGTCCAAATATCCGATGACCCTCTCAGCCAGAATGCGTCTTGGCTCCGCTTGATCAGGGTCACTTAGCGCATGTGAAGCATTGGGAATAATCATACTGCTTGGGTGCCAGGACGGTCCCGCCGCGGTGGACCACCGCTTCAACAAAGCCTCCTTGTCCACCCACGGCGGCACAGACTGATCTCTTCCCGAGTACAGCACCATAAACTTGGATTTCAGAAGTCTGCGAGACCCAATAACGCCAAAAGTCTGCTGGAGCTGCTCGTCACTCAGATCCGAACTGAACAGGTCGTCTTCGTCAGGCTTGCGTGGGCTATCAGGACTAGCCAAGCTAAGGAACCGGCGACTACTGACAGCTGTAGACGATGGGTATCCGATTCTGGCGGTCACGGAAAGCGGGACGATAGTTTCGACTGTGTCGTCATCCTCGTAGGTATTCTTCTTCGCACCTGCAACCGCTTTGCGGTAAAGCTCTTGCATTGTTTCCGGGCTGTCTCTTTCCGTCCCGTCATTCAGGACGCTGAGAATACTTTCCCTGTCCGAAACAGGTGCCTGCATAATCGCACCATCGACAGGAGTCCTCGTCAATGGATCAATTTCTCTATCCAAAACCGGATGTCTAGGCCTTGGGTTCGGACAGCTAAGGTAATGCATCACATCTTGGCTCCCCGTCGAATGGCCCATGATGACTACCTTTCCGGCCCCAAAGAGCTGTTTCTTATAGTCACGCACGTACTGAACACACTGCGCAATTTCATCAATGTCTTTCCCCAGACGACCTACGCCCCACCCATTATAAGAAGAGGACAAGACCAGTGAGAAAACAGACCATTCGCTGTGTTGCAGCGCTGCGACCAAATCGGTCATATAATCCACGGTCCAAAGTCCATCTGACAAGCCCCCGATGAAAATGAGACTGTGCGGCTTCCTCTGATTTCCCCTCGTGAACTCGAAGGCAACTAGTCTCTCAGCCTAAGGAGGATATTGATATTAGCCATGAATAAGGAACCCAGCCACGGACAATGACATACATATTGATGCAAAATCCCCGGCTGGCCCTTGGCCAACGCATTAGGTAACTTCAGCTGCATGATCGCACTGCCTCGCAGATACCACTATTGGGCTCAGAGAAGCCAAATTAGGCTGAGTACCGAGTTCCTTAACGACTGAACACTAGCAATGGCAAGATCAGATAAGACATCGAACCACAGATGCAGGGATAATAAAAATCAGATAAGACGGAAGTTGGGATTTAATTAGAACGCCAAGACGGGAAAAATATCCGGTCAACCAGTGACTAAGCCTCAATATCAAACAACTTTTAACTAACTACTCTTAATTGAATCGCTGGCAATGCTGGTTGCTTGCTTTTGTCTTCTCCTTTTCTTTCAGTCTTGTTTGCCAAGTTCCATATACGGCATAATTTCCGGCTATCTCATTAAGGCTTATCTCTGCGATGCACTGTTTTTACTTGATATGTTCCCAGGTATAACTTATAAGTATGTGCTACATGTGCGTAATACCGTATGTATGTACAGTATTTTTGAATGCAGAGTCTCGGTTGCTACCATTTATGTACTGTACAGTGCACTGATGCCCATGTTTGGATAAACCCCCTTTTTGCTTATGAGAAATCCTCAAGTTTTTAATCCTACACTGGGGGACATTTCTAAGGGAACTAGTAGAGAGACCAGCGGTCTTTTCTAATAATGGCTTGTTTCATTTGTCTATGAGGTTCTATCATATCTAAAGATGTATGTATATTTACAGTGTGGTCTAAGTAGTGCAGTCTTCAAACAATTGGAGATTTAAAATGGAGAATAACATATATACGATGGTATTTTTTAGTACACATAGCTTCATCGAGGAACTAGTCTTACCCCTGTGACTTTGGATCAATATGTTCTTTTATCATCTCCAGTAGTGCGTTTGTGGAACTTAGCTCATTGTACTTCTCTGACTTAGATCCTCCTAGAGGCTAGAACCAGAAATAACAATTGCCCTGATCATCTCCACAGGAAGGCTATTTCGGGACAGGAGAGCCATGATTTTAGAACAATATAGTTCTATCCTTTGTGGAATGAGGAGGAAAGAACTGGTACGAGATTATATTATCCCAAGCTAGCTCGTTCAGGGTTATATCAGGCTGGCTTTGTATTACTCCGGCAGCGCAGTCATGATACAGAGTTCAAGGAGAACAAAACAAGCTCTGTTCAAAATCTATGATTTCATGTTAGAATTTGGATTGGTCAGACAGATAGCCACCTGGTCATGCCCATTCACAACCGTTTCCAACAACTTCAACTCCCTAGCGTGCTTTTGCGTGACGCAATTTCAAAGCGAAGCAGCAAAAGCGAAGCAGCAACGACTCTTCTCTTATCCTATTTATCTCGTTGAGCCACAGGGAAACTACTACTCAGTGAGCATAGCGTACTCCATTCAACCGCCATGGACGAGTATCAATGTAAAATTGCGCGGCTTTCAGCCCCACCCTTGTGAAGGATTTCAAAATCAAATCTCCCCATTATCTATTTCCGTTTATATTTCTGGCCGACTACTCTGTGCGATATAAACTTGAAGTCTTTGCCAGTGCCATAAGAGTTGCAGCTACATCGAAGTCTGGTAGGTCCCTACAGCAGAATGGGGTGGCACTATAACTGACGCTGATCGACTTCGGAAGTCTATAGAGCATACAGCTACGTCGTCTCATCTCGGGTTCAACGAGGCATTTCTAATCTATCCTTAGCAAGTGCCAATTCCGCCCGAGAGGCCGCGACGTGTCCGGTCGATGACCAGATCCACGAGGTCAAGGTACGCGCCAGTGCCGGGCGTAACGTTCAGACTGGACATCGGTCCTCTCTCTAACGGCACATCTCCAAAATGCCATAGCTTCCCAAACGGGCTTGTTAAAGATATCACAGCCGGCTCCAATACCTTATGGGACTCTCTTACTGGCACCTATATTGGCTCTATCATCGAGTACAATGTGCTTTACTGGGGCAAACCGGAGTACTGCAGCTTCATAACGACAGAGGTGTTCGCCAGAGCTTCAGAACATGATCTCAATAGTTATGTAAGATAGGATTGAAAAGACGACAAGTACACTAAAGATAATTGTAATGGAGCATAGGAAGGGCTGTAATAGCGAGCGCTACACCGGAGACAACAGTGAACTGCATTGATGAAGACTGTGGACCTGCTCTAAGCTGGATCTCATTTAGTACTTGTGTATGCACAGGCTCCCCTTGCTTTCACAGATACTGTAGTTGCGAAGGCCCATACTGCACTGCATATCTTGGTCCGGGATGCAGTTGTTCAGGCCTTTTAGGATGTTCTGTGTGCTACAAGTCAACAGATTAGGGTGAAGTTGGCTACCCCGAGTGAAGTAGATAACCTTTCAGCATGCAGTTGATTTCGTTCTTGATCTAAAGAAATCTGACAGCCACCGCTGTGGGTGTTTGGCGTCTGACTGCGGGAGTTTGAGAGCGATGTAGTGTAGATATATATAGCATCGGAGGAATCTTCAGAGTGTGAATACTACTTGCATTTGTGACTTGGCACGGGGGTATTTTGCTTCTCTCCTACTATATAGATCGTAATTATGGCTCAGAATGTGTGCGCTCAGTACATGACTTACCATGAGCCTCTACACCTCCCAATGTCTACCAGTCTATTGTATCAGTCTCTTGTGTCAGTTTCTTGTATCAATCCGAGTACTATCGTGCTCAAGGAAGTCGGGTTTAAACTGGAGAATAGAACGTTTGTAACATTTACATTCCCTGCGCTGATTCTCTTTGCACGCCGCTCCAATCTACCCCCGGTAAGTCGAGGGATAACAGTAAAACAGGAGTACAGGAAAGATCCACCTAGCAGAGGAGCATACTAACCGTAGAGCTCAAGTATGAGAGCAATCCATACTGCAATAACTTGGCCAATACCAATGCATACTCTGTTCTAATCAAATGACTAGATCCAGTTGAGAATCAGAACTACGCCGATTGAGAAGGGGAAGAACATGGTCCTCATGGTTCTTCATATAAAACACGGATAAGTCGATTACGTCCAGTTAAGATGGAACATGTGCTTCTTCTTCTTCTTCCTCCTCCTCTTCTTCTTCTTCTTCTTCTTCTTCTTCTTCAAGGCTCCTACTCTACGAACCCATTAGACATGATCTAGAGTTTAATTATGCTTACTACGCCTGTCAATAAGCTATATATATCAAACATGGCTGTGTCTCCTGTATGGACCTGATGTAAGGGCCATTGTACTCCAAGGTTGAACTGCATGTTTATAGACAGTGGGCTCATTTCCAATTGGAGTGGAAGTGGTGTGCACCAACAGTTTCCAGTGTGTACGAACAGCTGCAAACCAATTGGGAGTACGGTTGCAGAGGGAAGTGGTACGTACATTCCCATCGGCTGCAATGATCCAGACCAACACGGTGGATACATATGGTCAAGTAGATGATTATTGTACAGGTTTAAGAGAATTGGCTTATTCTGGGTGATACTATTGTCTGTTACTACTAGTAGCTACGGTGAAGGATCTAGTGAATGGTGGTCATGCTATTGGTGAAGCAGAGTATCGGTACGTGTGTATATATATATATATATATTTGCATATCTCTGAGAGATTCTAGTTACTGGGGTTATAAAATGTACACATATATGAAATCCATACTATCTGGGTTTCTATTGCCGGGGAATCTCCACATATAGGGCAATGAATATATAAACATGACGAGAACAGGAACGGAAAATGATCACAGATTGTGGTGTAGAGGATGGGCCTTCTTGAATCTCACTTTCTAGATTCTGCGCGAGTTGGTGATGATTGACCGATTTACAAAAGGGAAGGAGACGTGTATCATTTGATATCATTTATTAATAAGGACATAAGGACTCGTATTGAGACAATCGATGCAGCTAAGATAATGTATACATGGCATGCATGGTTTCTACTGGTTCAAGACCTGCTATCTAGCCCACGGGATATTGCAATAACAAGGTGAATAAAACCCCTATCATCACTCGATTGTGGGGAAATGAGGTTCTTCCATGAACCATCCCTGCAGAGACATGCGAGGGTATGGGGTTGTTCGGCTTGAAAGTATTGTCCAACTCCACGTCGTTGGAAGCGCTTCAGTCTCACCTGACTTGGTAATTTAAAACGCGCCAACCGTACCTCGAGGCAAGATGATCTAACGACGGGATACGCATAGGGATAGTGCAGCATGCATCTCTTCTCGGCACTACAGAATACAGAACATGCACCGAGACCGAGTTCCCAGGTTAGTGCTGCAAGTACACGTAGGCCCGGGCATGCCCAAGGCAGATGGGAAATGTTGATCCCAACACAGACACAGACACACACAGACACACACACACGCACTCACACACGAGCCGTTAGAGTTCATCAAAAATTGCCATGTGAGTGACATGGCCATCGGGCATACTGGCAGATGTGGAATGTAACATCAACGTAATCCCCGGCAGGTGGGCAAATACCGAACGCCACCAATTGAATAGACACGGAGGGCAATTGTGTAGCCTTGCTTCCCTCGCACAGGGAGCGATATCAGTGCGCGTGACAAGAGATCGTATTAGTTGGGTATACACACAGGACGGGAGATATCCTTCAACCTGGTTGGGGGTGGGAAAAGGGATAGCGAGAGTGATATCATCGACTCCGGTTGTCAGGTATGAAATTGAAGATCGATGACACGACGATCCAAATCTGAAGAATGCTGTCGGGTCCGAGCGAGATTGACTTCGTCGAACGCGTTTCAAAGCGGTCTGTTTTTTGTTCCCCCCTTGCATCGAGTTTTGTTCCTTCCTGGGGAAGTAGTACTAGTAGTCGTGTGTTCCGTCTCCATATTCCATTTTGAGCTAGATGATTTGATCGGATCATAGATAGCGCAGAGATCACGATGGCGGCGATGTTTGCCAAGCACCATCGTTCTGTCTGAGAATTCCTCCTTTTTTGGGGGGGGTTGACCTTCTAGGCACCTATTTCAAGATACGATTTCAAGAGAATCACATCCAATCAAACATTCGTATTCTCCTGTCCGTAATTTTGTTCAAGTTGGGTG